TCCTTCCTGCAGAAATTTACGTCTTTAGGAGTTGTGGCCAAAAAAGATGTTACAGATGTCATAGCCCCACTGCTGTGTTTAGAAAACAAACTTGTTAATCGACATGTGCTGTTAGTTTATAATCTGAGACACTTGGCTAGTCCATGGTTTTTTATTTACTGTCTTAATAAAGTGATTATTAGTTTTGTTTCATGTTTTAGATTTACATGAAACTGTAAAAAAAAAAAAAGCAATACAAACAAGTGACACCTTTTAATTGTTCATATTTTAACAGCCATAATCAGCTGCTAATTTTTACTTTTTTTCTGCAGGGAGGGTAAATTTGGATTATTTAATTATTGTTTGTAAACCTAATATTTCTGTAAACATTGCAGGTATACCCAAAAGGCCCTGGTGGTGTGTCCAAAATACTGGCGGGAGGTGACAGGCTCACTGAGGCAAACTGTCGAAATATATAGTGCGCCCTTGCAGATGGAAACACCCATGAAGAGAGGCTTGAAGGCATGGTTTGAGAACTGGCATGCTATTAGAGTGCTTTTTGAGGTTTGAGTGTTTTTTTTTTTTGGGGGGGGGGGGGTATCTGTGCTTTTTTTAATGTAGCATGTCTTTAACGATTTTTAATTTTCCTTTGTCGTAGACACACTACAAGGTATTCTTCAGTGGTAAGTCTGGCAAGGACCATGGCATGCTGTGTGCCAACATGACAAAGTTTAGGTATGTCAGCTGTTATGAATATATGTCAACATAAATGTATTTATATTAGTGCAGCATTGACTACTCAGCCAGCAAAACATGATTTGAGCACTATATATGACGTAAACATTTTTGAAATAATTTACCAATTTCTTCACAGGTGTGACAACGCACACAAGCAACGCATTTGCTCCGAGCATCGTCTTTTGCAATGTGTTTGAATAACAATTGTACCACTTTCCACTACAGAGACCCCCTGCCAATCGGGTCTATGAATCAACAAGTCTGGTATGGCTTTATGGTGTGTGTGTGTGTGTGTGTGGTGCGGTGTGGTGTGCGTGGTGCGTGTGTGTGTGTGTGTGTGTGTGTGTGCGTGGGTGTGCGTGGGTGTGTGTGTGTGTGCGTGGGTGTGTGTGGGCGTGCGTGCGTGCGTGGGTGTGTGTGGGCGTGCGTGGGTGTGCGTGCGTGCGTGCGTGCGTGTGTGTGTGTGTGTGTGTGTGCGTGGGTGTGCGTGGGTGTGTGTGCGTGTGCGTGGGTGTGTGTGGGCGTGCGTGCGTGCGTGGGTGTGTGTGGGCGTGCGTGCGTGCGTGGGTGTGTACCCACTGAGGGTTAAGTGAGAAACAAAGATGGTGGTGCACAGTAGTAGTATTAAAACAACCGTTTAGCAACAACCGGAGCCAGCTGGTAAATTAAACTTTTACCGTTATACCGTCGGCAAAGCAGCAAATACATCCTTTTTCAAAATAAAGGACTTTAGTGCCTCTATCTGTTCGTGTTTTAAAGAAAAGCCCAAGTCTAAATCGTCCAATGTTGACAACAAAGCTGTTTCAAATGAACGTGGTTCCTGAGCTGCCGCCATTTTGTTTGTGTTCGCGGTCGCAGTTCTGACATCTTCAGCTACTACCGCTGATTAGAGCACTGTGATTAGCTCACAATATAGAGCGCTGTGATTGGCCCAACAACAACTAAAGAGAGCTGTGACTGGCTAGCCAGACTGCTGGTAGGAGCCGTGGAGGTTCCAATGGGAGCGTTCCTAGACCAAACTCTGCAAAGCAAGAATTTGGTCCAGATCACCAGGCCAGGCAAAGGTGGTTCTCCAGGAGAAACAAGAACTTCTACGTAAGACACACAATCATCTGTGAAGGCTTTATATTTTTTATCTTATTGTTTTTTATTTGAGTTCTGCAGAGTAGTTACTATAGCATTTGAGTCCAATTTTAAATAATTTAAAGTATTTTAAGTATTTAGTGTACTAGGAAGAAAATCATTCATTATAAAATGTAAAATGCATGTTTTTTGTTTTTGTCAGAGCTGCCCCGACACTCACTCATCCTTGACGTGATAACGCGCTGGAACTCTCTCTAATGCTGGAGAGATTCACAGAGCAGTACCCTGCGATTCAAGCAGCCAGCTTGGACCCGCGGCTGAGGAAAAACATTGAAAGGGACAGGTAGAGACAGTTGAGCATGGACAAATAAATACACTCAAAATATGAATTCATAGAACAAATGAGTGTAAATACTTTGCATCAGTAAATTGATTGACTTAAATGACTCCAAAGGGCAGTCACGATGGTAGACTTTGAGCATAAGTGAGGTGTTTTGTTGAGAAAAACAGAATTTTTCTAACACAGATCTATCTGTTCTTAATTTTTTTGTACAGGCTTGCTCGGCTGACTGAGGAGGGCTTTCGGAAAGCAGAAGACTTCGTCAAACTCATGAAAGTTCTCTACACAACAACACTCTGTGTGTCTTCAGAAAAGAGCCCCACATGTGGACGGATACTTCCCATTCTACAAAAGCTGGAGGTGTGAAAGAGGGAGATAACAGTATTTGTTTCCAACCTTAAAAACAGGTTTGGGCCAACCTGTCTAAGCGCTACCAAGTAAGTGGCTGAGGCAGGCGGCTGGGAAAAAATTAGTACAATTATCTGTACTCCTTTCACTTGTTAAAACATTTAAAGAATGTGTTTTGCAGAGCGAGGAGATCAGGAACTTTCTCCAAGAGGCCACCGCGCTTTAAACACAAGATGGATGATGACACCGTGTGGGACCAAATCCGGAGGAAGCCGATTGAACCGCTGAAATGTTAATTATGCACAACTTTTCTTTTTCAGCAGTTAAGAGCTAAGGTAAAAATGCTTGTTTTCTGTAGTCGACAGAGAAAGACTGTGGAGCTAGATGATGAGAACACCATGCAGTCTGACGTTGAGGAAGAGGAGAATGGGGAGGTGAGTGTGTGTGTATGATAAAACCTTTCCCTTTTAGTGAAGATTTTGATGAATCTTTCCTTTTTTTTAGCATCCGCCTCCCTGCAAACTGTCCGGGAAGACTCCACTGGAGGAGCACAGAACATAGTCTCACAGCAGAGCTCCATGTCCATCAAGAGACGAGTGGAAAAAGAGCTGCAGATGTACGAGCAAACGCCACCGGCCATTTTGTCTGATGGCCCTGCTGCCTGGTGGTGGAACCAACAAGACTTATCCGACTGATCTCAGAGCTTGCATTCTCACACTTATGTGTACGAGCATCTTCTACACCCAGTGAGCGTGTGTTCGCCACTGCAGGAGACACCATCTGTCCTGAGCGCTCGCGTATACTGCCTGAAAAGGCAGATATGATCATGTTCATCAACAAAAACTAATCTAATCTAATCTAATCTGGACAGGATTGCAGAAGATGTTCCTTAGTTTTTGTTTGATACTCCGAGTCTGCACAGTTTTGCACATCAGTGGGAGTACATGTTTCTTGTTTAGGTCCCTGCTGCATCAGACACTGTTAGAAGTTTTCAAAATAAAGCTCCATTGTGAAAGTTGTACTTTTGTGAAAAGAAAATGTGTAGTGTTTGTGTTAAAGTATAAATTTCATATTTATATGCTAGTTGAAAACAGCCCTGTGAAAAATTCAAAGTAAAGTTTAAGTTCACAGAATTAAAATTCATGGGGAAGTTCAGACTGTTTCATCAAGTAAGACCTACGGTTATCTGGCCTCCTGAAAAAATCTGAATCGAGAATCGATAGGAACCGGAATCAAAACGAGGAATCGGAATCGTTCAAAACCAAACGATGCCCAACCCTACCGTTAATCACGCATTCATTTAAGTCAGGTGTGGAGCGGCAGGGAAGCACCGGAGTTTACAAGGACGAGATGGAAAACATGCAGGCACGGTGTGCCCTGAGGAGCTGGACCGTGTGGCTGGAGAGAGAAGTTCTAAGCTTCCCTGCTTAAACCGTCGCTCCCGGACCCGACCCTGGATAAGTGGAAGATGATAGATGTGTTGGTTTTTGGTCCGTGACCTGGTCTGCACCTCGGTCAGAACGGCCCACAGTTTCTGGTTCTTTTCCTCACAGGGGAGAGGCGCTCGAAGAGTGCAACCACGGCAACTCACCTCAGCTCTTAACACAGCAGACCTTCAATAAAAACAACGAGGCAGCAATTCCATTTTTACTCCATTTATATGTAACAAGCAGAGAAAATGGTACGGAGCACAAAAACGGGATCCGGGGCCATTTGGGTGGCTGCCAGAAGGTGACTCAGCATCTGCTGACATCATCAAATAACTCTGTCCAGCTATCACCATGGGCCATCTTGGCCGTCTCTGACTGGCTGAAACACCAAAGGATGGTGTGAGGCGTGACTCTTTGGATGTTTGCGCCTGAATATGTGATTGTGGAAATGAGATAAACACAATTCCAGCCAGTTTTAACTAGATTGCCTGTCAAAGGTCAAGAAACCTGGAGCAAAGTGACCCGGTCAGTTACCATCCAACAATAGCGAACATGACCAGGTCCCAGCAACAATCGGTACTGTGCTGTGGGAATGCTTCAGTGGGTCTGATCGTCCCTTTGTCCTCCAACATTCAGCAAAAATCACAAACCAGACTCATCTTTTCTCTGCGTCAGAGCCTCCTAGAACTGCTTCACACAACAACCGAGCACAGGAACCCGAAATTGTGGGTTTTTACTCGGGTGTCTGAGGATGTGACCCAATGTGTGTGTACCCCCGAAAACAAAAATCAGGAATTAAACTTTCAGTCTGTACACAAATCCTTCACATAGTTAAATCATGTATTCACTAAAGCAATAGGGCCTCTGATCACGCACAGGATGGTGCATCTGACGGGTGTTATACCTGAATATGTGACAGAGGACCTCGTGGGAGGTGTTGTACCTGAATATGTGACAGAGGATCTCATGGGAGAGGGTGTTGTACCTGAATATGTGACAGAGGACCTCATGGGAGGTGGTGTACCTGAATATGTGACAGAGGACCTCATGGGAGGTGGTGTACCTGAATATGTGACAGAGGACCTCGTGGGAGGTGGTGTACCTGAATATGGGACAGAGGACCTCATGGGAGGTGGTGTACCTGAATATGGGACAGAGGACCTCGTGGGAGGTGGTGTACCTGAATATGTGACAGAGGATCTCATGGGAGGTGGTGTACCTGAATATGTGACAGAGGACCTCGTGGGAGAGGGTGTTGTACCTGAATATGTGACAGAGGACCTCATGAGAGGTGGTGTACCTGAATATGTGACAGAGGACCTCATGGGAGGTGGTGTACCTGAATATGTGACAGAGGACCTCGCGGGAGAGGGTGTTGTACCTGAATATGTGACAGAGGACCTCGTGGGAGAGGGTGTTGTACCTGAATATGTGACAGAGGACCTCGTGGGAGAGGGTGTTGTACCTGAATATGTGACAGAGGACCTCGTGGGAGAGGGTGTTGTACCTGAATATGACAGAGGACCTCGTGGGAGAGGGTGTTGTACCTGAATATGTGACAGAGGACCTCGTGGGAGAGGGTGTTGTACCTGAATATGTGACAGAGGACCTCGCGGGAGAGGGTGTTGTACCTGAATATGTGACAGAGGATCTCATGGGAGGTGTTGTACCTGAATATGTGACAGAGGACCTCATGGGAGGTGGTGTACCTGAATATGTGACAGAGGACCTCGCGGGAGAGGGTGTTGTACCTGAATATGTGACAGAGGACCTCGTGGGAGAGGGTGTTGTACCTGAATATGTGACAGAGGACCTCGTGGGAGAGGGTGTTGTACCTGAATATGTGACAGAGGACCTCGTGGGAGAGGGTGTTGTACCTGAATATGTGACAGAGGACCTCGCGGGAGAGGGTGTTGTACCTGAATATGTGACAGAGGATCTCATGGGAGGTGTTGTACCTGAATATGTGACAGAGGACCTCGTGGGAGAGGGTGGTGTACCTGAATATGTGACAGAGGACCTCATGGGAGGTGTTGTACCTGAATATGTGACAGAGGACCTCATGGGAGGTGTTGTACCTGAATATGTGACAGAGGACCTCATGGGAGGTGTTGTACCTGAATATGTGACAGAGGACCTCGTGGGAGAGGGTGGTGTACCTGAATATGTGACAGAGGACCTCGTGGGAGAGGGTGTTGTACCTGAATATGTGACAGAGGACCTCGTGGGAGAGGGTGTTGTACCTGAATATGTGACAGAGGACCTCGTGGGAGAGGGTGGTGTACCTGAATATGCGACAGAGGACCTCGTGGGAGAGGGTGTTGTACCTGAATATGTGACAGAGGACCTCGTGGGACAGTTCATTGATGTAGTCCTTGGGCTCGGCGGCTCTCAGGGCTACGTCCCCTCCACTGCTGCCTGCTGGAGGGGGCAGTTTTGAAGCCTTCCTCCTTGGTCCCATCACTTTAGAGTTAGTGTCCACACGTGCACAAATGCATGTGCATGTGTGCACACACACACACGCACATACAGGCACACACACACACACTGCCCAAGTTCTGAATAAACCTGAGACCTGGAAAACATCAACAGGGAAAAATGCTTCATCTATGTATGAAAAGAAATATATCAATCTCCACTTCTCAGATAAGCAGTCCGTCTTTGTCTTTAATTATCTAATTAATCAAATACTTCAATATACTCCTACTTCAGTATACATTCACCTCATATTTATTTGTTAGATAAATATTTTATCAAGGATCATTAACCCTCAGGCTTCATTAGGGACATTTGTGTCCATTTGGGCGGTTTGTTGCTTTTCTTTTGGATGTCATTTCACCCTTGTTTGTGCAGATGGTACAAAATTTTGTCTCAAAACCTCTCTCTGGAAAAATTTTGAAATTCAATTTGGAACGTTGAAAACAGACCAAGGGAAGACTATAAAAGAATAAACACTATACACTTGAGTCTTTAGTGGACAAAAACGTCCCATTGACCTCCATTCAAACCACAGTTTTTGATCCTGTAACCTCTGCAGCAAATAATCATGCTTTCTGTGATATTAGGGTTTCATTTTGAACAGAAGTAGTCAAATTTATGATTTTTACTGTTCACCACCAAATTCAGTCATTTATCCATATGTGGCGCAGGCAAGAAAGTCTACACATTTCTTTTGATCTTCTGCTGTTTGTATTGAATTCAAAAAGTCAGTCTGACCTCTGATAAGAAAATAAAACACCATCTGACTCCCTTACGTGAAGCCTGAGGGTTAAAAATATGATTTGACCTTTATTTGTCCACGTAAAATCCATCTGAGACCTAGAGACCTGACCCAGAGGGCAGCATTAGATTTTTTTTGAATATTATATAAATAAAATGATGAAAGGATTTCAAAGAGACAAGTCCAGACATTGGTCCACCTCTGAGAACATCCTAAACTGAGACTGATTATAGAATAATTTCATTTATCTCAGGTAACCATAAACACCAAACCATGAAGCCGAACATGACGGTTCTGTAGGTAAAAACCTTCCTTCTCTTCCTGGTTCTGATAACTCATTGCCGCTTAGCAGTGGTGAATTTACTCACAGATGGAAAAATAAAAACACTGGCTGATCACAGATTCATTTGATCTTCATATCAGCCAGTAACTAGAGGTTGGTAACTAGAGGAATACCCTAAGAGCTGCTGGTGATCACAACCTTAGGGTACACTTCAAGTTACCAGCACTTTCAAGTACTTTATTACAAATAGAAGCAGCTTCAGAACCTGGAAATCTCATTAAAACACAAGCATGAATCCCATAAAGAGCCCAGGGTCTATTATTATTATTATTATTATTATTATTACTGACAGCGTGTGGTGTGGTCCCATGAACACACTCATCCTGAGTCTTTACTGTTTGTTTCAGAGGCTCCAGGGATTTTTAACATCTTAGTAAATCTGTCAATTATGCTGTATTTTAATGACCGTTTTTCTCTCCGGGGAATCGTTATGAACCTCATTTCTGTACATGTGGTCTGTCACCTAGACCTCTGGAAGAAGCTAGAGAGGAGAACAGCTGTGGACCATGCTGAGATGTTCACGTGCAGGGAGAAAACATGACGAAGGGAAACGTCACGTTGAGACGCTGCAGGTATTACTGAGGTGGAGAAGCTCTGGATGTCCACCTTAAGCCAGGCTAGCCCACCTGCTAAGCCAGTGTCAGCACTAGCAGCTATCTTGTTTACAAGCAAAACACACCTGCTACGTGCGAGGGGAGCGCGTGCTCGGCTCCTACCGGGCTCTAGACGGGAAAGAAAGCAAAAGTGTTTCAAACCTACCGGTCACCGGTGTTCCGAGCCGGGGGAAGCCTGTTCTTCAGACATTATTGGCGGACTTCATTCACGAACACAAGGCCGGCAGCCAGAACTGAGGCTTCTCTTCTTCTTCCACTTTGTTAACTAGTGCTGAGTCAAGCAGCGGCACCGCGCGATGGCGCCACCTAGCGGTCAAACTGAGATATGGCGCTAAAGCGCAGAGGAAGAGGAGACAGTGGGTGGCAGATGCAGCTTTTCTGTTGGATATTTCCATGTAATAACCAAACCTGAAGACAACCAGGACAAGTTAGACAGAGAGATATTTGTTCTTTATTCCAATCTACTACTAGTTTACCCTTTAATTATAAATTCACTAGGATAAATACTGTAGCGTAGATTGCCGGAAGGAGTTTCAGCTAATGAGAACAGACACTGATGTCAACTTAGCAGTCAACAACTTTATTTTAACACTGAGCAGCTTCCCACTCCATCTGCCAGCATCGAACACCAACTCACGGTTTGAAAGTAATACCAACTGACAGCAACACATATATGTTTATGTTTATGTATTTAGCAGACGCTTTTTGTCCAAAGTGATAATCGGCATGTTGCCCTTGAGGCTAACAACAACAATAACAACAACTTGACATCAGTCATGGAGAGGAGGGAACAAAGGAGTGGACGGTAGGGTGGTGGGTGGGGGGGGGGGGGTGCAGGGAGGGTGCATATAAAACATATAAAACACTAAACAAAAGTAAAACAATGCTAACATAACCCAGAACAATAAAGCTGTACATAACGCAACCAAAATGGAACAAACAACTGTGATTTACTCCCACAATGCACCACACCACTGCTTAGCCTGGCAGTGTGTGTGTGTGTGTGTGGGGGGGGGGGGGGGGGGTTACTACACACACCCCTTCTTAGTGGGTTAAGTGTCCTCACAACCCTCAACGTCCCCAGGCATAAAGTCTCTGAATTGACCCGGCTGGCGCCAAATACGTACTGGCCTCCCCGGGTTAACACCTCCCACCACAGTTCCATCCACCACCACGTCACTGGCCAGTCCCGTGTTTTCGAAAAAGGACGAGGGACCACTCCCATCAGCAGCCGTAAGCACAACAGTTCGTGGCCGATATGGTGCCAAACGGTCTTTGTGAAGGACCACTCACCGGCCTCGTCCAGGTAGGCGAACTCGGAACACCACCTCAGAGATCCAGTCCAAGATCTCTCCAGGTCCTTGCCAGGGGCTCATTAGCTTAGGGGAAAGACCTTTATTTCGGACTGACAGTACACCCAGACTTTGTCCCCAGGTGCAAAAGATGGTCCATGAGCTGTAGAGTCATATGCCCGTTTCTGGCGAGCTCCAGCTTCAAGCAGGGTTGATCGAACCAGTTGATGAATCTCCTTCATGCGCTCTTTCAGTCGTCGTTGTAATGAAATAGATTACAGTTATTTAATGAGCCATAAGGCGTGGGATTCCATCGGAAATATGAAATCCACCTTACGGATCTGTGAGGTTATTTAAACCAGAAGATTGGATCTTTTTATTGCAGGGATTAGATAACCGCTTCGTATTCACTCAGAGACAACAGAATAGAGAGAATCAAGTTTAAAAGTTAAGAATTTTATTTCTAACAAATTAAACTAGACTGACTTTAAAACTAAATGTATGGTGTAACTAAAGTGGATGAGGCGGTTGATGGATGACGTGTGATGTTAATCAGAGCCAACAAATCCGATGAAGCGATTGTTCTGACGGGAACTGAAGGTGTTGTTTTCGCATTAAGCTTTGGTTAGGAGTACATAAACACATGAGACACCATCGTGCCGGTCTACCTACCCTTCGTGGAGGTCCTCTGCAGATCAGGAATATCGAGGTCCAGTGGACCCTCTCTGGAACCGAGATGAGGCCCTGTTCCTCTGGGTAAATGGGAGGAAAAACACACAGGAAACAAAAACTATTTTTTGTGCCAAACCCTGGAACCAAACATGTAAACCACATGAACTATAATGAACAATAAAGACATAAAATAATAAAATAACAGGCAGCACAGTTCACCAACTACAACCCGAGGGTTTTAGGACAGATACAGTCAAATTAATTAACAGTCAATAAAGTTAGTTAGTTAGTTAGTTAGTTAGTTAGTTAGTTAGTTAGTTAGTTAGTTAGTTAGTTAGTTAGTTAGTTAGTTAGTTGCAGCATGTATGAAACAAGAAAATTACAAATCAGATTTGCAGAAAGAGGAACCTGACACAAGTGGGGTGGTGTTACACTCCTGTCCAGCAGGGGGCGCGGTGCACCTCGGAGCGGTTTGCAATGCGTCAAACAACCAAGAGAGGAAGAAGGAGAAGGACAGCCGCATACTAGTGGACGCTGCACGCCCGGCTCTTTGTGATTGGCTGACAACTGTCCAATGGGAAGTTGACAGAAATGACTTGCGTGTGCGTGTGTGCGCGCGTCGCCGACAGAAGGGAAGCGTGTGGCAGAATGTTGGACAAAGTTCTGATTTGGTGCTTATTTCTGCTCGCTTTCTGCTCCGAACCCTGCGATGCTCAGAAGAAGAAAGAGGTAAACCGTTCCAGCAGCTGGAGACGCTCATGCTGCTCGGGTCGGGTTTAATCAGGCTTCAGTTAAACTTAGGAGCTAGCTGTAGCTAAAGTAGTTTCTGACAGCAGACACTGGCTAATGTTAGTGTCACCAGAACCAAAGCGGAACTTGGACTGAACGGTGAGGTCGTCCTAGTTTTCCGGGCGTTGCGTCGCGGTGAGTCCCCCTCCAGAACTTCCACCCATCGGTGTGTTCCTCCTGGTACAGGTGAAGAGCAGATTAGCTCAGCGTGTGAGCTTGTTTTCCTGCCGAACACAAGATTTTAATGGCATCGGTAGAATGCATTTCCTCTGCTGAGCAGCGGCTGCTGCAGGAAATCCCTCTGGGCCAAAAGACTTCCCTTCCCATTTCATTCAAATGAACAGTCAGACAACAAATACAATTCATGTGTTGTGCTTCTCCACGTCAGCAGCTTTATAGGTAGTCAACGAACACATTTATAGATAAATAGTGAGAAGTTGGGGTATGACTGCACTTGTTTAGCGTAGAATTAAAGGAGCAATATGTAGGAATTCTACAACCACAAAACAGTCGAATGCCTCAGTCATGTCAGAACATCTCTAATGTTTTACTCAAATGTTGGGTGAAGTAAGCTAGTGGCTAACATAGAGCCAACAATGCTAACAGTCAATTACAAGCAAATATTCGGCGCTAAAATATCTCAAGCTACTTTTTTAAATTACTAACAACCCAATATTACAGTGAAATGTGTGTGAAGTGAATCAGTCATTCCTTTAAATGAGTCGTTCAGAATTATAGCAGCAAGCTAAAAACAAGAAGGTAAACAGCACTTCCTCTATGCCAGAGAAATCTTACCGTAATGCATGTAGTAAGTGCAACAGCCATGAAAGGCTGTGAGAAAGTGATAGTGGTTACCAAGTTTGTCCACATGATGTCGTTCTTACTTATTGCACCTTTAACGGGGCTCTAGACTAGAGTGGCCATTTTGGTCATAAATGCCATCTAATTTTTTTAGTGGTGCAACGGGAGATAATCTCAGATTACATGGTTGTAACTAGCTGTTCAAGTAGAAAAAAATAGTCTTCAATGCTGAAAATCTCCCAGTGGAACGACAAAAAGTTTTCATGAACAGAAGAAGGAAGGATCTGTTTTTCCCACTGGACCTCAGGGACCTGCTGGTGGTGTAGGGACTGAGAAGATCACCAGTGTGTGTGTGTGTGTGTGTCATGTGCAGACTCTGCTGTCAGAGAAGGTGACTCAGATGATGGACTGGACCTCCAAGCGTTCAGTCATCAAGATGAATGGAGATAAGTTCCGTAGGTTTGTGAAAGCTCCTCCCAGGAACTACTCCGTGTTCATCATGTTCACGGCGCTGCAGCCACAGAGACAGTGTGGCGTTTGCAGGTGAGACACAACCATGAATAAACGGGTTTCATTTGTATTAGTCGTCCTGAATTTAGAGCTTCCTTTGTCTCCAGACAAGCAGACGAGGAGTTCCAGGTGCTGGCCAACTCCTGGCGTTATTCCTCAGCCTTTACCAACAAAATCTTCTTTGCTTCAGTGGATTTTGATGAAGGATCAGATGTTTTTCAGATGGTGAGATTGACACTGTTCAGAATATATATATATATATATGTGGAGAGACTGTTGAAGCCCTCTGAGATGCACGTTGATTGTGTCTGTTTGCAGCTTAATATGAACTCCGCTCCAACCTTCCTCCACTTTCCACACAAAGGGAAGCCCCGCAGAGCTGACACTTACGAGCTGCAGGTTAGAGGATTTTCAGCTGAACAGCTGGCTAGATGGGTGGCTGACAGGACAGATGTGCAGGTAAATGTTTGGCCCATCAGGTAGATGTTTGGCCAAGGTCTCAAAATGAGTGCTGTGGCTGATAGTTTTAATGAAAATAAACACTAAAGTCTAAGAAAAAGGATTGTTTAAACGTGTGATCATTACAGTTCTGCTGTTGTGTTTCAGATCCGGGTCATTCGCCCCCCCAACTATGCAGGGCCCCTCCTGCTGGGTTTCCTCCTGGCTGTTATTGGAGGTCTGGCTTATCTACGAAGAAACAATCTGGAGTTTCTTTTTAATAAGAACGTGTGGGCCTTCTCTGCACTGGTAACTTCTTCCAACTCTCTCTCACTCTCACACTCACTCACTCACTCACTCACTCACTCACTCACTCACTCACTCATAAATAATGTGAGGAATCTGGGACCCCGCCTGATTGATGATGGGAGTGAGCAGCATCAGCTATCTGTCCTTGTTCTGAGGCCCTGTCCACACGTAGCCGGGGATCTGCCAAAACGTAGATATTTTTCTACGTTTTGGCTTGTCATCCACACGAAAACGGAGTTTTTTCACACGAAAACGGATCTTTTTAAAAACTCCGGCCAAAGTGAAGATCTGCGTTTTCTCCTTTTTGGGTGTCTGCGTGTGGACGGACAAAACCGGAGTTTTAAGGTCCGCAACGTCACTTTCTGCTACAAAAAACTGCTGACATCACGTGTGCGACCTGTGTTTACACTAGCCGACAGCATGGATGCCCTCAGAGCTGCGCTCGCTTTATCAATTGTCCAAGCGCTTTCTGCTTGTTTGTTTTTGCAAGCGGAATTACTGCTCCTTGTGGAAGACCACAGACGAAGGACGAGGTTAAGAACGGGGGAAGTACTGCCGCCTACAGGTCTGGCATGTCCCTGACAACGTATTTATCCGGGTACGTGTGGACAGAGTTTGTTTTTTTTAAACGAGGTGGTGTGGATGCGTTTCTGGAGGGGCGGATATTCGTTTTTAAAAAACCTGGCTATGTGTGGACTAGGCCTGAGTCCATGTAGTGCTGTAGGTCAGTGGTTCCCAACCTTTTTTGACTCGTGGACACCCTGAGCCATTTTCTCATTGCACAAGCACCCCCTTAAAACTTACTGACAGGTGGTGCAAATGCTCTGACTGGACTCGATGGTTTCTGATCCATGTGAAACTGGATCGCATCCAGTCTGCATTTGGTGTGAACGAAGCTTCAGGCCCTCTCCCAGTAGCAGCTGCAGTCCTGCTCTGGTTTTCCTTCATAGTGTGTCTTAACCCTGGTCCTCAGCAACCCTCCGTCCTACATATTTTAGGTGTGTCCCTGCTGCCACACCTGATCTAAATGAATGAGCGACAGTGTTTCCCCTAGGAATTTTTCCAGCTGTGGTGGAGGTGGTGTTGGCGGGGGGGGGGGGGGGGGGGGGGGGGGGGGGGGGGGGGGAATGACACGTCTCACCTTTATGTTAATATTGTTTTATTTGATGCTCTCCACTGTGAACTGCACCAATCCAGCATCTTCTTTTGCCCCCCTTTATTTGACTCTCTGACCCCCTTTATTTTGGTCCAAGATCATTACTGGGCTGGCCCTATTAAACACCTTCTACACCCCTGCTTAGTAGACTTAATGAAGTATTTTTAAGCCAGTATAAAAATGACTGAAACACACATTTACATATTTGGCGTTATTGACCAATAATTTTTTATTTAATTTATTTGTTAAGAACATCAAGATGCATTACAGTGAACATTATAATAAGCTGGGCGGACACTGTGCGACTTTTTCACTCGTAACACTCAGCTTCAGCTCAAACTGTACGACTTCAGCGCAGGGCAGATCTCACGAGTCATGTGCTCACTGTACGTCTGGTAGCAACAAACACGTCGGACCTAAAAATATGCTAAAAATAGCAGTTTTTAACACAACACGTCAGACTTTGTTGTCTTGTTTTTGCCTGTTGTCCTTCGGGAGTGCTGCAGGAGGACACGCAGGGATTTATGGGGGTTGGATGAGGAAACGAAATAAAGAAAGTAAATTTGTGTTTTGTGATCAGTTTAATTTGACATGAACACGACAAACACACTTTCTTGACAATCTTTGTGAGTAAAAAATGTGTAGGAACAAAAATGAACAATGTGTGTTATTAGGGAAATAGCGGGTGAGCGGAGTTGATGCAGGATTGCGAATGCGCCGTGAGCGGTTCTGATACTTTAAGGGTCGCAGCTGCTCGCTGCGCCGCTTCAACAGTGCGATACCCTCATGAGGAACGAGATAAATATCACACTCCAGAAGTCCGTGCGAGCTCATGATTGCTGATCGGTAGCTGGTCACGTGGTGCTAATCGCCTCTCGTAACCCCCTGTACACTACACCACGCTCAACGCTAAACTCGCCCCGATCTTGTGGATTCTCGCACGAGTGGAAAATCTGCTAAAAAAAGTGAAAAAGTCGCACAGTGTACGCCCGGCTTTACTGTCTGTGTGTGTGTGCGTCGATGCCTGGGCCGAGCTGACGGAGCTCCCGGCTGTGTGTAGGGAGGGGCGGGCGCTCTATCTGACTGGCCAATCACAGAGCGTGAAGACAGTCAGTTACCCAATGAGGATTTCATTCAGCACGATTACAGATATTTCCGAGTTTTACACTCGTTTCTTGCTCGTATTCGTCAAAAATGCTTTATCCGTACGCTCATAGCTGTAACCACCCTGCCCTGCCTCCTCCTCCTTGCTACCTGCCGGCTGTGATCACAAGCAACAACACAGTAGTTCCCGCTGCTTCTTCGGGAAACGGCGCAAAAAAAAAAAACAAAAAAAAAACATCAATAAAACTTGGGATGTTGTAGGCGTGGCGGTGGGATTTCAGCCGTGGCGGCCTGCCACGGCTGCGCCTATGTAAGGGAAACCCTGAGCGATTAACAGGTTTCTGCAGCACTTGATGTCATCCTGAGAAGGCCATGCAGATATGTAAATCAGGTGGGCTGAAGCTGAGACATGGAAAACATGCAGAACAAGGGGGGCTTGGTTTATTATTCTGGGCCAAAAGGCCTAAAATCTATATCACAATATATTGTTTTCTTCTATTTATGTATTTATGACTGAACGACTGGTTTTACATTCTCACAGTAGAACAAATACTTCTAAAAATTATTGAACCTTTAAAGTTCAAAACTTATTAAAATAAACCTTTTAAGTAGTTTTCATGTTGTGTTATAATTCATTCTTCAGACAAAGCAACACAAAAATCCTCATAAAAGATGAGACTTCAATAAAATTCAAGCTAAATTTGATGAAAACACAAAATTATAGTTTGAAAAAATGTAAAAACAGAAATAACTTTTCTGATTCGTTTAATCACTTTTAATGTTTTTCGTTTTCTCATAGAACTCCGGTGTCGCTTCAGTAGATAACCAACGGTAAAATGATGCGTTGCTGCGTTTTTTTTTTTGTCGACATTAATAAATAAATTGGATGTGTATTCCTTTTCTCTGTCTCTGGTTGAGCGACGCTCTGATCGGTGGGTCTGGGGTTAGAGGTCAGGTCCGCGGTGAGCGAGACGGGGAGAGAGAAGCTGAACAACCACGAGCGTTATCGGGAGGAAAAGCTGCGGATGGAAGTGTGTTCAAACTAAATCTCGGGAGACGTCCGTGCCATTTTAGGGGATTAGTGTTAACAAGAAATTAACGCAGATACGACTTTAATTATTTACCGAGGAGGTTTTTCTGTTCAGCATCAGCTCCTGAAACTCAAACGAGGTCCATGTAACCAACATTACCGGATCAAGTGCACCTGAATCCACGCGCTGTGGCACTGACGCAGCTTGAAGAAATTCACGTACAGTCGCGGTTGGCGATAATACATCAACCATACATTACTGAGCGCTAGCGGCTGCATGACTTCATTTTTTTAAAGTCGACCGTCAAGTAATGAAAATCGAGTCGACTTCGACTAGTCATTGATGACGTCACACACCTGAAGCGGGGGGTAGGTTCGCTGGAGTTTTTGACAATTAAAATTGCGCCCACATTTTCAAAGTTAAACACATTTCTTTTAACAATGGTAGTTTCTGCTTCAGCCCTCTCCTCCCTCCCCCTGCGCAGCGGCCGCAAACTCACTGATGTGCCTGCAGCCTCTCAGAGTTCCTGCCGCTCTAAACATTAAAATAATTATTTCATTTTCTGTTCCTCACTTCTGATGACCTTCAATGGTGTCTGTTTGTTGCAACAGCAGGTACAAAAACTAACTTGTTTTTATTTGACTATTTTTCTGTCCTGCCTGTTTATTATCTTCCTGCATCTCCTCTCAATCCTAAAGAGAAACTGCTACCTGGGTTCATATATATTCACCTCATGAGTTACCTTTGAACTGCAGTTCTAAAAGATCTACCGACCGCTAAAACAGCGGAGTGCTCGCCGGCCGTACCGGTGAGGTGCGTTACCGGAGGACAATCACTCCAGTTTTACAGTCCCTCCACTGGCTCCCGGAAGAATATAGAATACAGTTTAAAGTTTTAGTCCTGACCTATAGAGCTCTTAACAACCAGGCTCCAAGCTACCTATCTGAGCTTTTATCCCCACACACCACCTCTCGGAACCTTAGATCCACATCTGAAAACCTCCTGGCTGTTCCTCGAACCAGACTGAAAACCAAAGGGGACAGGGCCTTTCAGACTATTGCACCCAGACTTTGGAACAGTCTACCTTCAAATCTCCGTCTTTCTAACACTGTAGAGGTCTTTAAAAATCATCTAAAAACTCACCTTTTCATCCAGGTGTTCCCTCCCTAAAGTTTCAGAATGATGGCTTTGTTCGGGTTCACTTTGTTTATAGTCATGATTTTAATTTCTACGTTTATCACTGCTATTGTTTTTCTGATGTTTTTATTGGTTAGAGTTATTTGCCCTGATCTTTATCATGTTGTACAGCGCTTTGTGATTCATATCTGTGAAAGGCGCTATATAAATAAACTTTTACTTACTTACTTACTTACAAACCAGGTGAAACGCCCCGCTCCACAGCAGCGAAACGCATCAGGCACAAATTAAAGAATAAAAGACAGAAAACATTAAAGGAAATGAGCCGACATGAACGATCGCGTGTTAAATTAGTTTTTGAGGTGGCGACACCTGATTTGATAATGTTACTGTGGCCGTGCTCAGGACGCAGATGTCTGGAGCGCGTCAACGATCAGAGATTGGCATACGCAAGCTGGTTAAGGTTAGGATGGGGTGAGGGGAAGGTTAAATTGCAAGAGGGTAAACGTCACAATTCAATCAAATGTCCGTTTTACGCCGGGCGTCAGATACCGACGCTCTGGCACAGCGCGTCGCCTCCCAGCGCGCAGGGGCTCGTCATCTGCTGTCTTTTCCGAGGACTGCATCTTGCCGGTCATTATCACCTGACGGCGACTAGTCGATGACGGGCATGAAAAGTCACTACAGAGCGGTGAAGTCGACTAGTTCATACAACCCCTAACTTTATTTGCGTTCCAGAGGAAGAGACACAGGATAAAGCTCCAACCTTATTTATATAGTCCACAAAAACACAGCAAAGCATCCTTTTACCTGCAGTCCTTCACCACAACAGTTAACTTCTGCGAGCAACAGAAAAACATGAAAAATGATGAGATTCATCAGGCAGGAATACCACAATATCACAACATAGATTTGAGGTCATATGGCCCGTTCCTACTCGAGTGAAGCGCCCCCCTGTCCTGCACGTTTTCCATGTCTCTGCTTCGGCCCACCTGATTTACATATTTCCATGGCCTTCTCAGGTTGACATCAAGTGCAGCAGAAGCCTGATAATCACTCATTCATTTAGGTCAGGTGTGTGGCAGCAGGGACACACCTAAAACATGCAGGACAAGGAGGCGCTGAGGGCCAGTTTTCGCATGGAGTCTGTTGTTTTCTGGAAACTGCATGAGGATTGTCATAAACAGACAGACAGGAAGTGAGACGTGTTTCAGCGTTTAAGTGTTTTAATTAAATTATCTTCACTTAATACGACTTAATGTACTTTCTGCTTTTGGGGAATCATCAACACATTGACTAAGGGGGTACTCGTGGTTCGAGAAAACGGCTCAGGAGGTACGCAAGTCGAAAAAGGCAAGGCAGCTTCATTTATACAGCACATTTCATACACAAAGCCAATTCAATGTGCTTTCCATTAGCAGGAACAGCAAGAACACCAATCAACGTGAAAATACAATTTAAAAATTCTAAAGAAACCAAGTTCAACCGACCAATGTTGGGAAACGCTGGTGTAGGTAGTCATAGCTACGGTTGCAGCATTTAAACCACATATAATACCTTGACTTTACCGTACAATACGTCCATGGCAGACATTATTCTTATTTCCGTTATTGTTACTTCATGTGGAGAAGGAGATTAGAACATGTGGACATCGTCCAGATGAAGACATCACCAACAGAAGATTGCCTCATAAAGGCCTCGGAGCCCTGCTGGGTGGATATACTGCAAGGAGATCTGACACATAGTTTGACCCCATGCCACTGAGTGATTTATAAACTAGCAGTAGCACTTTGTAGTTTACTGGTAGCCAGTGTAGAGATTTAAGAACAGGAGTGATGTGCTCGGTCCTCTTGGCTCGAGCATCTTCCCTGCTGGACGAAACCCTAACCAAACGAGAGAGAATGTTGAGGTTTTTGCATTGTTGTTTTAATCGCTACAATATATTTATAGCTGTGCAGTGTTAGAATGTTAAGAAGCACGAAAGCAATGTTTTACGTTGATTTGTTTTCCAAATTAGCCTTTGTAGCTTTAAGACGCCAGCAGCAGCCTTCTGCAAAAGCTGCAGTTGCTTTAAAGCTTATATGGGAAGGCCAGACTAAAGACTGGTGCAATAATGACGTGAAGGCCGATCATTTTCAGATCTTAAATTCATACAAGCATGATGATCTGGTTTCCAGAGTGATGGGATCCTTGTGTCTTCAGACTGGTAGTGGATCTGTACGTCCACACAGAGTCCATACGTGGTCCAGATGATGCTCTGCTGCGGCCATAAAGACACTAGTCATTAAGAATTTGATGAAACGTAGGAGAAACGCCATGAGAGAAGGCGTGTGAGCTGACCGGATGTGTCTGAATGTCAGTTAGGGGAACATGTTAAGTTGCTATTTACACATAACGCCAACAGAAAGGAGACCTGATCCAGCGTTTAGTTGTGTAGAAGACCAACTTGTCCACAGTGGGTTTGAACCCAGCCACTGCTGAATAAAACGGGTCTGGTTAGGCTGGCGTCTACTCATACCAACATCTAACCAGAACACCTGCTCCTGCTCTTCTGTGTTGTCAGTGTTTCACCCTGATCATGACGTCAGGCCAGATGTGGAACCACATCCGAGGCCCACCATATGCACACAAGAACCCGAGCAGCGGACAAGTGGTACGACACAAACACACACACACACGCGCACGTATCGGACGCCTGCTTCAGTGTTGTTTATTTAATGTTCCTTCTGGGTTCCTCGGAAACAAACGCCAGTCAGTTTGAGATCTTCAGCCATTACAGGAGAACAGAAGAAAAATAGAAAAAAATGAATAAAACGGGCCTTCAAAAACACAAATCCAAATCTTCTTTCCAGAGCTACATCCACGGCAGCAGCCAGGCCCAGTTCGTGGCAGAGACGCACATCGTCCTCCTCTTCAGTATCCTTTCAGCTGGACTCAGGTGTTTGTCATTAACCTGTCTAAAGTTGTCCGGGGGGCGGAGTTAGGGTGTTTGTGTAAACAGGTAGGTGAGATCTACACTTGAACCAAGACCTACCTGTACCCTAAACCTGGACGAGATCCGGAAGCACAGCACGTGGTTGAGTTGAAGGCACGCGTGGGGCTGTTACGGCAGTGTTAGCGCATCTTTCACTGGTCATAATGTTTTGGCTCATTGGTACAGACCAGCTTCATGGCTCAGTGTTGTCTGACCCTTGACCTTTCTGTCAGATGGTGCTATTACCTTGGGGATAATCCTTCTGTGTGAGGCTGCTACTTCTGACGTTGACATCGGAAAGAGGAAGAGTATGTACACGTTTATCATCCAGCTGTTCTTCCGACCAGTAGGACAATCCTGATGTCTGTGGTCTTTCATGGAGCTGCCGTGAAGAGGCATCTCCATCAGACCACAGAGTACCTTAAAGTCTTACTTTCCTAACATACACACCTTTCTTACATCGGTTTCTGCTGTGACCACAAGCACCTGATTCCCAAAGAGCGCTGCTGCTTGTGATGTGCATGTAGAGGGAAGCGACCACCTCCTGGGAGCTAGAGCTGTTTGAGTCACACCCGGGCTCCACCCCATGCATAAGCAGTGGTAGCGTAGTAGGTGTGTATTCTCCATGAGTTCAGTCCCTTCCCACCGAGAGCCTTTCAGACATAAATCGGCAGCGACGGCGTTCTAACGCAGCTGGTCCAACGAGGTCATCACAGGAGGATTGCAAGATCACACGAATTTTGATCGTTCACACTCACAAGTAGGGATGCACCAATATGAAAATTTTTGGGCCGCTACGATATCCAATATTAACTCATTCACTGCCAATGAAGACTAAAGTCGTCATTTGCATTTTTTTTTTTACTGTGTGGGCGTCGGAAAGAGCCCCCGCACCGTGAGAACAAACATCTCAGCTCTAACCCGATCTTCATTCCCATACGTCACACGTCACGTGATCAGGAAGATCACAAGACGTGTGATCTTCCTGAACATCCATGTGTTAGGAAATCGTTTTGGGCCGCTGCTGTAAAAAAAGTGAGGCGCGAACCGGAAAAGCTTCTGCTGATCACTGTTCAACAACGGATTATGAAAGAACGGATAACGCTCGAAACGCGGGGATTCTTCCTGATGTAAGAAGTGAGTCTCCGCTTTGTTTTGGTTGTTTTGGCGTCAACATCATCCTAGCGCGCAACGTTCTGTGACTTAAATAAACAGTAAAAACGGTGAGAAACGCTGGCAGCGAAGGCCTTTACCGATCAGGAAACGGCTGGCAGTGAATGAGTTAAGATCACTGTTATGGCCGATACCGATGTACTGACATTAATGCTTCTAAACTCCACAGATTTTGTATAGAATGAAAATTATTAAAGCTTAGTTTACGTTATTATGTACACACAACGCACACATTTACAGTTCTGAGAAGATTTCATTCGCTGTTCACATGACTAAACAATCACACATCACCCCCTCACCCTCTGAAACAGGCAAACAAATGGAGACGAGATGGAAAAAATATCGGTTGTATCCAGTAAGGTCTGCGGTTTATTTTCTGTTCTGTTTCCCTTGACTATGGAGGTAAACTGGAAAGGATGTTCTTTATTTACTAGTTAAGCAACTGGAAGTCTCTTTTGCTTTCAGAGTTCCCGTTTACACAGCTCCCGTGTTTTGACTTCCTGTCTGGCCTGATCTGAACCCGCTGAGCCGGACGGGTTCTGGAAGCGTAACGCGTACAACACAGACACAAAGTGTAAATTTCGCAGGGTTATGTGACGCTACGCTTCTGGATCACATCAGAGATGTGCTGCTTCTCGGCTAGTGGAAACACGCCTGTTGACTAAAACGGTGCTATTAGCTGCGTATTACGCTTTGCTGGTGCTACATTTCCCGGGTGTTACACAATGCTTAAGTATCCGGTGGAAAGCTGGGCTGAGGGTAAATAAACAATGAATGGACGCTTCTGTAAGACTCGTAATGTATCTTATGTTCAGAATTGATTTTAAAAAAATTCTGATAAAACACTTCCACTAATGGTGAACAACCAGAACCAGAAGTGGTGGGATGATTCTTGTGGGTCACACAAGCCAGCAGTGTCCGCTTACAGCGCTACCATGATTAGCAGGCATGTTCGGGTTTTCATTCAACAACCTGCAGAAGAGCCCAACTAATCTGGATGTGCTTCAGGCTAAACTTAGCTTCAATTGATCCTTATTTACAGGGTATCCGCGGGTCCTTAAAAAGTCTTAAATTAGCTTTTCCAAATTTAAGGCCCTAAAAATCCTTCAAAATGACAAATAACCCTTAAATACAGTTTCCAAAGGTCAAATTACCAAAGACTCAATAAACAAGATTCTTTTATTCCTATAAAATTTTCATGAATTTCTAGTTAGTGTTCAGCATTTTTTGTGTATGATGTTGGCATAAGCGGAACCGTACACATTCAGTTGGTTGTGAAAGGGGGCTATTTTAAGTGAGCACATTAGCTGGTTAAGCTAGTGGGAACGTGCGCCATGGGGAAGTGCAAGCTTAATGGTAACTGGATGGCTAATCCCACGTTCGCGACGTGGTTAGCACCGGTTCCAGGCAATAGGTGGAAATTATAGCTTAAATTTAATCTTTAAAATAGCTTAAATTTGGTCAAAGTGGCCTTAAAAAAGGTCTTAAAAAGTCTTAAATTTGGCTCCCTTTGTTGGGTAATTTTATCGATCTGCGATTACCTTAGGGAACGTTTAAAGCACGGGGGTTTATAGTAATCAATCGATCAACACCAATACCAATCATAAACAATCAATTTAGACTTTGCAAAGTGGAGAGGAAAGACACACACCAGACAACGGGTCTCAGTTCACTCTCATCCGACTGACGTCTTCTGAAAGTATTTATTAAGCACACACAAAGATTAACGCACACACATTTTGACATTCTTTAGACTCTCAGGCGGGAAAGCTGTAAAAGGGAGTCTAAACTTTCTCCAGGTGCACCCTAAATCAAACAAAGCCATTGCTAGACTTTCTCAAGGGAGTTTTACTGATAACGGTCGGTTCCGAGGTAAGGTCGTCCTCCCTGTAGGAACTGGTGGAGCCTGGTATCTATCAACAGGATGAAGCTACGTTTAATATGGCACCAGATGTTAGCATTAACATTAGTTCAATAATAATATCAGTTTTTATCCAACACCCTTAAACCCGCAGATACCCTGTATTTACAGTAACGGTACATGTATGTAGTAGAAATGCTTTTTCCCTGCCCTAGTTCAATTCGATGGAAGTGCATGTTCATAGTGCATACAGTGGATTTACATTTTGTGTTGGTGTTTGTGTGTCAGTTATGTGTATAGCAGGAATTTGTCTGGTGATGCTGTTCTTCAGCTGGCTCTTGTCCATTTTCAGAGCCAAGTACCACGGATACCCGTACAGGTCTGGACACTCATGGCTGTATGACTGGTGAAATTACTGCCGTATTTACTAAAGTTCCTCTTGTCTCCCGCAGCTTCCTGATCAGTTAGAAGTTCGTGACCACCTACGTTCAAAACCAGCTAAAACTTCAGGACCATTTCTCCAAAAAGTGCCATCAACACCAAGAACAGAGCTATGCATGGTGACGACGTCTCAGAGCTGTTTACTTGGCATCGACCGGTCTTATCTGTCGTGTGTCTGTGTGTCTGTGTGTGTGTGTGTGTGTGTGTGCGTGTGTGTGTGCGCGTGTGTGTGTGTGTGTGAGATTTTCACCATCGTGCCGTAATGTCTTGATTAGTATTTTGTCCAGCTGGATTCTGACATGTTTTGATTAGTTTGTGTTTCATCCTAAGACAAAACTTGTGTCTACATTTTAAACTGATGGAAACAGCTGATTTTGGTTTGTCTTTTTTGGTCTAAGCAGCCATGGCAAATTTGCAAAACAGGCTAGCTTTTAAACACAAACACGGAAATCCTAACCCCTCCCGTCGGCCATCATCCCTAGGCCACATCCGCCTGATACCGGCTTTGCCGCAGGAAACGAAAGAGCGCTAAACACCAGTCGCCGTTTTCTAGGACCAAACGCCTTTTGTTGTTTGTGACTTCAAACTGTGATTTATTTTTGAGACTCTGGTAGTTTGTCCTAAAGTAGAAGTGGTAGCAGCCGGCTGTTTCTCCTTTTATTATTGAGCGGAGATCCTCTCACGTTGGGAGTGTTCTCTTGCAAAATAAATGATGTAGTGTACCAAAATGCCAAGTATTTCATCAAAATGGCTAAAAGTTAACTTTTAACTTGCAGGCCCAACCTACTTCTTCACACGGTGTCAGATTGAGATTTGGCCATTTTGATGAAATATTTGGATTTTTGGTACGCTACCATGAGTGGAGGACCCAGGGAACAAGTCATGTTATTGGCTGAGGGTTTCAAACAAATGTGCGAGAATCACATTTTTTTCATTTTTTAACACCACTAAATATTTATAGCCATACTATTTTAGAACTTTAAGAGAACTAAAAAATATTTTCAGTTAGCTTGTTTTGCAGATTTGCCATTGCAGCAAATCTAAGGGGCCCTGTATCCTAAAGGGGTTTAAAGTTATTTCAGGGTTAAAATAAAAAATTTATTTTAAGGAACAATTCTTTGTTTTTGATTTGTGGTTCCCACTTATTCATTATGTACTCAGAATAATTTTGTTCCTACTTTAAAGGGGAACTAGGCAGTTTTGGCTTGCTTTTAGCATCCCCTAGTATCCAGTTAGTTAAACCAAAAGTGAAACTTGTATGCTCACTGTGCGTTGTGATGGGAACTTCGGCTCTTTTATGAGAACCGGTTCTTACGGCTCAGCTCACTAAAATGAACCGGCTCTCAAACGGCCATGCGCACACATTTTGTTGTTTTTTAGAGGTTCGGGGGCCTGCAGGTACAGTCTGTAAGTCACTCCAGTTCCTCCGAGAGCTGTTTTGTTCGCGAACGACAAATCACTAGTGCATTTGTCTTTTTAACACCTTCATCTAACAGCTGAATTGTCTCCTCGGCCTTCCTTAGTGTCGACAGGAGTGATCCATCGCTAAATTATATCAGCTGTGTTCATGATCTAAAAGGTGCTGGAACCAGACTGCAGCGCCAGGTATGTCAGCCCAATCTTTTTCCCAACAGAGCGGCTGCCAGTCTAAACTTGCAAGTGGAATATTCTGACCACAGGGGTGATGGGGGCTGGATGGCCTTTCGTTTACCTTGTAAAGGGTCATTTTAGCGCATTCTGGCTCAAGAAAATGATTCAAAAATATGAAAAAGTTGCAATTCTGCTTTTCAACAAGTCAAAAAACTTCACCAAAGAGTGAAATAATTTTTCTGTAAAATGCACAAAATAAGGAAAAAAACTATCATCAGCTGGGGCAGTGGTTCCCAAACTTATTTAGCCGCGCACCCCCTTCTATGTCCCGACCATGTCGACGCACCCCACCCCCCCAGCCCCCACATCGGGGAATGGCTCTATATATATATATATATATATATATATATATATATATATATATATCACATGTCAAGCTAAACAGAGAGGGTTAAAAAAATTCCCCATCACTTTCATTTTTTAAATAGTATTTAATAAACATTCGATACCATTACAATTTCCTTTGATTTCATTTTAAATGAATATTTAGAGTGCCCAGGTAGCACATAAACAATGCAATTTAACGGTTTTCTTAAAGTAGGAACGTTTAACCTGTGCGGCCAGAGCGCTCTCCTTCCTTCTGCTCTGCGTAAACCTGAGCTGATCACCTACTTGTGCGTAATCAAATGTCAATAGGGGACAAGATAAAGCCATGAGGTTCACTTTTGCCTCAGACCGACTTATTGCTGTTTTATGGTGTGGCTGAATCTGCGATCCGCTGTCATGCGGACCGGAATAGCAAATGGTGCAGTAACAGGAGTTGTGGTCAGGTTCAGGGGCGGCGTTAGGCCCGGCTACTTGGGCTGAAGCCCCGGATCTTTCATGATAAGCCCCGGATCTAAATCGCGGAAGTAACATGCAGTACCAAAGTCACACAGAGAGGGCGCAGCTGGCAGTAGTTTGTAAAGTCCCATTTAGTCGTCACACACACAGGTGTGTGGTGAAATTTATTCTCCGATTTTGACCCATCCCCTGAGTTGCAGACACGCCGCGCTCGGGAACTATTTGGTGGTTTAACCCCCCAATCCAACCCCAATCCAATGCTGAGTGTCAAGCAGGGAGGCATTGGGTCCCATTTTTCTCAAAATCTTTGGTATGACCCGACCAGGAATCGAACCCCTGATCTCCCGATCTCAGGGCAGACACTCTACCACTAGGCTACTTCGTCAGTATACAGTTTACCTGAGACTGAAGAGAAGCCCTTCAGCAGCTGGCTTCTGCAGCTCTGATGAGACTGGTGTTGACTCAGGTTTGTGAGTCTTATTTGAAAATATTTGTTGTGCTGCTGGTTTGCCTAAAGTTAGCTTACTATCAGGTAAAGTTGTTGGAGAAAGAAAGGGAATATTCACTATCATCTCACACTAAACACTAACAGGAACAATACTCTGCCCTGAATATGCTGAATATGTAGCTTCAGATTAAACATTATGTGGTACAAGATATATATATATATGATGTTGACTAGTGCGTGTCACGTGTGTGCGCGCATGCGTGTGTGTGCGCGCGCGTGTGTGTTAAGCCCCGGATCTTCTTCAGTCCTAAATCCGCCCCTGGTCAGGTTCATGAGGAGTCACTGGCTGGAGCGGACCCGACTCATCCCAGAAGCTAATATCTTAATTTGACCTTGAATGAAAAATAACCTCTTAAAAAATTTTATCACGGTGGAGGCAGCGTTCATTTCTGCCTTCAGTCTGACGGCGCGCCGGAGTTAAAGCAGCGTGTGCGCTTATTGAATCTGTGTGTGTGTGCACGCGCGCGGCACAGCCGCTCAAGTCACCGCGTCTCGCGCTATTTAAACCAATGTTGTAAAATTACTTCTGCCCAGCCCAGATGTGCTCACTTGTGCACCCGTGAGCCGGTTCCGCTGGAACGCGTCTGACCTCTGACAGACGCACTCTGAACTTCAGATCTTCAGCGCGCTGTTAATAGCCTGAATGGGAATCATTTCTTGTTATTTTGTTACATCCACAATGTTCTGTGTGTGAGGTTTACAATGTCAGAACACCTGCATGAGACAGGTGTTAATTACAATCTGCCAGAATGACTCGCCACCTTCAGATTTCTCCAACACCGTTAAAAATGATCAAATACGAACATATCGGCGTGCGCAGGTCAGAGCGCTGAAGCTCGGCGCATTGTTATTATGAAGCTAGGGCACATGCGGAGGACACGCACGCGCGCAAAAATATACTTGTTTTAAATTACATTTATTGTGCCCACTTACTTTTTCTTTGACCCACCCACAAATGAGTTTCTACGCTAATGGTGACACATGACAGACTTCTCTGAGCTCCGCAGCCATTACACTTCTCACCTCGCGCACCCCCTAGCGGCAGCTCGCGCACCACACTTTGGGAATCCCTGAGCTGGGGAAATAGACGTCTGTTTTAAGACGAGTGATGAAGGCACCCGCAGCACTTACCCCTTTCCTCCTCATTAATGCCTCAAGTTCCTTTTTTTCTGTCTGCCATCACTTTTTGCGGTCCAGAAACATTGTGACACAGTTCCAAAAGTTATAGTTCATTTTATTTTTTCATTATGTTGTTAATGGTGAGCTTTTACCCTCAGAATACTGGCATTTTCCAACTGTTGCCACCTGTTCGGTCCACACTCACACCCAGCTGCAGCTTTTACCCCTACGGTATATTCCCAACATTATCAAGAGAAAACTGCTGTTTGAGTTATCAAACAATCTGAGGTAGGAGCCAGGCTGAGAGAGGAAACAAAAAATATGCCTCAAAGTGCAAAAACAATCAAATAAGTCTTGTTTACCCACAGAAAATTAAAATTTAAAGTACCTGAGTCATCAAATCAATAATCAGCGCTTAATAAGATGAAACAAATCATTAAAATAAAAAATACAGGTGCAACTCTGTGACTAATGTTTCCAGTTTTTTCTGCCCTCGTATTATTGGTGCATACCATTTGTACTTTATACTCAAAATTTGCAACTTGAGTAGGAAAAATGAACTGGAGCGTCCCCGGAGTCAGGTCTCGCACTTGGAAATTCGGATAATTGTTTGTACTCTGACTTAAGCATTTAATATAGCAGCTCATCGTGACTACGATGGTAGCTCTGGTGGAGACGTGTTCCTTTTACGTGATGCACTGAATCTAAAATCTATGTTATAGTCGTATTTTTTCCAAAGTAAAGCGAACGCTCCATAAGGGCTGCCTATGGCGGTCTCATTTCAATGTCTATGGTTAACAGGATGTTTTAGCCACGGGTTTAGCTCCACAAAACTGCGAGAGAGCACAGTTCACAAACGCCTGAATGAGCACGCTCACTTTAAAAAATGAGTGGATTCAGTTCACGAGATATGGGCACAACAGGAGTTACAACTAGCCACCGGTGCTTCTTTTTCTTATTTACTTCAGTAGCTCTTCAAATGCTACAAATGCCAGATCTGTTTCCCTGGTTTTACACATCATGAAGGTCCTGTTGATCCACCTGAAGAAGCAAACAAGAACATATCAGGACCTCTTCAATTCAGTTCATATATTTAACACCAAATCACGACTAATGTTGTTTCAAGGCACTCCACAAAGTAAGGCATTCCAATTGAGTTCAGTTCTTAGTTGCCAGTTACATAAAAGTTTCCTATATAAGGAACCCAGCAGATTGCATTGGAGTTTACAGCAATTCTCATGCTAAACAAGCATGTAGCGACAGTGGAAAGGAAAACTCCCTTTTAACAGAAAGAAACCTCCAGAGGTTTGCTGTGGAGTTGGAGTTGAAGATGCCTTCATACACCTGCTTCAACAAATCCTGTCATCTGGAAAAACAGGCAGCTATGTGAGGACCATGTTCTTTGGGTTAGCCTGTGCATTTACCACGATTCAGCATGATTTGTTGTCAAAACTCCAGAAGACACAAGTGGATGCTTCAGCAGTCACCTGGATTAATGACTACCTGACAAACAGACTGAAGGGTAGTGTGTTCGAGGAGGTGGTCAGCAACACGGGGGAAGGTAATCTCACCATTCCTTTTCTCTCTGTACACTTCAGACTTCCAACAAGTCAAAGACCTGTCATCTGCAGAAATCTTCAGACACGTCGGGTGTATCAGAGATGGCCAAGAAACTGAGTACCTAGAGCCGGTGGACTGCTTTGTGACTTGGTGTGGGAACAATCCCCTAATCTTCAGTGTGGACAAAACAAAGTTGATTATTGTAGATTTTAGAAGAAACAAGAATGGGACAAGCTCTATTTTCATCATGGGAGATGAAGTGGAGGTGGTCGAAGCATTTAAATACCTCAGTGTCCACCTGGACAATAGACTGCTGGAGCACAACAGTGAATTAAACTAAAAAAAATACATTTTAAAATAAAATTTGAAATAACATTTTAAATAACAAATGTATTTTTCTGAAATGTTTATGTTTGTAACATTTAAGTTAAATGTTTTGGATACGAACTGTTTTCTTTTAGATAAAAATGAATAAAGGAGCAATGCAGTACATCGCCACAGGCTAAACTCTCCCAGAGTTACCACAAGGACCAATTTGGTATGCCACCCCAAAAAATGTTTTGTCCCTGTCTGGCCACCCCTATCAAAATGGTCTGGAGGCGCCCCTACGCCCAAGGGCAAGGCTGCGGCAGACTGAATGAGACTCGATCCCACAACCTCCTACTTACGAGACAGGAAATCCTCTTTTTCCAAGAACACATTCCAACTTGGTATGAGGGGTTGTTGCCTCCCCATCGCTCCATAGATCCACCCCTGGTCGACTGCTAGAGCATTATTTCAGTTCAGCGATCAAGGAGAGTGGATATCTTTTGTCTTTTACTTCATCTAAAAAACAAAAAAGGATTGTCAACAACATAAAATTCCTCTAGGCTATTCTAACTTATTCATACCCGTGAGGTGAGTTATTTTTAAGTTTATGAGCATGTGACAGGTTAATGGACCGGTTTCCTGAATTGGAAGAACAGACTTCCGGAAAGGCACTTTGTTGTACTCTCGCTTTATTCCAATAATGCCTCCTTTAACAATTAAGAACTGTTCTTTTGTGGACAGGAACTGCAATAATAAAATCCTTAGATGTTGGCTCACTGACGCCCTCTTTCCCTTACCTCTTAGAAGACAGGAATTATTACGTCAATTTAGTAATTCTGTTGTTAAAAACATTAGATGCAACTATCTCAAATTCCCAATCCCTCCTAAAGCCAAGGAAGTTCGTTTTAAAACTATAAACAGTATTTATTCTTGCAAAGATTTCTTGCAGTCTAAATTTAATATTGGAGAGAAAGACTGTGCCTTTTGCACTTCTAATATAGAATCTGAGATACATTTATTCTTCACATGCATCTTTACCAAATGTTTCTGGGATAGTTTTCACTCGTGGTAACACAATAACAATTTCATTATACGCTCCTTATCTTTTTCTGACATCAAGTATGGTATTATTTTGGAAAATAAAATGCAGCAATTCACTGTCAATAATTTGATTATTTTCGCTAAATTCTTTATACACAAATGTAAATTTGGCAATGTCAAACCGATCTTTATTGTTTTTTTGAAAGAACTTGCATACTTTATGGATTCTCTTAAATTATGTAGTTCCAAGAAAGCCATTTGGCTCTATAACAATTTGGTGAATGTTTCCTTTACCCCTAATGCTGTTTGATGTAATATATAATTTTTTTTTTTGGTTATGATTTCTGCAGGTTGATATTGAGCTAGGTTAACGTTATTGTTTCTGTTTGTACACCTGCTTTTTTTGTTTTTGTTTTGTCATGCTCAGAATTCAACTGTAAATATTGATTCTTATGTAAGCCTGTAAACTTCATTGGTTGAATAAAACTTGTTAAAAAAAAAAAAAAGAACAGACTTCCGGAACTTTCCTTTTATGTCCCAGCCGGCTCCCTCCACTTTCCGTGGCTCGGCCCCACACCCCTCCCACCGAGTCCGTTAGTCGGTCTCTTGCGTGTGTCAGCAGTACCGAGGTGGGTCTCATCATGTCCGCCAGCTCCCTCCATCTGCTGCTGCTGCTGCTGGTCCCTCACCGACATCAGCTCCTACAAGGTGCTCCGCTCCTGGTCTTCCTGGTCGACGGGTTCCGGTATGACTACATCAGCGATTTGACCGGATTACCGGGATTCCGAGAGTTGGTGGAGAGGGGGGTTAAAGTGGATTATGTAACCCCGGATTTCCCGAGTCTGTCCTACCCCAACTACTACTCTTTGATGACAGGTAGGACTTCCGCCTGGGAATGAGATGTTCTGCTGGGACCTTTTCACTTCCTAAAAGAACTTGTGCAGATGTATATTTGAACAGCCTCAGTTAGGAGAAATAGAGTTAATGGCGGCGCCCCCTAGGGGTGGCGATGGCCACTCCTAGAAAATTGCTGTCCCACCCCCCAGGAAAAGCCGTGTTAATAAAGCATATTAATGTTTACTCTAACCATAAATTGATCTTATGCATTCAAGTCATAATTGTAAAACAAAAATAAAAACAATACAATTAACGAATAAAGAAAAAATCAGAATAAATAAAAAAGTTCATATGTTTCTGCTGCTCACCATTTTAAATATGTTTTTATCGCCATAGTTTTTGTGAACACAGCAACAGGAAAATTAAACAAAAAAAGATTTTTTTTAAAAATAAATTTTGAAATAACCTTTTTAGTCACTGAAATGTTTTTTTCTGAAATGTTTGTTTGTAAAATTTAAGTTAAATCTTTTGGATACATACTGTGTTTTTAAAAAATATAAAAACGAATAAAGGAGCAGTGCAATACATCGCCACAAACTAAACTCTCCCAGAGTTACCACAAGGACCAGTTTGGTGTGCCACCCCAAAAATGTATTTTGCCCCATCTGGCCACCCCTATCAAAATTTTCTGGAGGCGCCCCTGGATTGGACAGAAACAAATCGCATCAATACAAGTGTTAATGAGCATACATGTAGTATGTCAAGGCCTCGCATGTCATGAGGTGAGGGTGGAGATGGCAGACCATGTGTGGTGGAGGGTTCAGGAGGCAGAAGAGCAGGCACGGATGAAAAAATAAAAATGGGTTTAATGGTAGCAGCACAAGCACGAACACATGAAGACAATGCAATGATCCGACAACGACAGGAACAAAGAGGGAGGTATGACTACACAGAACAATCAGGGAACACATGGGCAGGTTAACGAGGGGCAGGTGAGAACAATAAGGCCAATTACGGAAGGAGCGACACAGTTAGGGAGGCCGGGGCGAATCATGACAGTACCCCCCCTTAAGGGGCGGATACCAGACGCCTACAAAGCCACACACAGGAGACCCTGAAAACACTGGAACTCGGGAACACCAGACTCGGGAACACAGGACTCGGGAACACATGACTCTGGAACACATGACTCTGGAAACTGGAAGACTGGACATGGGAACTTGGTCTCTGGAATTCAACAGCAGTGGGTGCGGGACACCAGAACTCGACAGCATTACGCTGGACCTCGACAGCAGCAGGCACGGGACACCGGAACTCGACAGGACACTCGAAAACTGAAAACATGCAACTCAGTCCGGGGCTGCAGAGCAGGGGCCTCTCGGTTAGACGGCACAACTCTGACTTACAAAGTCTCCTTGAGCTCAGACTGGGGTTGCAGAGCAGGGGCCTCTCGGTTAGGCGGCACAACTCTGACTGACGAGGGTCTCTTGAGCTTGGACAAGGAAACTCGGACACACGAACACGAACTCCTGACTCAAACACAGGAACACTTGATGCACGAACACTTGACCTGGAATAGGAACACTTGACTTGACACCAGGAACACTTGACTTGACTTGACATCAGGAACACTTGACTTGACACCAGGAACACTTGACTTGACTTGACTTGAGACCAGGAACACTTGACTTGACACCAGGAACACTTGACTTGACTTGACAGGAACACTTGACTTGACACCAGGAACACTTGACTTGACTTGACTTGAGACCAGGAACACTTGACTTGAGACCAGGAACACTTGACTTGACTTGACAGGAACACTTGACTTGACTTGAGACCTGGAACACGAACACTTGACTTGACTTAACACCAGGAACACAAACACTTGACTTGACTTGACACCAGGAACACGAACATTTGACTTGACTTGAGACCAGGAACACGAACACTTGACTTGAGACCAGGAACACGAACACTTGACTCGAGACCAGGAACACGAACACTTGACTCGACTTGAGACCAGGAACATGAACACTTGACTTGAGACCAGGAACACTTGACTTGACTTGAGACCAGGAACATGAACACTTGACTTGAGACCAGGAACACTTGACTTGACTTGAGACCAGGAACACTTGACTTGACTTGAGACCAGGAACACTTGACTGGACAGGAACACTTGACTTGACAGGAACACTTGACTTGACTTGACAGGAACACTTGACTTGACTTGAGACCTGGAACACGAACACTTGACTTGACTTGACACCTGGAACACGAACACTTGACTTGACTTGACACCAGGAACACGAACATTTGACTTGACTTGAGACCAGGAACACGAACACTTGACTTGAGACCAGGAACACGAACACTTGACTCGAGACCAGGAACACTTGACTTGACTTGACAGGAACACTTGACTTGACTTGAGACCAGGAACACGAACACTTGACTTGACTTGACACCAGGAACACGAACATTTGACTTGACTTGAGACCAGGAACACGAACACTTGACTTGAGACCAGGAACACGAACACTTGACTCGAGACCAGGAACACGAACACTTGACTCGAGACCAGGAACACGAACACTTGACTCGACTTGAGACCAGGAACATGAACACTTGACTTGAGACCAGGAACACTTGACTTGACTTGAGACCAGGAACATGAACACTTGACTTGAGACCAGGAACACTTGACTTGACTTGAGACCAGGAACATGAACACTTGACTTGAGACCAGGAACACTTGACTTGACTTGAGACCAGGAACACTTGACTTGACTTGAGACCAGGAACACTTGACTGGACAGGAACACTTGACTTGACAGGAACACTTGACTTGACTTGACAGGAACACTTGACTTGACTTGACAGGAACACTTGACTTGACTTGAGACCTGGAACACGAACACTTGACTTGACTTAACACCAGGAACACGAACACTTGACTTGACTTGACACCAGGAACACGAACATTTGACTTGACTTGAGACCAGGAACACGAACACTTGACTTGAGACCAGGAACACGAACACTTGACTCGAGACCAGGAACACGAACACTTGACTCGAGACCAGGAACACGAACACTTGACTCGACTTGAGACCAGGAACATGAACACTTGACTTGAGACCAGGAACACTTGACTTGACTTGAGACCAGGAACACTTGACTTGACTTGAGACCAGGAACACTTGACTGGACAGGAACACTTGACCTGACTGGACATGAACACTTGACTTGACTGGACAGGAACACTTGACTGGACAGGAACACTTGACTTGACTGGACAGGAACACTTGACTGGACAGGAGGACAAACTGCAGCAGCCGGGACGGGACCCTGTAGTAACTGCAGCAACAGGCGTGGGAACCAGCAGGAACTGCAGCAGCAGGCATGGGACCCAGTAGAGACCGCAGCATGAAGGACCTGCAGGCACAGACCCCGCAGGCGTGAACCAGGAAGCGGAAGAACAGCAGGAGCGACGCGAGGAAACCAGGAGCGGTAGCAGGTACTCGGCAAACAGTCCTGAGCAGGTGACTCGACTGGATCCACAGGCAGGCTCAGGTGAAGGGAAGCTGACATGGAGCGGAAGACCAGCCCTACCACTCCGAAGAACGCTGGCGTGCGCAGGGGGTTTTACCTCCATGAAAAACTCCAGAAAACAGCAGCTTCCATGAAAAACAGGACGGGGTGAAAACAGCAGGAGGAGAATGACCCTGACCACCCCGAAGACAAATAGGATGCCCCAGGATCTCCCAGAGGGCTCGCACCCCGAGACAGGTAGGATGCGCCGAAAAAAACAAAAAACTCCAGGCCGAAATCTCCCTCTGCTGAAAAGGAGAAAAAATAATCCTCCAGAAACATGTGTTAGCTCACCACAGGTCCTGTCGTTGTCGGATCATTCTGTCATGAAGTGAGGGTGGAGATGGCAGACCATATGTGGTGGAGGGTTCAGGAGGCAGAAGAGCAGGCACGGATGAAAAAATAAAAATGGGTTTAATGGTAGCAGCACAAGCACGAACACACGAAGACAACGCAATGATCCGACAACGACAGGAACAAAGAGGGAGGTATGACTACACAGAACAATCAGGGAACACATGGGCAGGTTAACGAGGGGCAGGTGAGAACAATAAGGCTAATTACGGAAGGAGCGACACAGTCAGGGAGGCCGGGGCGAATCATGACATCGCAAGTAAGGCCCCTGGCCTCCCAAGACATCGCCTTACAAGGATTTAAACTTGACATTTGTCCCCGAAGTAGCTGTTGGCTTCTGGTTTGCCATTCTTTTGAAAATACAGCACTGGTTGCTGGGAAAATTTTGACCAGGGCTAGGCTACAAGAGACCTCCCGTGTATCCTTGCTCAGCTAGCTAAAAGGCTAACATTGGAACATGCCTTGTTGGTTCCTAATGACGTATCTCCTAGGCAACCGGGGCAGGACCAAGACATCAACGCAAGGTTTCTTGGCATTGAGAAACACCCCAGGTCTCATCCCGGTGTGTGAGTAGCATCTGAACGTGGTTACCCCACCTGCACTTTTGTAAATACCGCATTAACATTAACATGTCCATTCTATGAGCCCCACCTCGGCGTGTCAAAATCTTCCCACAAATTAACTGGGCTTGAACTATTAGAAACCAGATATAACTGGCTAGAAAACAAATTCCGTTGCTACTTTTCCTCTCTGTTCAGTACTCCCGTAATTCACTGTTCTGTCCTTCTGTAAAAACTGAACTGGGGTTGAAGGCATGCTGAAGATCGCAAAAAAGGTGCTACTTTTCCTGATGTTTATTACTCGTGTCACTCACTGTTTACATGCTTTTGTCCTCCACTGTGGTGGACCCATAGGTGCTAAACTTTACTTGAAATAAATTCTCAGACAAAATATTCTCAGATTACTTAAAAATCTATTAAATCAAATTAAAATGTAATAATCTATTACAGTATTTACTTTTTATGAAACTGTAACATCAATACTTTGTTATTCTCAGCTGCAACTGAAAGAACTATTGAAAAATAGAAAAGTTTCTTATCTTTTGGAAATTTCTTTGATTATTTACTTAAAGAGCAATTTACCCCCAAAATAAACTGTTTTGCTGATGTACTGTATAAACGGGTGTCTACTAGTGCTGTAGACGTGTCTAGTCCGTACTTTGGCAATTTAATGCATCTTATTTAAAATGTAATAATTCATCCTTGATCCAAATCACCAAAGCAGGGGCCCAGGAGGATAGAGAAGAACAAAACTACAAAGGAATTTTTCTGTAGAACGTTCTGAACAATATTTGGACAGAATGTCAGTTTGTGGGAAAACACGAGTTCACTTTAACAAGTAGAAAGTTCTGGTGGAAGATGATTCAAGCTAGTTACTGCTCAGATAAGCAGAGCTTCAGCTAAACATTAAATGAAGCGTATGAAAACTGGCACATGGACAAAATTCCTCAAAGCAAGGAAGGCTGTAAAAACCTTCAATAACATAATTTATGAGAAATCACTCAAATGGATCCATATTCCTAAATCTTGTTTTAAAACTGTTTAAACACCAGTGTTTTTATTTGTGTAGAATTAATGTAGTTATTTTATACTTGTAGTTAGGGATGCACACATACCGATACTGTTCACTTAATATTTTAGTTTTGTGATCATTTCTATTTTATTCATATACTTTACTTGTATCTACCTCACAGTCTTTTCCTGTTGAAAGCATAGAAGAAAATAAAACCCGTATTCCAATTCATAGCTTTTTTTTGTGTGTGGTAGAAATATTGGTCATCTGTATCGGCGAGTACTCGCATCCAAGTATCGGTTTGGAAAAAAGTGGTATTGTTGCATTTGTTAGTGACTGTTTTACATAGTTATCGGTGTCAACTCGAAGCAGTTTCAATTAAAAACGGCCATTTTGGTTTTGTTTGCTTTATTCCAAAATTTTCAGGCCGTCACTGTGACATCCATCAAATGACTGGAAACTACATGTGGGATGAAGTCTCAGAGAAGGAATTTCTGATTGGGACCAATCCTGACAGTCGATTACCTCTGTGGTGGGAGGGATCTGAGCCACTTTGGGTCACCCTGCAGAAGCTGGGAAGGAATGTTTTCATGTACTACTGGCCAGGTGAGTGCCTAAAGCAATGAATTTAATAACCCATGCATTCCTTATACCACGTATGTATTTGTGTATGCAAACTCATTTCCAAGGACACAGTCGAAACCCACACGGGGTTTATAGATTTTATTTTAGGTTTCAAATTATTGTTTTAAATTGCCAAATCTTCACTGCTCCTTTAACTTATGGTTTTTTTCCCCCTAGTTTGCTATTATCTAAATCCTTTAACTCATTCACTGCCAGCCGTTTCCAGATCAGGAAAGCCCTTTGCATTTTTCTGCGTTTTTACTGATTTTTTAAGAGTCACAGAACGTTGAGCTCTATTATGATGTCAACGCCAAAACTACCAAAACAAAGAGTAGACTCACCTCTTACATCAGGAAGAATCCACGCTTTTCGAGCGTTATCCGTTCTTTTATAATCCGTTGTCGAATTGTGATCGGCAGAAGCCTATACGGTTCGCGCCTCACTTTTTTACAGCAGCGGCCCAAAACGATCTCCTAACGCATGGATTTTCAGCTTCCTGATCACGTGATGTGTGATGTACGCGGATGAAGATCAGCTTTAGAGCTGGGATGTTTGTTCTCATGGACACCCACACAGTCAAAAAGGCAAATGACGAATTTAGCCAACGACGACTTTTGTGGTCAATGGCAGTGAACGAGTTAACATCTGCAGTGGTCCATGTGTCAGTCAAGATCAAAGGGGACAGACAGTGGAAGCGGGTGGTAATGGTCATAAACTGAGTGTGACAGGGATTTAAAAATAATCCGTGCTCTAATTTGGAGTAAACGAACCTGGAGTGTTGTAGCACACTCCCGTCACCTTACTTTCTGATTCTGATTCAACAGGCAGCACACTTGTTTGCCCTCCAAAATCAGATCAAGACATTCCAACACATTTGAAAGTCCGAATTTATGATCGGAGTGGTCCAAACATAAATTTGAGCAGACTAGAGTGGACTTCCCATAACCATACATGGCAGGAATATCTCTTAAGATTATCCCTGTCAAATAAATATTAAATCAAATCTTTAGAGCCATTACGGTAAACAGTTGGCATCCTTAAGATAATCAGAAAGGGAGATTAAAAACATCAGTCCATCTTCACCACAACAGACAGATTTGTTCTCTCATTCGTGATCAAGGCGAGATGCAGAAGGTAGGACCTCTCCTCTGACCAGGAGGTGGCTGAGAATCATGGCCCCTGATTTGATAATGCAGACAAAACCTCTTAGTTCATAGCTATGACTTTTTCCATCCAACTTTTCTCAACAGTGCTTGATATTTCTTACCAGACTCCATCTCTTGTGTTGTCAGTTAGCATACTTGAGTGAGGTCCCTGTAGATGAGCCAACATGTTGCTTAGAGCTGTCCCTGTTACTCCTAACCATTTTGGGTTGCGTTGAATTCAAACGGATCAAACAGAGCACACCACCACCATGCACCTAGTGCGTCCTTTAACTAAATACTTTGACTTACCAGACCAGGCAGCTGCTCTTTGAGCGATCGTTTTCCCAAAAGAGCGTTTTAATTATTCACTGAATTTGTTGAAAGATATTGGAAGGAACATGTGGGAGCAATTTTAACCCAAACTCTAATTCAAACACATTTCTAAAGTTAAAGGAGTGATTCACTGATTTAATCAATACATTTGCATTGATCTCTAGTAGGAATGAATGCCTTGTAAATCATTCTTGGAGGAAAAAAATATACCGGTGCACTATTTCCAGAAACAGCTAGGCCGTTTCTCAATATGCATATCTATCTGAACTTGTGTACTCGTGGCCTTGTGAAACCTCGTCAGTGATGACCCAAGGACTGTTGTAATCTTAAGTATATATCATGACAAGTTCTCTCAGTCCCGGGATGTGTTCTTGCTCCGCCCTTTGTATCGAGGATGCACTGATGTGGACTTGGGACAGCTAAATATTCCATAATGCATTGTGCCGCTAATCGTTATACTCCAAACTGCAGAAGAGAAAGCTCGGAGCTGTAGTGTTTTATTTCAGAAATACAAATAAATAAATATAAAGTTGTCTGTTGTTGTAAATTAAATGTGTGTTATCAGTAAAATTGGCTCTGTGTATGTGATTTTTTTTTCTTTCAGACTCTTCATGATCCCTCAAAATACTAATTAGCTAACCCACTATCAAAATAAAAGCAGCCTTGCCTTCAATAGCTCTGTTTTGAAGCAAAAGAAACCTTCTTCTTTTTTAACATCAGGAAAGGCTGGCATTTTTCTATTTTGATAAAAGTGGACTAAATATTATAAAAATAATATGTATTCATTGTTATTTTGTTGTCTGGGAAATGAACTAGACTTTTATTTTTATGTCAGGTCGTTTTTTAACCGTAGTACCAAGCAGCGCTTGTTGCCTTGACACAATAAAGTACGCATCTGTTCCAAATGCCGTCCTCGTTCTCCCATACTCAGTAGAACGGACTTTCTGGTGTCCTTGCCAAGAACACAAGAACATACTAGCATCCTTGGGTATTGAGAAATGGCCATACTAGTGACCCACATTACAGCTGAGCTTCAAACGGCAGGTTTTGGAGTCTTATTTCCTGATAATTTCATCTCGCCTCAGATTGGACAACAGCAATGTAACTCTACCACTGACTTGCGACATGGATTTATTATTTCCACAAATAACACAAGCCAGGAGGAGCTTCTGCTGTGTGGTGAAGTTGCTAATGCTAACGGTTAGCTTATACTAGTCCGGGCAACAACAGCTTTCCCGTCAAGGGTTAAAGTGGGTGAGTCCATGAATGTTAAGTGACAGTGTGACGTAGATCTGTCAGGCCTTTCAAATCCTAGAGTTTCACCGTGTATTTTTTTTAATCTGAAGCTAATGCAGGAGATAGGTGTAGGAGACTATTATCATGTTTATTCTGCATGAAAAACTCAGAAATAATCATTTTTAACAAATTTAAATGAGTTTTCAGTGTTCCACACCTTTAAAGTTGAGCCATCAGATCACATTTTCAAGAATCTAAATCTGCTGTACTGCAGGATTCACCACCAAGCATACCCTACATTCAGATCATGAAATCTACCTGTCATTGTATGTGTACATTTTCAGGCTGTGAGGTGGAAATTCTGGGTGTTCGACCAACGATCTGTAAGGAATATGTATACAACCCATCAGAGGAAGATCTCATACAGTCCTTTAATGATTCTCTTAATGTCCTGAGGTAAGAGATGTCTGTAATGATTGACATTCTAACTTTACATTAAGAACTTCAAAATACCAAAGAAATAATAGTAAGAATCACTGTACACAAGGCATTTTACCACCTCATTGAGAAACTGTGAGATGGTTAAAAGGTGCATTATGTAAGAATGGCATCCTGTGGTCAAATGTGGTTACTGCAGGCCATTTTCAAACAAATTAGCCCTTTATAGGGCCAACGTCTATGTTTAGACACTTCCACTCACATCATAAATGATGTTGGTTTCCCCTTTCGCAAATTCTTAGGATTACGGGATTTCACCCAACCAATCATCAAAGATCAAGCTAGTCACAGTTTGCACCATGGCGCCATTTGACCAATCAGCGCAGGGCTATAATGTGCCAAATATTGGTGTGTCTGCAGAGCCAGAAAACTGCTTGGTGTCCTCACATATTTATGGTCAGATCTCTAAAACTAACTATTCTTGGTTTATGAAACTCTCATATCACAAGGTTGGCTATTTGTGCTAAATAAGGATACATGTGTTGTAAATATTAAACTCAAGGAAGTTGGTGGAATAGTGGCATGAAACTCAAATCTGCCATATTTGAACATACGCCCTGAACAAGGAAAATAAATGATGTATATTTTTAGGAAAAATCTGTTGTTTTTTAGACATAATATTAATAGTCATAGTAAAAGTAATAATAACAACTATAATATTGAATATATTTTGCAGTTTTAAACTAAGATTTCTCTGGAAAACAGAGGAGGACAGTTACTGTGCCAGCCAATCCTGCTATCGGTGATGATGATGAAGGGGAGGAAGATGACACTGATGCAGATCCTCAAATATATAATATTATAAAAATCTATATTTGATCAGAAAGGTTGTGCAATACATTTCAAAAACATTTTACTGTAATTTGCTTTTATAAAATATACTATTATTATTTAACCCCTTAAATTTCCAGGTTTATTGAACGCATTGGGATTTTGTCCCCTGGGCGGGACGCTGGAATGCTAGGGGGTTAATAATTGTGATATATTTTGTATTATTCTACATTGACATAATGTTCTAAAAATGTTGGTTATTCTAAAGTATCATATAATTATCTATATTATTCAGAAATATTGATTATTTAAGTTGTTCATGTTATTTTATTTTGGGATTTCGTTTACCAGAACAGGACAACAGAAATGCACTTTGATTATATGTGGGGTGGGGATTGATAAGTTTTTATCAATATCAACGGCATAGGGAGCCTAAGGCACGCCCATCTACTTCCGCAGAAGAATGAATGCAAGTCAACGAGGCTAAAAACGCTATTTTCTAATTCCACTTGTTATGTGTCATGGATTTCACATACGATGTCCGTGAATTTTAAAGATGCATTTTGATACCAAGAACTTGTTTATTTTCGAAAAGGGGGAAATGCTGTTTTAGGTTTTGTGTGAAAACAAGTCCAGGACTACAAATGCCCTTCACGAAAGTGACGTCATCGAACCAGACACGGAGAAAACTGAGGGAAAAGGGCTGTAAGTTCAGAAAACTTCAAATCCTTCCTGCAGGAGGAAAACCACCGTATGGCCATCTGGTAAGTAGCAGCTACGCTAGGGGATAAGAGATTCTGTGGTGACGTGCCGATGTCTGATTTGTAGTCATGCTAATTACGAACTTTTACAAGCTAATAAATCTCAAAGGCATGGTTGAAACACCCCATTAGTTTTCATTTAAATTGCAGTACAACATATGTGTGATCCAGGATCTAAAGCATAATGGATTAGAAAATAGCTCTTTTAGCCCCGTTGACTAATTTTTTCGTTCTTCCGGGGACCCATGAGCCGACCAGAAAGGGAGGAGACCTAGGCTCCATATTGTTGATTCTGTCTATCAATCCAATTCCTATATCTATTCCAGGGTAGTTAAACAGGTAGCAAAAAACTAATTGCGCACGGCTCCTGCATTATAACTGCCAGTTACTTTATGATAAATAATCTGTTGTATCTGTATCGGTTGGAAATATCTTTCTGCTTCCTGTGAAGGCAGAGTCATCTTCTTGTTCAGTCCAGTGTTGCTGTAGCTTTTATAGAGTGGGAAACATCTCACCACAGGTCAGATCTTTGTCGCTGGAGTCTGCTGGTGTGGAGGTCTGTATATAAGGCTAATGACGCTAACATGATAAACAGTGTTAGTTGATTAGTTACCTGCAGTATTAACAGGGGAGAAGAAGAAGAAGAAGAAGAAGAAGAAGAAGAAAATATTATTTCTATAGCGCCTCTCAAGATACAAATCACGAGGCGCTTCACAAAAACAAAGCAAATGTTAAAATATAAAAAAGCATTTAGAAAATGTTTAAAAATATATTTCAAATGAGAAAAAATAGGCAATTGGGATTGAAAAGAAAAAATGTTAAGAAAGAGAGAGAGTTAATATGAAAGAGGGAAATTAGTGGATCCTGAGGAAGGTGGAATAGGTGGGGAGAGCAGAATAAAGAGAGAGGGGATGAAGAAGGTCATACAAAAGCCAGCTTGAACAAGTGAGTCTTCAGCTGCTTTTTGAAGGAGACCACTGAGTCCACTGATCTCAGGCTCAGGGGGAGAGAGTTACAGAGTCTGGGGGCCACAGCAGCAAATGATCTGTCACCTTTGGTCTTTAGCCTGGTGCTGCACAACCAGTAGGCTTTGATCACTGGACCTCAGGGACCTGCTGGGGGTGTAGGGACTAAGAAGATCACCAATGTAAGATGGTGCTTGTCCATGTAAGGCCTTACAGACCAGAACCAGGATCTTGAAATGAACCCTGAAGTTGACTGGCAGCCAGTGAAGCTGGAGGAGAATCAGGGTGATGTGGGTGTGTTTGGAGGACTTGGTCAGAAGCTGAGCACAGGCGTTCTGAACCACCTGTAGACGGTTCAGGGAGGTTCTGCTCAGACACGTGAAAAGAGAGTTACAGTAGTCTAAGCGTGAGGAGATGAAGGTGTGGAGAACTGTCTCAAGTTCAGAGCGAGACAGAATGGGACTCAGCTTAGCAATGTTCCTGAGATGGAAGAAGGAAGAGCGAACAAGAGAACTGACATGAGAATCCAGGGTGAGAGCTGGGTCAAAGGTCACGCCAAGATTCCTGACGGAAGGTTTGGTGTGAGAAGCAAGCTGACCAAGAGAGTCTCTGACTTTGGGAACCAGCTTGTCTGGGGCACAGATGAGGATCTCAGTCTTATCTTCATTCAGCTGTAGAAAGCTCCCAGCCATCCAGGTTTTGATAGAGTCTAAGCAGGTGTGAAACAGCTGCAACTTACCCCCAAATTCCACTACCTCCGCTCCGCTCCGGTCCGGTCCGCCCCCGCCTTCCGCAGCCGCTCGCTTCCGAACTCAATTTTTACTGGTACGCGCTCTACAACAGCTCCGCTCCGGTGCGGAGACCTGAGATGGGCAAACAAGCATGCGCGGGATTTTCGAGATCTTGCGATACAGTCCGAGCTATAAACGCGGAAGTTAGATCCAAACACCCGTTGTGTGGGAGAAGCATCGGCATGAACTGTTTAACCTGCCCATCATTTGTGTTGAGAGATCAGCAGTGTTTGGATCAACAAAGTGTGACTACTTTGATAGTGGAAACTGTATTTATGGCTTACTTTTGTGCATTTAAACTTCAGCCGCCATTGATAGTTGTTAAAAGTTGTTAAACCTGTGCATATGAAACAAAAAACGCCTTTTGTTTATCGATTTCTTGTGAAAAACGGAAGTTGTGCTTACTCCTTTTCCTGTTGGGCGGTGGTGATTTCTGTCCATTTACTGCGGAGGTGCTCCGGCGTCCGGCAAAAATAGGATCGATTCTATTTTTGCCGGACGCCGGAACAGAGGGCGGCGCACGGCGCCGCACTGCCGGAGCACGGCCGCAGTAGTGGAATTGCTCTGATTGACTACAACGGGACCGATTTTGCTCCGGCGTTCGTGTCGGAGCGGAGCGGAGGTAGTGGAATTTGGGGGTTAGACATCTCATGGGGCTTAAAGGAGATGTACAGTTAGATGTCATCTGCATAAAGATGGTAGGAGATTCCTTTGAAGGAGCTCAGGATGTGCTGAAGAGGAAGCAGATAGAGGAGGAAGAGCAGAGGCCCCAGCACAGAACCTTGTGGGACACATGGGTAAGAGAGGTGGTGGAGGACCTAAACTTGGAGACGGCCACAGAAAAGGAGCGCTCAGACAGATAAGAGGAGAACCACTCCAGAGCAGATCCTGATATGCCTACCCAGTCTCTCAGCCTCTCCAGTAGCAGGTGATGGTCAACAGTGTCAAAGGCTGCAGTCAGGTCCAGCAGGACCAGAACAGAACAGTCCCCTGCATCACTGTGAGTCAGAAGGTCATTAGAGACCCTAAGAAGAGCTGTTTCAGTAGAATGAGCTCTACGAAAACCTGACTGGAAGCTATCATAGATGTTATGTTCATCAAGAGCAGCTGTGAGTTGTTTAGCCACGACCTTTTCCAAGATCTTGGAGATGAACGGAAGTTTAGAGATGGGTCTGAAGCTGCTATGGAGAGAGGGGTCGAGACTCGTTTTTTTAAGAAGCGGGTGGATTACGGCATTCTTAAAGTAAGCAGGGACCTGACCAGAAACCAGAGAAGCATTAATTATGGAGAGCACGCTGGGACCGATGGACTGAAAAGCACTTTTAAACAAAGATGAGGGTAAGATGTGGAGGGGGCATGCAGAGGTCTTCATAGAGTTAACTAGTTTGGTTAACTCAGGCAAAGAAACAGGAGCAAAGCTATCTAGGATGATGGGCCTGGTTGGAGTCGGGAGAGGCAGCGATAAGGCTGAAGGAGAGATGCTAGATCTAACCTTATTGACTTTGTCCACAAAGAAATACAGAAAGTTCTCACAGTCTGCAACAGAGTGGATGGAGGCTGTAGGAGAGGCAGGAGAGACGATGCTGCTGATGGTGTTAAACAGCACCTTGGGGTTCCCTTTGCTCTGGGACACCAGGTTGGAGAAATAGGAAACCCTGGCGTCTCTGACTGCAGAGTTAAAGGATGTCAGAAGATCCTTTAGGTGCAGCAGATGGACGTGGATATGTTTTTTTTTTCCACAAACGCTCAATTTTTCTGCATTGGCGCCAAGGGCGTCAGTTTGTTTTCAGAATTGCTGGGGACAATAACCATACACTTGAGAGGGGTTTAAAAATTGCTGGGGACAATAAAGTAGGCTAGCACAGGGGTCGGCGGCTCTGGAGCCGCATGCGGCTCTTCCATCCATCTGATGCGGCTCTCTTTGTAAAATAATGAATGGATATTTAAATAAAAAGTTTTATATTTTACTGCATTAATTTTACATCTGTATGCCAATTCTAAATGTAAAGATTGTCTACGTAAACCTGAACAGGTCCAACCCGGTCTTACTGTGAGACCGGGTTGACGCGTCACGCTTGTGCGTAATCATATGCGCTTCCTGAGCTGGAGGATGTCAGATTCTGGGCTTCTCCTCAGACAGGTTCCTGGATGCGTCGCCACATTTGAGACAGGAACAAGCACTATTCAGCCAAAGTTTCATAATCAGGTGTGGCAGTGTGAGTGTCCTGTCACAGTGTCCCGATAAATCATGCGCCCTGGCTACTTGGTCAAGGGGTTGTCCCTTTGGCTGACTGGTTAGAGTGTATGACTCTCACCCGGCAGTCTGGGGATCGAATCCCGCCCGGGCCCTTGTTTCTCCACCTTGCCACATATTGACGGATAAACTCAAGGATGTTGGTTGTTTTGAAAGAATTACCCCGACTCACACTGATGCGCATGGATGAGCTGACATTTTAATCGTTAACGCACATCGCGGAGGTAACTTGATTCCCATCAGAACATCAGAGCTTTATACTGGACACTGTGTTCAGCGCGGCTCGGAGTGCCCACGGTGGACAGTGAGCTGAAGATCTGAGGGGTTTGCAGCGCAGTGCAGAACCACGGTGCATGCGATAAGATTTCCTCCCACTGAAGCGGTCTGGAAACCCGGTCTCTCTGAGGGATGTGTCACTTGGAAAAATGTTCTTTTTATGAAATTATGAAACTTTGGCTGAACAGCGCTTGTTCCCGTCTCTAATATGGAGACGCATGACGCATCCAGTCTGAGGCAAAATAGCTCTTCAGCTCAGCAAGCACCTGTAGAGACATTTGATCACGCACAAAGTTTATGTGGAGCAGAAGCGGTCGGGCCACGGCAGGTGGAATGTTTCTAGCCTACATGAAGTGAAACTGTTTAATTTTAACATTAATATGTTACTGGACACGCTGGTCTAGTTGGTTAGACCAGTGTTTGAAGTGGAAAACACACACACACACACACACACACACCAATTAAAATAATGCTGATAGCGTGGACTAGAAGACAGGTGGTGGGTTACGTATTTAAATGATGATCAGGCTGCTGTAAAATGTAATCTCCATCCACATCCAGACACAATTTTACTCTATTCTTTCTCTATTTGCTCTGCTCTTGTCTGGGATGACGTAGCTAATGGTGCGCGCGACGCGCCTAACTAGCGGCTGATGCACATTTTACGCATTTGGAGAGATGGGCTGGATGCTCTGCTTTTACTGTAGACTAAATATTAATGACAAATGAATGAAAATTAAATTGTGAGTTTGTACTTCATATTTTATAAATTAAAATGACGGGGGAACACATTTATGACGTCTTTTTAAACTAAATTTTTTAGCGCGACCTGCCTGCTTCACTTAAGTCACTGCTTATTAAGGTCCGTCCAGAATTACCGTGGCCCACCCAAAAATGAAAACCTGGTGCCGCGCCAGTTCTAAACCTCTGCAAATGGTTGTTCTTCACTTTATCAAACTCAGACTTTGTACAGCTAATGTCAAGATGTAAAATTATGAATTCAGTCGAGCTCTTCCGTCCCTCCCTCTCCTGCTCTCCTGGAAACCCGACATCGGCTGTCAGAAGTGGAGGTGAAGAAGGAGATGAGGCAAACAGAGTGAGTGTGACGTAAAGAAACCAGACTGGTGTGGAGGTGAGCAAAACAGAAGGAAAAGTGTGGGTGTTGAATCCCCCACGGGTGCGACGTCCATGCGAGCGACCGGTACCGGCTGCTGTCACCTGGTTGTGAGCAGCGCTCTGCTGTCTGAGGGTAGGCCCCGCCCACAATGCTGCGGCTACTGCGGTGTTTTCTTTACTGTGGGAAACGGGTAATAATGGCTCTTTGATGGGAACAGGTTGCCGACCCCTGGTATAAGATCTGAGCTGGTAAAACACAAATCCTCATCAGCAGGCTTTTTTTAAAGTGGGGGGGACACAGCTGCCAATCACAAATTTTGCCGGGGACATGTCCCCGGCGTCCCCGGTTAAAATGACGCCTATGATTGGCGCTTCAGGCTGCTCAGGCTATCATTAAACCAGGGAGTAGGGTTCACTGCAGGAACTGATCTGGTTCTGACAGGACAGATGTTGTCCAGAATGGAGAGGTAGTGCTGGTTAAACTGATAACTTAAGGAATCTGGGTCGTTATCAGAAGAACAGGGTGGATCAAAAGCAGCAGAAATATTGCTAGCAGTGCTCTCATTAAGAAAACGAAAACAAACCATACGGCGAGCAGGAGGTGGGGACGCAGAAACTGACAAGTTGAAGAAAATGCAATGGTGATCTGAAATATAAACGTCCTCAGGACAAACACTGTCAGCATTTAGACTCAGGGTAAAAACAAGGTCCAGAGTGTGCCCCCTGGTGTGTGTGGGGCCAGAAACATGCTGGGTAAAGCTGAAGGAGTCCATAAGGCTGGAGAAATTCATGGCAAAGTGATCGGAGGGATCATCAACGTGGATGTTAAAGTCACCAACAATCACCATCCTGGACAGCTTCACAGTGGAGGACAGAAAGTTACTAAACTCCTGAAGGAAAGAACTGTTTGGACCAGGTGGACGATAGACCACAGCACAGTAGAACGGGTCCTTACGCCCGACTTTAATCAGCTGCAGTTCAAAGGAAACAAAGTGACCAGAGGTTGTAGAGCTTCATGGAAGATGGTCTCTGAAAACAACAGCTTGGCCTCCACCACGACCAGAACCCCAGGGCTGGCTAAGAAAAGAATAACCACTCGGGCAAAGTTCAATCATACCAGAATAATCAGATGTTTGCTGCCAAACTTCAGTCAGAAACAGAAAATCCAGGTTTTTAGTGAGAATTAGATCATTGAGCAGGAAAGATTTATTGTTAACAGTGCGGGAATTTAATAAAGCCATACTGAGTGAGGTGGAGGAATCAGAAACTACAGAAACAGCTGGAGTTAGTGGACGTAAATTAGCAGGGTTAGATCCACAGTGTTTATAAAAACCACTTATGGAGGGAACAGGAGGAGAAACCACTGAGGAATGAGGATAAACCGACCTTAACAAACTTGGACGGATGAACCGCGTCGCAACACGGCCTGGCGGGAATACGGAAGTGGCGCTCAGGTCACCAAACAAAGGACAAGAAGCTAGAAGATCGCGTCGATGTTTACCAGATAAACCACGCTTTAAGAGAAGTCTGGATTCCTGCTCGTTTACCTCTTTTCCTCCGATGTTTTCCCGGGACCGGACAAACATAGCCGGAGGCAGGCAGCTCGTGACCGTTGTTTGGCTCCGGGCTGGTGCGCCACTCAGGTAAACAAACAGGATGGTACGTCCTCGGTGCATCTTCGGCGATCGTGAACGAACGAAAGGACAGAAGAGTCTGGCGATCATAGGAGATGGTAGCAGGGACACTACTGAAGAGGACCGCAGACAGGAGCAAGGTGGAAAAGAGGAGGTTAGTGGAGAGAAGTTTGAAAAAGTGGCCGGTGACCGCAGCTAAGCCAAGCACAGGCGCCATCTTTGCCGACCGGAAGCGGGAGGACGTGTGAATGTCACCGCTGTCGCTGCGTTGATATTCACTAGTCTGGAGGAGGTCAAAACACGTCAATAACTTTAAGCTATTGCGTATTTTGTGCCCAAAGACGTTTGTATATTTGGAATACTTCCTCCCTTGATGAAATATCTACTTTGCAATTATTGTTATCAGTTAAGTTACCTTGTTGTCATGCTTTCTTGTAAAATATAACCAAGCATTTGTTGGGCTTCAACACCATGTTTCCTGCTTCTGTAAGCTACGCAACATGTCCGATGATGGCATTCGCACCACCTGGAATTGATGAGGGGAATTGATGTGGCGAACGATTCCTAGGAATTTTCATTCCCAACCCTAGTTATATACCACAATAACATCCTGGGGTTGAAATTTAAACATTTAATCTACTCCAACGAGTGCCTTATAAAGGGTTAATGGTATGAAAAAGTAGCTTGAGTATTTTTAGAGCCGACTATTTGCTTCTAATTCACCATTAGCATTGTTAGCTCAATGTTAGCCTCTAGCCTGCATCACCCAATATTAGAGGAAAACAAAAATATGTTGTGGCTTCTTAGGGGATCAAGAAATAACTTCTGAGTCCATCCTGTTACTGGTTTAAGATCTTTGCCAAACACCGCAGTATTTTTCCAGCTGGTGTCGAATTACAGTTGCTGGCGCTGACTTGGCAACCTCGTGGGCTCACTGATTGTAAACAGTTACGACATCCCTCTTTGGCCAATTTGAAAAGAGAAAACTGACAAACTCCAAGCTCGCTGAGAAAGAAATCCGTTTCGATGTAACCTTCCTTCCAACATGATTGAAACATTAGACTCTTTTGTGATTATTTCACTGTAAAATTCTTACTTATTGTACCTTTAAAAGACAAGTGAAAGTTGAACATGCTGTCCTTTGTGTGAAACCAGTGATTTTCTCAGAAGATTTCTATTTAGTTCATCCATTTTCTTGTGTGTCTTAAGTAATTTTTGGGGGGTTTCTTCTCTGTCATCAAGATGATTTTAACTACCTGTTGATCTCTTTTATGTACAATCTTCTTTTTTTTTAGCTCAGGCCTAGCAGATATGGCAGCTGTGTATTTTGAGAAAATAGATGTGGAAGGGCATCACTTTGGTCCAGACTCCCATCAGGTCCGAGCAGCTGTGAAACATCTGGATCTAGCCCTACAGACACTCAACAGAAAAATCAAAGTAATATTTCACTTCTCTTTTTATGTCTGCGGGCCGTTTTATGATTTCAGGTTATTTCCTTTCATTTTCTTATTGTGCATTTGTTTTGTTTTATAATATATTTTGCAGGACACCAATATGGAGAAACGGCTAAATGTGATGTTATTTTCAGACCATGGTATGACAAAGATCAAGTGGATGGAGAAGGTCATAGAGCTGGACAAGTATATTCACATGTCAGACATAGTGAAGATGATGGACAGAGGACCGGTGGTCAGTCTTTGGACCAAAAATAACACTTACCAAAAGGTAACTGCTATGTTCTTTCTCCGTAAATGTAGCACAGGTTTAATGGAGGATAGCAATAATCAAGATAGCCAACTGGATCCTGATTCCAACTGGTCTTAAAAGTAGACAGACTGTCTCACTAGAGAGAACCCCAAGAACTGAAAGATCTGCCACCCATTCCACTTCTAGAACCTCTAGGTAGCACAGGTAAACCTGAGAGACAAGTGCTCTTTGGGAACATCTGGAACATGAAGATCACCAGTAAGAAGGAGCTCAGATGTGTATATAACTGTCACTATCACAGATTTGGTTCAAAGAACGTATTTGACATCATATTTCATCATTAATTCATGGTATTTTGAATGTTGACAGAAGCAGAAGGTTTTCCATTTACTGGGCCTGTTTCTGACCAGGTGTACGCTGCGCTGAGTCAGGTCCCTAACATGAAGGTCTACGGTCGACAGGACATCCCCAAACGCTTCCATTATAGGAATGGGAAGTTTGTCTCCCATCTGACGCTGGTGGCTGAGCCGGGATGGTTCATCGCTGAGGTAACAGAAATCAACTTAATAACCACCTACTTGTTTTTGAAATGGAAGTAATTCCATTTGAAGGAGTGAATGTAGAGGAACCAGAGCAGACAACCAGTACCAGAACCAGCTGAGCAGATTCCAAAGCTTTCTGCTTTTTGCTTTCATCAAGTCAGTATCAAGCATTGACTGTTCTTACTGGAGACCAACATACCTTATTAAACCATAAAATAAGTAGGTTAGTGCATTCTCACATTCAGTGTTTGTTTGCTTTGCAGAACAAGGAAAAACTTCCCTTCTGGAAAAATGACTCTGGGCCACCTTCGGCATGGCAGAATGGCTGGCATGGATACGACAATCAGTTTGTTGACATGAGAGGCTTTTTTTTGGCAGCAGGACCCGGTAACGAACCTCCTCTAGCTCTGTTACCATCACACCTTCTGGGCTCAGTCTTGACGGATATTTGATTGTCTTTGATTTAGAGGAAAGGTCGTGTTTTGTTCATTACAAAAGTGCCTTTTTTCCCATAGATAACAGAAACCTATCCAACTAAGCTGTTCTACAACATTTCATCGGACTGGCTCTAATGATACTAAAATAGGAATCTAATAATAGTGAATCTCAGTACATCAGTGATGTTTTCTTTGTTTATGCAGATTTCAAGCAGAACGTTCGAGCAGCTCCGATTCAAGCAGTGGATATCTATAACCTGATGTGCTGGACGCTCAGAGTGGATCCTTTACCTAATAATGGCTCGTGGTCTCGAGTGGAGTTCCTACTGAACAGCTCAGACGATCTGTTCCAGACGAGGAAACTCTGGACCCGCTTTTTCTGCTTGTTGGGATTTTTACTATCATACATGAAGGTTTAGCGTAACATGATACCAACAGGCAGGGAAATAAACTGAACCTAAAAAATTACATTTTCACATTTTAAAATCCTAAATAAAAAGATTAATTTAAAGGTACAGTAAGCTAGAAGTTTACATTAAGATAATCGTAAAACGGTCTAATATCTCCATCATGTTGGAAGGAAGGTTATGCTGAAACAGGTTTCCTTCTCAGCTGTTTAGGGAGTGGTCAGTTTTTCTCCTTTTAAAAAGGCCAAAGAGGGACAACGGCCCAATCCTGATACTTGCACCCTCGCGCCCTTCATTTGCACGTTCCCGGCCAGGGGTGCGAGTGCGTAGGGTGTCCCAATTCTGACCACGCCCCCATTGCACCCTTAATCTGCACTTCACCCAAGTCCGTAGCGATGCGGAGCTCGGACAAGGGTATTACCCACAAGTCATTGCTGCAGGAGAAAAGGCTCAAGTTCCATTTCTGAAAATGTGTTTTCTAATCAAATTTGTACATTTTAGGACGATTGGTTGGTGCGCTGAATGTTTTAGACAAAGCAGCAATTAAGTTAAATTTATTTCAAATAATTGCTTTATTGTTTGTTTGAAAGTTGTTAAAGGTTTTTGAAAAAAGTTTCACAGCAACAAGCATCACGGCATGCGTTGCGATCGATGACGCAATGCTCCCTGTCTCAATTCTGCAATTATTTGCACACTTGTGTACTACGCACTCAAACCCTACTGCTCACTTTCTTTAAGCGCACTTTGCTGAAGACCGCAGGACGCAGTGCGAGTATTGAGATTGGGCCATAGGCACAGTTTACTCTCTGTTCCACTTCCATATTTCCTGGTTCTACAGCCAATCATATGTGAGCCTGTAAGGTTGCAGAAACTGAGCCAAAAACACTGTTGTGCCGATGTTTGTAATTTGACACCAGCTGACGCAAAGCAGCAGATTTCTAGAGGTAAAGCCAGTGAACCAGAGCAACCCAGATGTTGTTTCTTGTACCCCTAAGAAGCATCGTTTTACTATCAGGTGAAAAGGGCTACAGGCTAATGCAGAGCTAACAATGCTAACGGTGAATCAGAAACAAGTAGCTGGCTCTAAAAATATCTACAACTTGATATTACAAAGAAATTTATTTATCTCACCTCACTGTGTATGACTCGTCTTCACTCATCATCTAGAATCTTCTGGTCCAGGGGCCTCATTTATCAAGCTTGCTTACGCACAAAACGGGGTCGGGAAAACTGCGTAAGAAACTTTCCACGCAAACTTTGAGATTTATGAAAGAAAACAGCGGAAAAATGTGCGCAACTTTAAGTTGACTAAGGACCTGGCTTACGCACATGTTGGACATGGAGAGCACCTGCAGTGCTGCTGCTGAGAAGATACAATTATGAATTCCTGCAGCATTATCACTTGTACCGCTTCGTTTTCACACAGAACAAGACCCCCCACACACACCCACACGTGCGCACTCACACACGCGTGCACACACACGCACACACACACACAGCCTGAAGTGCAGAATACAGAATGCTGAATATCAGCAGGGGGACAGATTGAGACAGAATGTCATGCGTCTGTGACAGTGTGTGTCCTGTCACTGTGACCCGATTGATGATCCGCCCTGGCTACTTAGAAAAGGGAGATCTCCATTTGGGTGACTGATTGGTGTGTGACTTTCACTCAGGAGTCTGGGGATCGAATCCCAATTGGACCATTTTTTAATATCCGCCACAGATCTCTCTGAAGAATTCACAACATTGACGACTTAAGCAACGCTGTGCCACTCTGTGGATTTTCATTATTTGTTTTGCAAAAGCATTTCCTTTCATTTCTCCACTTCACCCACAAGTACCTCAACTTCTGCATCTGTGAAATTGCGCTTCCTTGATCTGCCTTGATCTATGGTCGCCATTGTCATTGGCGGAGCGCTGCAACAGCCAGCTTATGTATATGCATGAGGTCCACAAGGCACTTTGCATTGACTATTTATGGCAGTAAGTGGGCGTGGTGAGGGCAGGACGTGACTAAAAAGCAGCTGAGAACCTTTCTAGATAGTTTCCAATTAATGAAGCGGAGATTGCGTGCAGCTGTGCGTACTCCATGTTTGAAAGATCACAAACCTACTTGGCGTAAATATATATTTTTTGCTGAGCTTAAGTACGGTTTTAGTAAGGATTCTACGCAATGTTTGATAAATGAGACCCCTGATCCGTATCTGGCGACAACCATGAAACTCACGGATGGGAGGAGAGTTCTTTAGAGTGGACACGTTTGTATTGATACATGGACTGCAGTACCCACATTTGACCATAGGATGTAATTCTTACTTTAAGCACCTTTAAATAGTAATAATAACCCATTTACTTTCATATCTAGACAAGTTTTCTGTCTTAATTATTGAGACAATAAATTTTGACATTATGAAGATAATAATAATTATGTAAAAAGTATCATATTAGTATTATTGTTTAGCTTTTTATTCAATTCCATAACTTTTTTGATTTGTCTTTTTGTTTTTAACCATGTTAATTTGAAACCACACACTAGTAAGACTGGTATGGGCTTCAGAGAGTGGGTTAAACCAACAGTGGCTGATAGGGCCTTCATATTAAATATCATGTCCAAGGAAGTAAATCTCTAATACTTTAGATGGGGTTGTTTTATTTTTAGTACTCATATCTTAGCACTTCAAATCTTGTGTTTAAATTTGTTATGATTGGTCATTTGTGAGCCTTAAATCCTTGTTTTAATTGGTGTGGAATTTGAAATGACTTGTTGATTTTTTTTTGCGTGACGTTTATAACAAATGTTTGTTTGTTTTTTGTTGTTTAGAAGAAAGAAATGTATAATAAATTTACCTACAGCTAGAAAGAAGTATTTATTGTAATTTATTTGGTAAATAAACCATTTACTATGATTAATTTTTAGGGTTTGTTTGGGCATAGGTTCACAGATAGAAAGTACTGTGGGGATAAATGGCCCAACAAAACCCAATAATAAAGACCTACAATGGACACATTCAGCCAGGACATTAATATTAAATGAGCTGCGTTCTGATTGGCCAGTTTACCTTGGTGGCTCTTTGACGCTGCCTGAAGCTAGAAATTTGTATACAGAATCCAGATAACTCAATAGGCAAGTTATAGATCTGGCCTTTGTTCGAAGTCTAGGTAATCCCAGTACTTCCTGGAACATTATGTGCGCGCTCCGACATTCTTCTTTGTTGCTTTCCTGTCATCTAAGAAGGATTTTAGCATTAGCTCGAGCTAGCATTAGCAGCAGTTTGGCTTAGCAACCAATGTTTATAAACTGGCTTCATTGAAGCAGGCTAGGAAAAGCAAATGCATGGTGTTGCATCTATGCTTATGATGTGTTAAACCAGCTTTTCTCAGACCCAACCGTTTCTCAGCGGCCATTACAACATTACTAGTTTACATAAAGCAGGTTAGAGACGGCAACGACTTTTTGGTACATTAGACACAACAAGCTACCTCTAATCACTAACAGCATCACTGTAAAAGGTGTTATCTCAATACCACACAACACGACGACTCGGTGTAAGGTAGAAACTGGGCCAGATCCTGATTGACTGAGAATAACTCTAAAAGAACTCCTACTGTAGAGAGGAGGTCCCAGCACCTCTGATCAGAGGAGGAGAAATCACTTGGTGGTTATTAGGGCTAGGCGATACGCACCAAAACTTAATCTCAATATCTTTTAAACTTGGGGTGACTCATTTTTGAAAGCGCTTGCAGGAAGGTAGCGTTTGGGGGGGGGGGGGGGGGGGGTGTCTCCATAAGGACTCTGCTTTCATCGTTCACTTTGAAAACCCATTCAAAAGATTCCATTCATTCGTGAATGTCACATCACTATACTCTGCTACCCTTTGCTTTCTAGGCTGTATCACTTTTAACACGAGGCCTTCCCTAATGTAACCTTTATTTAACCAGATGACTGAGAACACATTTTCATCGATGGTCTGGCCAAGGGGCAGCAGCAACTGACACATAGTTAGCTTTACATCAAAGACAAATAGGTATGATAAAACATACAAGATCAAAATAAGATAAAACAGACATCAAGACAAAGGACTGTTCTCATATACAATATGTACAAACAAGCAAAACAGCCTTAAAACAGTCTTTAAGTACTCAGAGGCACATTGATCAGAAACTATTGATCGTAAGGAATTATTGAAGGTAGATAATGGAATGTAGGTGGTGAGCTTCCGTGATTTTTGCAGCTCATTCCAGTCATTGGAAGCAGCAAGCTAGAATGAGGAGCGGCCAAAGGAGGTGCAAGCTTTGGGAATAGCCATAGAGATTAAGTTACTGGAACGTAAATTGCACTGGTTGTGGGGAGTGATGAGCAAAGATACGACGGGGTTCTACCGATGATCGTTTTGTTTATGAACTGATACCAATGTAACAACCTGCGGGAATGGAGTGATGGCCAGTTAACGAGTGAGTACAGAATGATGAGTAGTGAAAGGGGCACTAGTAATGAAACGGATTGCTGAGTGACAAATGACATTGAGTTTATGAAGAAGATTTTTGGAAATGATGTCACCGTAATCCCTGGAGCAAGCAGGGGGGGGGGGGGGGGGGGGGGGGGCGAGCTGCTAGCACTAGTGTTGACAGCTCTTCTGCTACCTGTCAGTCAAAAGGAACCACCCCTAATTATGCATAAGTTCATGCTTTAAAGGTTGAATATGGAACACGGACACTCTGGTGACCTGTGGTGTTCAAATGAGGTAGTGCAACAACAGAACTCATTTTCCAGTCGTCGGGGTGTTGGTTCACTGCTGACATGTTCCAGTACCATGTTCAGTGATGAATTGTACAGGACAAGGTCAAATTTCCACTAGTAAGATTATTTTACCACAGTATTTACTGTTAGAGCATCTTGTGAGCTCAGAATCAGCTGCTTGACTTGTCAAGTCCACCATTTTACACAGTCATCTTGCTGAGCAGAATTTTTAGTGCAATGGTGTCCTCTAGTGGCTGGTAGCTGTAAACATAAACCCAGTGCTGTGCCCCTCAAAATAAAATTTTGATGGGATCTGTCGGGTCGCTCCCAATGGCTGCCTGGTGGGGTCTAGATTCCTGGGCTCTGTCGGGTACCCAACGGGGTTGGTCGCCCTTGGGTCCCAGGCCACTGTGTTCCAAGCTCAGCCAGCTCAGGGATTGGTAGCTGTGGGCGGGCCTGGGGGCTTGCCATTGTTATCTCCCAGGGCTCTGGTGGCTGATTACCCCCAGAGAAATCCTCTGCGCCTCTTGGGAGGGGGGTTAGGGCTGTCTACCTGGGGTTCCTGCGCTCTGGGGACCCTTGGATCTCTAGGGCTTGGAACTTCTTCATCTTCCGCACGTCTTTGGGGACAGGTCTGTGGCCCCTCACACTCACTATTGGACACTCTTATAGAGAAACCTTACATATACAAGCACGTGTACTCACGCAGGTACTCACATGGTGGTCTCATAAAGGATGGACTTGGGCATTTTCAACACATCACCTGTGTGGTGGCTGTGGTTGGCACTAAATGCACTATGAATTATTAACGTGTGTTTCTCAGCAGAAATTGTTACTTTTATATATCCTCTTGTTGGCGCAGCGATATTTTGGTCTTGTTGTATTTTTGTGTGTCCCCTTTCTCTCTCTCTCTCTATCGCTCTTTCTGCAGGTCTAAAAGCAGATCCTTGCTCATCAGTTATTGTTTAATTTTTTGAAAAAAAAGTTCATTAAAATTTTTGATTATTAATTTTTTTAAATATAGCTTTTAAAGGAGAAACCGTACATTCATTCTGCACACTTCTAAATGCCTCGTGGAGGTTTTTTTTTAAATATAGCTTTTTATTAAAATGTTCCATATCCAAACTTTAATTAGATGAGTTACAACATACACACCCCCTCCGAGTATTCATGATAGTAAACATGACCTGTTCAACCTAAAATGTTTGGTTTTTTACCATGGTGTAAATGTGTTTTGGCATTTTTAACATGGAAGACAATGTGAACTTGATTTTTTTCTGGATCCGCATCCTAGTGGATGAAAGGGGAACTGCAATTTGTGTCACTTGGGTTAGCATTGGCTTCACATTTGCCAGGTGGAATTTGCCCCTTGGACTGGAGCCAGCGGGCTCCAAAAGGAGACATTACTCGATGGAGACAGATGATTCATTGTGGCAAATCCTGAATGGAAAAACTCAAAGAGAAAGAAGAATCCCCAAATTATTTCATGAGAATCTATTATTCTTATCTTCATATTGTTTGTTTTTTTGTGTGTTGTTCCTCTGGGTTTCTTTTTAGGTATGGATAGTGTAAAAAAAACTTTCTGAAAAGGAAACTTTTATTTTTTTTTATTTCATTGCCAGAGATATTTTTGTAATTTACTGTTATTTGCTTGCGTGTCTTGCTTTGTTCTCTGTCACTATGCATTTGATGTATTTTCACTTTTTGTGCATCAGCTGCATCTGTGACTCAGAGACAAACAAGCCAGCAGGTGGTGTGTGATGTAATACAGGACACATATAAGTCAGGAGACTGGCTCCTGGATCAACCTGAGGATGACGCAAATTGGAAAGCAACAGACTAACTGTAGCTAACTGTAGACTGGTGCGCACATGGAGCAGGTCTTTAGAGATGTTTAAATATGATTTATAAACTTTTATGTATTACTTTTAGAGCTGAATGGTTTTGATGTAACAAGCCAGACTGGATTTTATCTTTTGTTCAATTACAAGTGAACATTTTATTTGCATACACAAACTTGTGTACCTCTGTTATTAAGTAGAGGATGTCGGTATCAAGCTCCAAGCTCCCATTATTCCTGTATGGGATTCTCCTGTGTGGCTCTTTTGCTTCTTTTCCACTTATTAGCAGTATTAAACATGGCAGACACAACGCCAGATCATTGATGCATGGCAGCGGCAGCCCCTGGAACAAAAGGGAAGAGGCAGCAAGAGATGGAGAATACTTGCTGGGAATAAAGAGACTTAGGAGGCTTTACTGTAACGTGGGCATCGGCTTCCACATTCAGGTGCTTCCAACCGGGAGGGTCACAGGAGTACACAATGAAAACATTTACAGTAAGTATGTCTGATGTTACCTGATCAGTGTGAAGCAACAGAATTGAGTTAACAAGGTAAAGTTCAGAGATTGTTAAATAAACCACATTTAATTTTAATCTATCCTATGTAAAAATAAAAAATTGTACAGAAATGTTAAAATAGTGTTTATGTGTTATAGTTGAAACAACGTATTATATTACCATTTTTGTTTTGTGTATAATTTTATAAACTCCTCTTATGAGATCTTTACTAAACATTGACTGGCTTTTAGTTCAGGGTTGTATTTATGAATAAATGTTCTTTCTACAGATGCCCATAAAAATACCACAAAAAATACTAAATACCATACATGAGCTGGTATTTCATAGTCATGCTTTGAGGGACTTTAATTTGAGTCGATTTTGTTTATTCTAGCTGCTTTTTAAAAAAAACGACAAGCTTTTGTGAAAAATCATCTTTCGCTGTGATTTCTCAGTAGATATTCTATTTAGTAAGAGAAACTTTATTGTCTTTATCTGAATGAATATGTAATTATTTTAGGGTTTTGGAATTGTTCAACATTGGCATACATCAGAATATTATTTTATTGAATCAACTGGATGATTTGCACCTCTGTGCAAAACCAGTGAATGGACTTCTTACCAAAGTACGGTACTTGTACGAAACCAGGAAACTTAACTAAAGTAGTTTGCAGTAGTGTTGCTGTGGTTTTCTCCAGGTGGTTTAATTACATAAATGGAGGATTTTCGTGAAGTCACAGTGAAACATTGAAACGTCCTATGCACAAGTCTAAAAACAGGATAATTTAAAAATAAAACTGCCATTTTCAACGTTGAGGCCACAGCTTTATGTGAGAGATGCTTTAATGATAGAAAATTAGATTTTGTTGTCTGTCTTATCCTTTGTAAAGAAAAGTAAAACTGTAACCCGTTACTGTTGAGTGTGTAGGGACTGTACTCAACAGTTTGCTCTTAAATCCCACAGACATGATGACCTAAACCAAAACATGTCCATTTAGGTTTGCTTGACAGTTTGGACACTTCTGTTTATATTTCTGCTGTTTTTCCCTCCAGGCCTTATAGAGATTTCTCCCGTTGAGAGAGGAGTGGTGACGTTGTATGGAGTGAGAAGCCATCTCTTTATTGCCATGAGTGAAAGAGGGAAACTCTATGGCTCGGTAAGAACTTTCACTTCCAACCGTGTTTCTACATTATATATATATATATATATATATATATATATATATATATATATGCACACTCACTGGCCAATTGATTGGGTACACCTTGCTAATAACAGGTCGGTCCCCATTTTGCCTTCAGAACTGTCATCCTTTGTGGCATAGATTCAACAAGGTGCTGAAAACATTCCTCAGAAATTTTGGTCCATATTGACATGATAGCATCATGCGGTTGCTGCATCAGAAGATGGGGACTAGTCATAAAGGGATGGACATGGTCAGCAACAATACTCAGAAAGGCTATGGCATTACAACAATGAACTAATGAGTCCAAAGTGTTCCAAGAAAATGTCCCCCACACCATTACACCACCACCACCAGCCTGAACCGTTGATACAAGGTAGAATGGATCCATGCTTTCATGTTGTTGACCCCAAATTCTGACCATACCATCTGAATGTCGCAGCAGAAATCGAGAGTCATCAGACCAAGCAACATTTTTCCAATCTTCTATTGTCCAATTTTGGTGAGCCTGTGCTCTGTGTGGACACGCGCGCGAGCGAGCGTGTGTGTGTCCTCTCAATGTCATAACAGATGGCTGCTTATACTGCATTGGCACCATGAGATTGGCTAATTAGTAATTTGCATTAATGAGCAGTTGGACAGGTGTACCCAATAAAATGGCAAGTGAGCATATATATATGTGTGTGTGTGTATATATATATATAAATATATATATATATATATATATATATATATATATATATATATATATATATATATATATATATATATATATAATTGGGTGTGTGTATATATGACTTATGTACAAGGCTGTACAAAAGTCATCACCTCAGTTACAGCTTGATGGCCTAGATACTGAGAATTTTCTGATGTCTCTTGGTAAATGAATGGCTTTTTCTTTTCATTGTAAGGTCTATTGAAATAAGTTGTCCCCTGGGAACTGTTTCGCTGTAATTTGATCTTATTTAACAGCCCAATAATTCCTTTAGCACAGAGTGGTACACAGAAAAAGGACAAGCCATCCATGAGAAAAAATTTTTCATTAAAACAAATTTCAGCTCGTATATTTTCCTCAAAATTAAACATATTCATGTTTTATGTTTTGTATTAGGACCAGCAAACTCTTTTCATCTGAAAGTGACAAGAAAAATAGAAAGAAATCAAACATAAGACTAAAAGTACTACTACCAGATCTCATGTTTTACACTCCAAATATTCACACAGAATCAAAAGTTCTTGTGTCGTATTAACATAGGTAGATGTCTTCTGGTTTATTTTAACAGAATTAAATGTTTGTCTCCTAAATTGGTTGAATTGTTAAATGACCAAAATAAAAATTGCTTTATTTAGTCGTCTAATTTAAGTTTCTCTGAAAGGCTCATTACTATGCACCTGGATCTATGATAGAATAAAGCGTTGCATTCTGGTAGTGCATACAGGTTTGTAGGACAATAGGCAAATTCAATTCAATTCAATTCAATTCAAATTCAATTCAAAAAATACTTTATTAATCCCAGAGGGAAATTGATTGCTGTAGTAGCTCAGAATAATAATAATCAAGTCATCAAAGAGTTGTTGTATATTACAATGGCTGTTGGCAGGAAGGATCTCCAGTAGCGGTCAGTGTTGCAGCCAAACTGAAGAAGCCTCTGACTGAAGACACTCTTCTGTTGTCGTACAGTCTTGTGAAGAGAATGCTCAGGGTTGTCCATCATTTTCTTGATTCTCTAAAGAATCCTTCTTTGCATTATCTCCTCCAGCGGTTCCACCGTCGTCCCCAGAACAGAACCAGCCTTTTTTATTAGGCTGGTGAGCCTTTTCAGGTCCCTGCTTCTGATGCTGCTACCCCAACAGACGATGGCTGAAGAGATTACACTCTCAACAACAGACTTGTAGAAGATCTGCAGCATCTTGCTACAGACACTGAAGGACCTAAGCGACCTCAAGAAGTGTCATTGACAGGGTTAAGGCTGTAGGTTTAGGCCAGTGAGCATCCAACACTGGTCCTGCAGAGCCCTATCCAACATGTTCTAGTGGTTTCCTACTCCCAACACACCTGAGTCAATGACTGACTCTCTTGTTCAGGTCAGCAAACTCTGCCAAAGCCTCTTAATCATCTGCTGATTCAAATCGGGTGAGCTGATGAAGACAACCTCCTTGAAGCTTTAGGATGGTACCCTAGAGGACCAGGGGTGGAGACCACTGGTTTATGCCAATGAGAAGCAATGGTGCACAGCATGAGAAAATTAATGCACCAATAGTTTGATGGTTGTCTAATGGTACTCCACTTTTCCTTTTATTCTTTTCAGGGGAATTACAACACTGATTGCAATTTCAAGGAGAATCTGTTGGCCAACAACTATAATGCCTATGAGTCAGCTGCCCACCCTGGTATGTACATTGGCCTCAGCAAGATTGGTAAAACCAAAAGGGGAGATCGTGTGACCCCAACAATGACCATGACACACTTCCTCCCAAGGATATGATCATCAGCATCAAACTCCAACAGTGAGGACGTCAGAAGAAACCATCTGGTGTTTCTACTCAGCAGCATGAATGAAAGCAGTGTGATAATTACATGGTTTGCATAATTCTACAATTATTTATGATGTATTTAATGGAAAAATTAAATACATGGTTTCTGTTGAGTGGTCACTTCTTTACTTTTGTTTCTAATGGAAATGTTTAAAAGACTCTAGGCTACTTGGTGTTTGTTGCATTTATTCAGCCAAAATCAAATTAAAACATTTTTTTTAAACTGTTTACGCCTTCTTTGTGTATTTTAATTAATATGTTTCAGGCACGAACGTGTTTGAACTTCCAGCTTAAAAAAAGCTCAGAAATAAGTTTAAATCAGAAAATGAGTTCATTGTGAGCTGAGGAACATGTTGACCTTCAAGTGTTTGTGCTTGTTTAGATTTGTGGCCGTAAGAAAATTATTCTAGATCTGAAACTGAAATGTAGTTCTGTAAATTAAATCTAAAGACACCGATCCAGACCCATCAATAATGTTACATAATCTCAAAGTGATCAAAAGCAATAGAATGCCAGCTGGACCTTCAGCAGAGTTGTCATCCGTTTCGGAGGTCAGCCCTACCTCTGGTTCTGAGTCTGGATGTAGGACGGACCTGCTGATCTCTGGTAGCAGTGTGATGGTGGAGAAGTTATGGCAGGTGGTTCTGAGATATTACGTTTAGAAACAAGGAGCAAACGTTTAGACTGGACCTTAAACTGGACAGGAAAGACCTGATGGCTTTTCCTTACCTGTCAGAAGGTGGGCAGCTTGGAGATGTTTGAGAGAAAAGTCTTTTAGACCTGTGTGTAATATGTAGTGATCCAGGTGAGAAGGCATGAAGGTAGGACTTACTGTAATGTTACAGTGGAGCTGAAGTTCAAAGACACTTGTCTGGACAACTGAGCCTGCTACCCTCTAGTTACAGGGCAAAATTCTCTGCCGTTACCTCAAAACTGTTGTGTGTAAAACAAGAAGTTGTAAGTTTCCTCTGTGGAGCTGGAACGGACCAATGGTCACCATCTTGGGTTTGAATTCTTGCAGTGGCCTTCACATTCTCCCTGGATTTGTGGATTTACTGCAGTTTGCTCCCACAGCTCAAAAGGACTGATTAGGTCCTAAGATTCAAAGGTGGCCTTTGGTCTTTTCCAGCATGTGGCTGTTCTCCTCTTTGTGGTAGAGTGGGGACTCGTTTGGAAACGTGGCGTTAGTGCAGCCCTAGAAACACTAGCACCTCTCTACAGAACTGGAGTAAACTCGAATAGTCCGACTTGACACTTACTACGGTATTCACAAACCTTGTGACATATTCTAACTTCTATTGGTGCTGATGCTGTCACTGTTGGGCATTGCAGAAGCACACATGCTTTAAATTAGATTTCATTAAAGAATTTCAACCCGATCAGGTCTTAATAAGAGTGGACACACCTAGAGCCGTTCACCAGACTCTAACCGTAGAGGTTTTAGGACACGCTTCACATCTCTGAAACCCATGTGAGGCTGGTCAGCAGCATCTGACAGGAAGCAGTACTTTCTCAGGTCAGTTTGGATATAATTGTTTTTATTACATGTTTGGAACTCTAAGCCAAGTCAAGCCAAGCAACAGTCAGATGGTAACAACACATGACTCAAACCTCTAAGCGTACAATCATTAAATAATGGTAAGCGCAAGCAGTGGAGACATCTGTCCTCTTCATTTTGACATCAGCCATCTGTTTTGTGAACATGTTCCTGGGTCCAGCCTTTTGCCCTCTTCCCTCTCCCATAAATCTTATGGTATGGGAGTCGGTTCCCTCCTCACATTCCAGTTTTGTCTCAGCAGCTGCTGCAGCTCCAGCTCCTGTCTTCATCCTGTCCATCTTTCCTGTCTTTGCTCAGGGTGACAGTACCCCTCGACTCCTCGGGAAGCTGGCTGAGTACTAGGGGCTTCTGTGATTTCAGCTTGTGGGCCACAGTCATAAGGATAGCTTCAACATGGTCACTGTTATGGTAGTTTCCATCACCATGGCTGTTGGGGTTCTTTGCAGATGTCTCAAAGAGCGGCATAGCTTGGCTGTCCGCAAACTGCTGCGCCAAATCTGTGTCCACCTGAATACAGTCCTGAAGATCACACTTGTTTCCAACAAGGATCCTGGGTACCTCAGAGCCCAGAGCATGCTGCTTGCACTCCTCGATCCAAGTGGGAAGGCTGCGGAAGCTGGCAGCATTGGTCACGTCGTAGACAAAAACAACTGCATGCACGTTGCGGTAGTAGTGCTGCACCATGGACTTCCTAAAGCGCTCCTGGCCAGCCGTGTCCCACAACTGGATCTGTGGGGACAGACGGTACACTGAAGAATCAGAAAATGATCACTGTGTGTTGAAAGGTTTTTAGAAGTGTATAAAAAACATACAATTTTTGTGTCCAGTAACACACCTAATGACCACAACTGGCCTGTAAATGTCTCACCACTGTAGCAGCAGGATGTAAAAACTTTTTTATCACAGATGGGAGAGAGAGTGCTAAGCACACGCATGCACATGCACACATGCACACACACACACACACACACACACACACACTCACACACATATGCACACACCATTGTGTGCTTTTTATATAATATATTGTTTTTGTCTCTATGTTGATCAAACTAACAAAGAAGGTGGCAGCTGGTCTGAAATGGCTGTGGCATCAACTTTGGACTAATTAGACTTGGGCTTTTCTTTGAGTCAAGGGCAGATGGAGGTACTTTAGAAAAAAGGTGAATTTGTGGTAGTGATGCACCGGTATGAAATTTTTGGGCCGATACCGATATCCGATATAAAGATCACTGTTACGGCCGATAACCGATATTTGCCGATACTGATAAACTGACATTAATGCTTCTAAAATCAACAGATTTTGTATAGAATGAAAATTATTAAAGCTGAATTTACGTTATGTACAGACAACACACACATTTAGGGTTCAGAGATGATTTCATTCACTGTTCACATGACTAAACAATTACACATCACACACACACCCCCCCCCCCCATCCTCTGAAACAGGCAAACAAATTGAGACGAGATGGAAAAAATATCGGTTGTTAAATTCGCTGCCAGCCGTTTCCTGATCGGTAAAGCCCTTCGCTGCCAGCGTTTCTCACAGTTTTTACTGTTTCTTTTAAGAGTCACAGAACTTTGCGCGCAAGGATGATGTTGACGCCAAAACAACCAAAACAAAGTAGAGACACACCTCTTACATCAGGAAGAATCCGCGCATTTCGAGCGTTATCCGTTCTTTCATAATCCGTTGTTGAATAGTGATCGGCAGAAGCTTTTCCGGTTCGCACCACACTTTTTTTACAGCAGCGGCCCAAAACAATCTCCTAACACATGGATTTTCTGCTTCCTGATCACGTGACGTGTGACGTATGCAGATAAAGATCGGCTTTAGAGCTGAGATGTTTGTTCTCACGGTGCGGGGACTCGTTCCGACGCCCACACAGTAAAAAAATGGAAATGACGACTTTAGTCGTCAATGGCAGTGAATGAGTTAATATCGGACCAATACCAATATGTTAAAAAATGACTAACATCAGCCGATACCGATATTGATGCAGACATATTGTCCATCCCTAAATATGTGTCTTCTTCAACTGTGTATAGGGAGCCTAAGCCACACCCATCTACGTCCGTACCATTGGTGCCCAGAACAACAAATAAGTGAATGTAAGTCAATGGGGCTTCAAAAGCTATTTTGTAATGGGCTTCACATATTATGTCCGTGCATTTTAAATACATTCTGATGCCAAGAATTTGCTTATTTTCAAACAGTGGCAAAAGTTCTTTTAGGTTTTGTGTGAAAAGATGTGTAGGACTACAAATGAACATCACCACATTGACATCATTGAACCATAAACAGAGAAGAATAGAGGAACAATGGCTGCAAGTTCTGCAAGCATTGAATCCTTTCTTTAGGAGGAAAGAAAAACCATAAATCTGGCCATGTGGTAAGTAGCAGCTACGCTAGGGCAGAGATTCTGTGGTGATGTCAAATATGCAACATGCCGACGTCTGATTTGTAGTCATAGTAATTACGAATGTTTACAAGCTGGTAAATTTCAAAGTACATGACTGGCAAGTTCAAAACGCACATTATTACTTGTACGAGACTCACTAATTGTACTATGCAAATATTGATCCTCTGACTGGCTAACAGCAATGGATGCTTCTGCTGCAGTCGTTGATGTTTTATCTCCACAAATAACACAAGTCCAAATCTGTTTAGCCATGTTGTTGAGTTGCTAACTGTTAGCTTCTTCTAGCCGAGACACGCTGTACTCTCTCCTGCCAGCATAATCAGCTTTCCTGTGGATGGTCGCAAGCCAAGATGGACAGGGCCAAGAACACAAAGTTTACCTGTGATATAGACAAGACTTTTTTTTTTTTTGGCCCAACCATTACAGTACATCCATTTCTTTTCTGCAGCTAATGCAACAAATGGTTTGGAGGACTAGTTTCACATTCAGCCTCCATATGAGACAGCGTGACTGATGATGACATTTCAAAAAGAACACGCGGTTTCTCAGTGAACGAAACCTTTAAGCCGATGTTTGTAGTGTTCTTTAGTTTTGAACTTGTGTCATGACAAGAACAGCTGGCCCCACCACTAACTTTAGTCTAGTATCGCCACTGAGCACGTGTGTCTTATGTAAAGAATATATAACGGCTAACTGCTGTGCTAGGCACCACACAAGGCCTTATTTACCAACATAGTGGTAGCTTTCATATGCTAGCAATGCTAGCGTATCATCAAAACAGACAGTAAATGAGGTGTAAACCACAAACACTGAATTTAAACTTGGCAAAAATATCAAGTTATCATCACTGTCTTTCCTGAATTTAAGTGATTAGGTTCAGACTAGGGATGTAAGTAAACAGCGATATTGCAATATATCGAGATATTTTTTCCTGGGATATTATATCGATATTCAAAAGCTGTGTATCGAATTTTTGGAAGAATTAACATGCAAAGATTTTCTTTTCTTTAAACGCCGACTTTGATTTGGCAGCAGTTTGCAATCGATTTTGTTTCCACCATTGAACTGTAAATTCCTCTAGCATGGTTCAGATTAGGGATGTGTATTGGTGAAACTTTGTCAATATGATATGCATCACGATACAGGAAAGACAATACAATGTATCACAATATATTGCGATACATTCAGTCAGACGATATTAGCAATTTTTTAGACTGAATTTATTGTATGACTATTCAATAGAGTCCAAACTGATACTTAACATGTTTAACATGAGGTATCTGAACCATAATAGGATTTACATTTCAATGGTGGAAACAAAACCCATTGCACACTGATGCCAACTAGCGGTCAGTGTTTGAATTGCACCAAAAGAAAAGAAAATACACAAGTATCCATCCATCCATCCATTGTCTGAACCCGCTTTGTCCACGTAGGGTCGCGGGGGGGCTGGTGCCTAACTCCAGCGGTCAATGGGCAATCAGGCGAGGTATACCCTGGACAGAGAACCAGTCCATCGCAGGACAACACAGAGACACACAGGACAAACAATCACACACTCACACCTAAGGACAATTTGGACAGACCAATCAACCTAACAGTCATGTTTTTGGACTGTGGGGGGAAGCAGGAGTACCCGGAGAGAACCCACGCATGCACAGGGAGAACATGCTAACTCCATGCAGAAAGATCCCAGGCCGGGAAGTGAACCCAGGACCTTCTAGCCACAAGGCAACAGCTCTAATCACTGCCCCACTGCGCAGCCAATACACAAATATTTGCATATAAATTCTTCCAAAAATTTGATTCACGGCTTTTAAATATCCATATGAAATTGCTGGAAAAAATATCAAGATATATTGCCTTATCAATATTTTCTCACATATAGTTCAGATACTTCATGGTAAACATGTTACGTATCAGTTTTGACTGTTTATTGAATTTTCAATAAACCGCTATTGCGTGAATAAATTCAGTCTAAATAGTCGCCATCGTCTGGCTGAATGTATCGTAATACCGTGGTAAATGGTATCCCCTGTATCGTGATACGTATTGTATCGCCAGAATTTCACCAATACACATGCCTAGTTCAGACTGTGTGACATCTAAAATGGTCTGAGCAGAAACTATCCCTAAACATAATCAGTTCAGCTTTTTTCCCTGATGGACCGTGTCTTAAAAATGACTCTAGCTTTTATTGATGGTCAACATTCAAACCAAGCCCCAATTTGTGCTGTTGTTACTGTCAAGACCAAAACACCATGCCTTTTTCTATAATAGGCCCAAGTCTCATTTTTACAAAAGCCTGACAGACATTTCCTGTAAAAACACACAGTTTTGTTTCATGTTTAATTATTATTCAGCAGGTAAATCACAAATCCTTTATGCAATTTTTACATTATTATAAAATAATCTCCTTTTTTGGCCTAGTAGTTTGTATCTTAACCTCCGGATTATCATCCGAGTTTACATATAGTAAAATTATTTGTGAGTGGCTGTAATCTTGATACATCTGATCAGAATAACCATGGAGCTCTAGATAAACTTGATAATCGTGTCAGTGACCCAGTGCACCTTGATTTTCTCTCCATCGATCTCGACCAGCCTCTCCCTGAAGTCCACCCCGATTGTAGCCTCGGTCTTCTCGGGGAATTTACCGGCACAGAACCGGTAAGTGAGGCAGGTCTTCCCGACTCCAGAGTCTCCAATAACGATGATTTTAAAGATGCGGGTCCTTGGCGGCGGAAGAGCCGAGCTCGTCAGGGAGCGTGGCTCCGCCATGTCGAGCCAGGGGACCGGTCCGGCCGCGGCGCCTTCAGACCTCCGCTGCCGAGATTAGAGCTTCTCCATCGGCTAATGGACGAGGGTCTGGGAGGCTTTCAGAGACTCGGTCGCTGAGCTAGCAGTTATAACCTACAGATGTAAATAAACAATTCGTCCTTTCATTTCAAATCAGTAAACACGGATCCTCCCAAAAAGTCTTTCTTCTTCCTCTTCTTCTCAACCTGAAGTTTCATCCAGCTGGAGCATTACTGCCACCCTCTGCTTCACATGGGGACTCAGACCCACACCTAACCCACCGTCTCAATCAATCAATCAATCAATCAATCAATCAATCAATTCCTAGACAGCCATGGCCAAAAGGTTTTAGGAAAGACAGTAATGTTGGTTTTCCATAAAGTGTGCTGCTTCCTGTTTCTATGGCGCTGTGACATCAGATCCAGAGCTGTAGAAAGAGAGAGTTTTATTTAACAAACTTTATTAGTGAAATTGGGTATCTTACATAGCAACGAAGTAAAGCACAACAATACAAGCAAACAAACAAAGGGGCCAAAGTGATAAAACAGTGTTCAAAGGATAAGAATACAGAGCACACTCAGGTATTACAAAGAATGGAGAGGGGGAAAATGTGTTACCAGCTGTACAAGTCGTAGTCTTCAAGTAGGTTCCAAGTTTTTATAGCTTTTAAATTTCCTGAGTTTTTAATAGAATCAGCATATTTTTTAAATTTCACAGAGGAAGACCGGTAAAAAAGGATTGACATGGGTATATTTACATATAATATTTAGCTAAAATAAAAATTAGGTTCAGTATGTAGATTCTATTACTCTCTTTGTCTTCAAAAAATCCAAAAATAACATGTTACAAACAGAAGGAGACATCAGGAAGAACCTTTTGCTGCAGAAGATCTAAGACATCAGACCAGAATTTAGAAGTACTTGTACAGGTCCAGAATAGGTGAGTAATTGTTTCAGGATGATTGTTACAGAAAGAACAGCAGGTGTCAATGTCCTTTTTAAATCTTTGGGAAATAAAATGTTTAACAGGGCAACAGTTATGTAATATTTTAAAAGAAACCTCTCTAATTTTATTAGTTAAAATATATCTGTGGGGTAAAAGCCAAGTTTTATTCTATGGAATATTATTTACAGTAGAGTTCCAAAATGAAATAATATAGGGAGAGGAGATGGAAAGCTGTTGAAAAAGACCTCTGGTAGATTTATTGCATGATTTATTTGGAGAAAAGCAAATTTAACCAACGTATGTTTGAGTGAGGTCAGTATAAGTCACCAAACCATCCAAAAAAGAGGATCCTGTTAGCAGCATTTTGATACCAGACGGTATTGCATTCATCACAATCGTGAACGCCCTAGGAGAAACCACTACAGGATACTTTTCTGTAAATTCAGAGAAAGTGTAACATTGACCATTAGGTTTTACTGGTTGACAAGAATAACATTATTATCAAACCAGTTTTCAATAAACAGACTTTTTTTTGTGTGTGATATTTGTTCCAAATAAAACAACTATGTGGTGAGAAATTGTGCTTAAAAATGAGGGACCATGCCAACAACATCTGCTTGTGAAAGTTTGAGAGCTTCATGGGGATTTTAGGAATATTATAATTACAAATCAAAAGAAATTTTAGACCACCTAGAGAAAATGAAAGAGGGGATGATGTTCCATACAAAAGAAGGATTAAGTAAAACATTTCTGATCCAGTTAATTTTCAGAGTATTATTGAGAGTTGAGAAGTCTATAAAATTTAAACCTCCATGATTCGCTGAATTGATTAAAACAGATTTTTTAATATAATGAACTTTCATTTTCCATACAAAGTCCAATAGCATTCTATAAATATTCTTTAGAGTGTTATTGTCCACATACAGAGATTGAGCAGTATATGAAAGCCTGGAGAGACCTTCAGCTTTAGAGAGAAGGATTCTGCCTTTCAATGACAAATCTCTTTGAAGCCAAGAGTTTTAATTTTCTTTGAGTTTTCTGGATAGTGGAGGAAAAATTAGTTGGGCATCTTAAGGTGGGGTCTTTAGATATAATAATGCCAAGATAAGTTACCTGATTTTTAACTTGAATACCACAAACAGAGGCAGCTGTGGATTCTTTAATGGATAATAACTCACACTTGTTTAGGTTAAGATGGAGGCCTGAGGCTTTAGAGAATGAACTAATAAAGGCCCTGTCCACACGTAGCCGGGGATCTGCCAAAACTTAGATATTTTTCTACGTTTTGGCCTGTCATCCACATGAAAACTGAGTTTTTTTTCACAGAAAAACGGATCTTTTAAAAAACTCCGGCCAAAGTGAAGATCTGCGTTTTCTCCGTTTTGGGTGTCTGCGTGTGGACAGACAAAACCGGAGTTTTAAGGTCCGCAACGTCACTTTCCGCGACAAAAAAATGCTGACATTACGTGTGCGACCTGTGTTTACTCTAGCCGACAGCATGGATGCCCTCAGAGCTGCGCTCGCTTTATCAATTGTCCAAGCTCTTTTTGCTTGCTTGTTTTTGCAAGCGGAATTACTGCTCCTTGTGGAAGACCACAGACGAAGGACGAGGTTAAGAACGGGGAAGTACTGCCGCCTGCAGGTCTGGCATGTCCTTAACAACATATTTATCCGGGTACGTGTGGACAGTTTGTTTTAAAAACGAGGTGGTGTGGATGCAAGTTTTTGGAGGGGCGGATATTCGTTTAAAAAAAAAACCCGGCAAGGTGTGGACTAGGCCTAAGTTCAGAGCAAGTGGTACTTGAGAAGCATCTTTTAAAAACAAGGAGGTATCATCAGCCAGCTGACTAATAACAAGATGTTTACCAACAATTTCAGAGAGAATGAGGAAAGCAGCAGCAGCAGTGAGGCAAATGAGATGAGGGAAAGTGAGGGGGGACATGAGATGGTATCAGGAGAGAGGGACATCCCAGGAAGCCATGAGGAGCCAGCGTCAGGGCCAGGAGGAGAAAGGAACAGGCTTTGCAACTAGGGAACCCAGCTGGAAAACCTAAGGGAGCAAATAGAAAGTCAAATAGGCTCAAAACGTTTTTGTTTTAGTTACTCTTTTACATTTATTTATTGATAGTTATGATATTGTTAATGCTTATTTCTTGTCATTCCTTACTTAATAACTAGTGAAAGAATAGCTCCCCCACCTCCACCCCCCCCCCCCACCCCCACCCCCCATGCCACCACCATCTGTGTCCTGGCTGAAACAAGACATTGCTGAATGTGATTAGGTCATAAAGGTCATGTATGTAAGATATGTGTATGACCAGCTAACCAACCTAGTCCTAACGTGTATCTGCTCAGCATCCCTGATGTAATAGTGATGTGTCAATCAATCAATCAAAGCTTTATTTATAAAGCACCTTCCGCGACCCTGTCGGGAAGCCCAAGGCGCTGAACATGGTACATGAGAAATGTGAAACATGATGAATAAATCGAAAATAAAAGCAATTCAAATAGAGCAAAAAAGGTAAAACATTAAAGTAGAAGACAAATGGTTAAAACATAAAGAGACCAATGAAAACAGGGAAATAAAATCAACATAAAAGAGGGCCAAATTCAAACACGTTCAGGGAACGCCAAGCAGAGGAGGTGGGTTTTTAGGCGCCTCTTAAAGGTTGGCAGAGATGGGGACAGCCTAACTGAGGGTGGCAACTGGTTCCATAGTGACGGTGCTAGGACTGAGAAAGCCCGGTCCCCGCGAGTACGACAGAACGAGGGACAGCGAGCACGCCTTGGTCAGAGGAGCGCAGAGCGCGTGATAGGGAGTGTCTGTTCAGGAGTGTGGCTAGATAGCGGGGAGCACCACCCTGGAAGAAATTGTAAACAAAGACGAGGAGTTTAAAGTGTGAATGATAACAGACCGGAAGCCAGTGCAGGGAGGCCAGAACCGGACTGATGTGGTCCCGTGTCCTGGTCCCAGTCAGGAACCTGGCTGCGCTGTTCTGCACAACCTGTAGGCGACGCAGTGATGACTGACATAGCCCTGCATAGAGAGAGTTGCAGTAATCAAGCCTAGAAATTACAAAAGCATGGAGTACCCGCTCCACGTGGGCTCTCGACAGCATAGGCTTGATTTTTGCAAGGCATCTCAGGTGAAAGAAACTGGACCGGACCACAGAGTTGATGTGAGCATCAAATTTAAGTCCAGCGTCAATTTTCACCCCCAGACTGGTGACAACTGGTTTTGAGTAGGGAGAAAGAGGGCATCTCATGTCCACCCTGCTATTGGGGTGAAAAACAATGAGCTCTGTCTTTCCCTCATTCAGATGCACATAGTTGGCCATTAGCCAAGACTTTATCTCGTTAAGACAGGACACAAAGGGCTGGGTAGAGAGACCTTTCTCCTGACACAATGGAGAGTAAATATGGTAATCGTTAGCATAGAGATGGAACGCTAGGCCATACGAAAGATTGACCCCAAAGGAAGCAGATAAATTGCAAACAAAAGAGGACCAAGGATCGATCCCTGCGGGACCCCCAGCGGAGCCCCTCCCAAAAAGAAAAAAACTCACCCAGTTTAACACAGAATGTCCTGTTGTGGAGATACGATCTAAACCAATCCAGAGCAGACCCTTTGATCCCAACCCATCATTCCAAGCGATCAAGTAGAATTGCGTGGTCAACTGTGTCAAAAGCTGCCGTCAGATCTAACAAGGTGTTGGTTGTGAACGAACCGGCTCTAAGAGCCGGCTCTTTGAAGTGAACAACGGGAGCCGGCTCGTCATTGGGAGCCGTCCCCTCTTTCTTTGGTGAAAGCTAACATGTGTAACTGCGTGTCCAGACTGTCCACACACAGATCAGTAGGGATGGGGAATAAGGAGGATCAGAATCAGACACAGCAGAGCACATGCAGGTGGAGGGAGACGAGAGGGAAAGAGGAGGAGGAAAAAGGTGAGCGAGAGAGAGGAGAGTGTGACGAAGATGGTGAGAAAATGAGCGCCAGCGGTCGGAAAGTGGAGATTTCTTAAAGTGTTCAGATATTAAATCCATAGAAATGATAAATATTTGATATATAGCATTTTTTACATTAGTAAATAATTTTACATATAGTTTTGCATTATTCTGGTTATAAATGAACTCTACACAACAGAAAATCTGAGGAGCCTCTTGGGAGCCGAAAGAGCCGGATCTTTTTGGTGAGTGGAGCCAAAAGAACCGGCTCTCTAAAAAGAGCCTAAATTCCCATCACTATGAGGTAACACATGCGAAACCTCCTTCTAGTGCCTGTAGTTACATCATGACCTTCACATGCCCACTGCGTGTCTGTCCTCTTCAGGCCAGATACAAAAGCGTGTCATAAAAGAAAACAATATCCTGTCAAACTGCATTTCACAAACTCTATATTTTATCTGTATCCATTAAATTGCAGACATAATCTATTTGGAACTATAAAAACCTGTTAGTAAAAATGTCATTGTAGAATTCTGTTCAGGCACTAAAAGTACCACCAATTTTAGGGTCCTGATGCAACATGTGTTGGATAATTCCAGAAGAAGCTTCGCAGTTTCTTAGCTGTTGCAGGGTTGTGGTAAGCAGCCGTACTTGGCTCGAGGTTGCTCATCGTTTTTTGTATTAGTCGAGTGTCAAAATGTTAAACGTCCAGAGAAATGTTTGGAAGGTAAGAAACATGAATATTTCCAGCTTTGTGTGCGCTAGGTGCCGAGCTCGGGTCGTTTAATTAAACATCCAGCAAGTCGACTTAGCATGCTAATAGCATTAGCGTCAGCCGGCGACCTCGGAGCTTCATGGATGTCACATGTCTAGTCAGATTTGTGAAGAAGCGACGGCTTGTGATGGTTTATGTCTCATCAGTATAGCGCACGTTATTGTGTGTACACACACGCTCACCTATTGTTAAAAAGGAGCTTGAACTTGATTGTCTTTGTACTTCAGCTGTGCGTGTGTGCTCTATTCCCAATCTGAGCTGGGATCACGTCCAGGGTGCTTCAGGTGAGGCTGAAGCTGAGATGTCACGTCAGACTTCTACCTCAGCCAGGCCCTGCTCACGGGATCCCCCACCATCACGGGCTAAGCAGTGCTCCAGTGGTGGTTCCTTAACGATTTTACTGACTGACTGAAAGATCCGCCTTCTTTTGACTCAGTGGGATCTTTAGACCTGATAAATCCACCCAAACATATGGTTTTATATTTGAACATACAGATGTTGCAGTCAGAACTCTAAAATACGGGACAAATCCCTTACTGTATGGATGTAAAATGGAACGCGCAAATTCAGTAATGAGTAAGGAACTGCGCTTTATTCAATGATTATCTAAAAGACCGATTAGACTTCAGTCTTCTTGACCAAAAGGTTACTTCTGTACTTTGCTGCTGGCTTTGTCCAAATCCAGATGCTGCATCCTTCATAGTCTGCATTTTATGGCAGATTTCATCACAGTGAAGTGAACAAGTTGTCCGTTTTCAAAGGACACTAAAAATGCGTCCTTGGTTTCCCCAAACGTCAAGGATGGGTCTGTTGTACCTTACTGGCCAGGCGATCCCAGGATTGGTTGCGGGCCAACCAGAGGGTTTTTGTTCTTGTAAAAATGGCGGACAAAGCAGGATAGGATTACAGTTTTAAATGTTAGTTTGTTTTTATCTGGTGGTAAAAATAAAGCTCAGTGAAATGTAAATAGATTACATTTTAAACGTGTTAGAAGATCTAAAAGGACAAACCTAGGTTGTCTAAAGGCCATGAGGCTTCTATGGAGGGTGCTCCGTTGTACCTTCAGCCATGAGGTGGTCTTTTAGATTTGTTTACCTTGAGGAGATGTAAGTTTAAATTTCAGCTCAATGAAGCACCCTAAAAGTGAGGTTCACTGAGAAACTCTTAATACTTGGTTTTTTTTTTTTATTGATCACTGACTTGAGTTTAACACGCAGGCTAGACCTAAAAATGGGTTAGGGTTAGGCTTCACTGTGTTTTTTTTTTTTTTTTTTTTTTTTTTTACTAAAATGTCTTTTACTTTATGTCCTCCACAGGCGTGCAGGAGCAGCCTCCAGTCAGACCTCCTCAGAACGCTGACCAGACGAGACTATGCGTGAGTATCCAGTAGGGGCGGTGATGTGGCTTAAAAAGAATATGATATTCTGGCGATATTACAGAGTACATCAAAACATTTGTTGCCTTTCATTCGTTGTTCGGCAGTAATACCAAAGCCGTTTTTACAAAACAATGCCGTCAATTTGCCGCGACATCAGGAGCCTTGGGTGGTTTATAAGTGGTCAGACCGTGACGGTAATGTTGCGCACTCATGTCCTTTTTTACTAAAGATTAGGTGATGGCGGCATAAAGGGGGTATGGGGGCGGACTCTGTGATGCTGTGACTTCCGTTTATCTTGGACATAACTTGCTTTTTATTGCGATTGGAGCCGTGAATGTTACGGTTTTTTTAACAAGCTGCTCCTAAAGGCGTTTGTCCCCATCAGTCCCTGTGCAGTCTCTGTTGATCTGACCTTCAGCTCTAATGGAGAGACGCTCATGGAGCGCTGCGGCGCTCCAGTTTGCCATCTCACCTGATTTTGTTCAAAAAGCAAAACTTATCGCTCGTTTGTACTTCCATTTTCAATTGAGTAACTAGCCGGAGCTCGGCAGTGACTCCCCACGTCATTATGACGCCTCCCTCTATTGCACCATGACGCAATAGCCGTTTATAAGCCAGACCATTACCGCAATATTACTACCAAGCGAGGCGGAACGCATGCCGCATAATTCGCACAACGCCGTGCCGGCATGGCGCGTTTAAAAGATACACCGTTGCGGTTATGTTACGCCAATTTGCCGGCTCAGTGTGTAGTCAAAAGCACTCATGCCTCAGTTTTCCTTTTTTCCAAATACTTCTTTGTTTTGTATTTCCTGTCCAGAGGATGTGATAGATACAAATATAAAGATATAAATGTAGCCATCAGTAGAGATTTTGACTCTAAAATATCGTCCAACCGCGATTGTGCATGAAGGTTTTCAATCTGAGTCAACCCTGGGAGAACGCAGAAGCAGCTGCTGCTGAGGCGCGGTGCACTTGGATTAAGACATTAAGTAGACATGGTTACATGGGTTTTACGGACCTGGTTTGGGTTTAAGAACTTGGATGTTGAGAAGAAAAACATCCTCAGTACAATAAAACTCAGAATTATCACAGGCTTCCAAAACGGTTGGACATCTCCTGTGTTTTCGTTGGAACAAAGTTCCCTCCACATTTGTTTCTGTTCCTCCTGTTAAGTAAAAGATCCAAAAGCAGCTTCTCTCTTTCTCTCATTTACGTTATACCACAACATGTTGCGATACGTTCAGCCAGACGATATTAGCAATTATTTTAGACTGAATTTATTGTAGGAATATTCAATAAACAGTCCAAACTGATGCATGTATATCATGAGGTATCTGAACCATAATAGAGGGATTTACATTTCAATGGTGGAAACAAAACCCAGTGCACACTGCTGCCAACTAGTGGTCGGTGTTCAAATTGCACCAATGGAAAAGAAAACGCACAAATGTTTGCATGTAAATTCTTCCAAAAATTTGACACACGACGTTTGAATAGCAATATATTATTGCGATAGATTGCCATATAAATATTTTCTTACATCCCTACTAATTCCTATTCTCCGTGTGTTGCAGGTCCGAAGCCATTAAGGGAGCGGTCATCGGCATCGACCTGGGAACCACTAACTCGTGTGTTGCGGTTATGGAGGGGAAGCAGGCCAAGGTGAGGTCAGCCCACATGTCCATGTTAGGGAAGTGGCTTTAAACAGGTGGATGTTGGCTAACAAAGCTGGTTTTGTCAGGTGGATGAAATCCCATGTGGCTAAAATGTGACCTAAATGCAGACATGAGATTTTGAATCCAGAACAGGTGACCTAAGAGTTCATGTTGGTTCCACAAATCGAATCTAGTCGTGTGCAATAAGCATCAGTATGGATGCCCGGTCTGGTCGGTCACAACAGGAGTGTCCCACGAGAGTGTGTCTGTTCAGCTGTGGTGCTGAACATATTTGCATATTTGGGTAGGAGGGGCGTATTTGGGGGGGGGGGGATTTAGACATTCATAGTCTACATTTTAATGTTGCGGGGTGTGTACGTACCTAGGGATGGGTACCTTTGACATTTGAATCAATCCGGTACTAATTCCCGGTACCTAGGAATCGATACCAGTACTTAACGGTACCATTTTTCGATACTTTTGAGTGTTTATTATTTTAATTAGGCCCGAGCAGCGAAAGCGCTGCGAAGGCCTCTTGTTTTTGCTCTGTTTATTTTTTATTATTCCGTGTCCGCTTTGAATGGCTTTTTGGGGACCTTAACATACCCCAAAACTCACAATATTTTGCACACTTGTCAGGCCTGGTGAAAAATTTGATATTTTAAAGGTCCCAAAAAAATCACAAAGAAAATGGCTGAACAGCGCCCCCTACAAAGTGAAAAAAAAACCTCTCCATAAAGCTTAGTTTATCGTACAGTTATGAAATTTGGTACACTTGTAGTACTCAACAGTCCGCACAGAAAAGTCTCTTGCAAGTATGGTCAATATCAAACAGGAAGTCGGCCATTTTGGGTTGAAATGGCGATTTTTAGCCGTTTTTGCTGTTTTTAGGGTCCGTTTCTGATTGGATTGCTCGATCATTTTTCGCACGATCATCTCAAAAATTATGTAAATTTGCTCAGAAGGGATGGGCGAACAAAATGCGACGAGGATTCAGAGTTTTCGTATATGTTGAAGGGGCGGGGCCAAGCCTCAAAGTTTGACTACTCGCCAAAAATATTTAAATTGCTATAACTGAATGGAATAGAGTTACCAAACTTTCTGTGGTCATTCGTCATCCACCCACAAAGTAAATTGAATGGTCGGATGATGACATCACACAAGCCACGCCACCACAGGACCAAAAAGATCAAGTTTTACTGTGAGAGGTCCCAAATTGCCCCATTTCACTTAATCACCACGAATTTGTAGCTGGTAACTCAAGACAAGTGGGGGTTGCTTGGGATCACTTTATGGGAGTTTTCGGCAGAGGGCGGGGCTGTGGCGGCGCGGCGAAGTCAGGCATACCACCGTGGCCTTACGTTTGCCTCCCATTTCGTCATTTCTAAAGATATCGTCGCGAAACTTCTTGTGAGTGATTCTAGTCCGGCCCCCCAAAAGATCTGATGTGAACATCTGGTGGGCGTGGCCTATTTTCTGAAATAGCGCCCCCTAGGACCATTAAAACTGTCAGCCCCAAGCCATGCTTTGACTGAGGATTACGACATTTGGTACACTAATGTGGTGTCTCAGGACCTACAAAAAGTCTCTTGGAGCCAAGTGCAAAGTCGCACAGAAAGTCGGCCATTTTGGTCCAAGTGCACGATTTAGTGGTTTTCACACACGTTTGGAGAGTGATGCTCCGTCGCCCTTTTCACCAATTGCCTTCAGACATCTGCTATATACTCTTAAGACATAGAGGAAAAAATTCAACCGTCGGATTTTAAATAAGTATAAAGGTGTGGGCGTGGCTAAGCCTCAAACTTTGACCTTTCGCCAGGCCACTCTTTTTTTTCACAGCTCCCTATTGGACTCCTTTTACCCAATCACCAGGAATCTCTGGCAAATAGCAGCAGACAAGTTGAGGTCACTTGGTCTCCAGTACTGGAAGGTTTTGAAAAAAGGCGGGGCTTTGGGAGCATGGCGAAATTCGCCATCAAGCCATGGAAATACGTTTGCCTCTCATTTCTTCATTTATCGTGCTATCACCTCGAAATTTGTTGTGAGTGATCCTAGTCTCTCCCCCAATAGAAATGGTCAGCTTAAGTTTGTGGGCGTGGCCTATTTTCTGAATTAGCGCCCCCTAGGACCATTAAAACTGTCAGCCCCAAGCCATGCTTTGACTGAGGAGTACGAAATTTGGTACACTAATGTGGTGTCTCAGGACCTACAAAAAAGTCTCTTGGAGCCAAGTGCAAAGTTGCACAGGAAGTCGGCCATTTTGGTCCAAGTACGCGATTTAGTGGTTTTCGCACACGTTGTTTGGAGAGTGATGCTCCGTCGCCCTTTTCACCAATCTCCTTCAAACTTCTGCTATATACTCTTAAGACATAGGGGAAAAAATTCAACCGTCGGATTTTTCAAAAGTTGAAAGGTGTGGGCGTGGCTAAGCCTCAAACTTTGACCTGCCGCCACGCCACTCTTTTTTTCACAACTCCCTACTGGACTCCTTTTACCCAGTCACCAAGAATCTCTGGCAAATAGCAGAAGATAACTTGAGGTCACTTGGTCTATAGTACTGGCAGGTTTCGAAAAAAGGCGGGGCTTTGGGAGCATGGCGAAAATCGCCATCACACCATGGAAATACGTTTGCCTCTCATTTCTTTATTTATTGTGATATCGCTACGAAACTGCTGGTGAGTGATCATACTCTGACCCCTAAGAGAAATAGACAGCTGAAGTTTGTGGGCGTGGCCTATTTTCTGAAATAGCGCCCCCTAGGACCATTTAAACAAACAGCCCCAAGTCATGCTTTGACTGAGGATTACGAAATTTGGTATACTAATGTGGTGTCTCAGGACCTACAAAAAAGTCTCTTGGAGCCAAGTGCAAAGTCGCACAGGAAGTCGGCCATTTTGGTCCAAGTACGCGATTTAGTGGTTTTCGCACACGTTGTTTGGAGAGTGATGCTCCGTCGCCCTTTTCACCAGTCGCCTTCAAACTTCTGCTATATACCCTTAAGACATAGGGAGAAAAATTCAACCGTCGGATTTTTCAAAAGTTGAAAGGTGAGGGCGTGGCTAAGCTTCAAACTTTCACCTTTCGCCATTACATTACTTGACTAAATAACTCCCATGTGCATGATCAGATCTATATCAAACTTTGTCTGTGTGTTCACTGACCACATCTGAAGACAATGACAATGTGGACAGCTGACATCACCTAAGCCCCGCCCCCTGACTACAGGGCATTTAGTTGTAAATGGTCACAGCGCCCCCTAGATGGGTTCAAACTTTATTAACTTCTAAAGACAAGGTTAGAATGGCATTATACTTGGCTTGTGACATCACGTGACTGAACCAAACACATTGGAGTTGTTGGTTCAAATCCCTGTAGCTCTACCACTTTCAGCTCACTGGCTTTAGATAACACACACACCGTCCGATTGATGCCAAAATAACAGAAAACCATCTTTGTCAACCAAAGCTGACCTCAATGGGACTTTTCTGTAGTTGGTCACAGCGTCCCCCAGTTAAATTTAACCTTCGATAACTTTAAAAAACTTGGTCAGAATAGCATTAAAGTTGGTCACTGTCATCACACCACCAGTGTGGCAAAGATAGAGTATGCCCTAGTGGTGAGACGTGTAATATAATGGTGGGCTCAGAGGGGATGCTGAGTCAGGGTGAGGTGCGGACAAGGTGACCGTTAGCTGTTTCATGTGTCGGGGTGGTGGACGTTTCTGTTCCGGGGACGTGCCCTGGTGCCCCTGGCTGCCGGCCAGGCCGGAGCGGCGCGGAGCTGCGAGGGCCGAACGACACTGCTTGCAGCTTTAATTCTCTTTTATAATAAAATTTTTTTTTCTCAATATATAACAATATTTGATAAATATCACGATAAATATCATTCAACTGTTTGTATTTTAACATCGTCCTTGTAGTTTTATAAGCTGATAATTAAACTGAAGCAAACATCTTTACTGTGAACTAAATTTACTGTGTATCTTCATTCCTTTTACCGTCTTTTTCATTTGATTTTTCCTACTGGGAAGTTTGAATTTCGAGGAGAAATCGAACGCACCATTAGCTGACAACAATGGTGGCAATGGAAGCTAACATATCAAGCTAACGTTATCTTTAACAGTTTATTTAGCTGCTGGAGCAGATTAAAACGATGATGCCTCACACTTAGATCGTTGTCGCTGGTTTCATTTTCACCCAATCACCCGTCGCATTTAGTAAAGTGAAGCCAAACTTTAGAGCGCGTTCATGTTCTTCTAGTCGGGAATTCGGAGTTCCGAGGAGAAAGCGAACGCACCATTAGCAAAACAGAAGCTAACACAGCAAGCTAACGTTATCTTAAACATTTTATTTATCTACCGGAGCAGATTAACATGAGGATGTCTCACTTAGATCGTTGTATGTCGCTGGTTTCATCATCACCCAGTTACCCATCACATTTAGTGAAGTGGACCCAAGCTTTAGCGTGCGTTCTTTCTACCATGCTGCTCTGTTTACAACTCGCTCGCAACGACCGACGACAAAACGCTCTTGCGCATGCGCAGCTGTCTAGGCAAGTTCTCGTTATGAAGGACGGGTACCGAAACGAGGCACCGTTTGAAATGACGTGAATCGGTGCTCGGTCGGTACCTTAAAAAGTACCGAATTCGGTACCCATCCCTACACGTACCTGACAGAGATTTGGCGGTTTGATATGTTGATGCTGCCGGTTGTAATCCTGAAGGCGCTGTAGCCAAGCCCCCTAGGCCGGTATGCTTGTGTTTAGATACGTTTTAATCCTTCATACTGGCCTGTGACTGCTTCTAAAAAGAAAATGCCCAAACACTCCCATGAGGGGTGACCTGTTTCCATGTCTGAAAATGTCAAAAGAAATGTTTCTGTTGTCTACAATTGAGCCTTTCTTACAGAAACTTAAACATTTTCTTATAATTCAGGTTCTGGAAAACGCAGAAGGAGCCAGGACGACTCCGTCTGTGGTCGCCTTCACAGCAGAAGGTGAGCGCCTGGTGGGAATGCCCGCCAAACGCCAGGCTGTCACCAACCCGAAGAACACGCTCTACGCCACAAAGAGGCTAATAGGACGGCGCTTCGAAGACCCAGAGGTCCAGAAAGACTTGTGAGTGTCTTCTCCTGGTTTTAAACATTTAAGGCTCCTAAATCTGGACTTGAAAGTTTTATTTTGAAGTGTCTCTCATTAACAGGAAGCATGTCCCATTCAAGATTGTGCGAGCCTCTAATGGCGATGCTTGGGTGGAGGCTCACGGGAAAATGTACTCCCCCAGCCAGGTTGGAGCCTTCGTCCTCATGAAGATGAAGGAAACAGCAGGTGTGACCGATGAGCCAAAGCACAACATGGCATGTGTGTGTTTGTTTCTTATAGAAACGTTTGTGTTGCAGAGAGCTACTTGGGCAACAAGGTGAAGAACGCAGTCATCACGGTTCCTGCCTACTTCAACGACTCCCAGAGACAGGTACGTGCTTCGGTCCCGACCAGAGCTAAGGCCGTTACAGCTGTGAAATGCAGACCTGGACGTGGTCCTGTTGGAGACCACGTCAGCTGCTCTTCTCTCCACGCCACGCTCACACCGATGTTTGTTTCCAGGCTACCAAAGACGCAGGTCAGATTGCTGGTTTGAATGTGCTGCGTGTCATCAACGAGCCAACAGCTGCAGCTCTGGCCTACGGCCTGGATAAAACCCAGGACAAGATGTGAGTGGGTGGAGAACCCGACGGTCTCTGGTCTTTAGATGGACGTTAAAGCACCTGTGTGTGATTTCAGCATTGCTGTTTATGACCTGGGTGGTGGTACCTTTGATATCTCCGTCCTGGAGATCCAGAAGGGCGTTTTTGAGGTGAAGTCCACAAATGGAGACACATTTCTGGGAGGAGAAGACTTCGACCAGCACCTCCTCACACACATAGTGAAGGAATTCAAGAGAGAGGTGCGTTTATGTGCGACCACCTTCAGATGATCCTAAACTCGCTTCGTCTTCTGGGAGATTTTTGTTTACAGCTTGCTCTTCTCCCCAGTCTGGTGTGGACCTCATGAAAGACAACATGGCTCTTCAGAGAGTGAGAGAGGCTGCTGAGAAGGCCAAGTGTGAGCTGTCGTCTTCACTGCAGGTACTTCAGGATCCTCGTGTGTGTGTGTGTGTGTGGGTAACGGACCTCCCGCTGCCGTAAAGCTTCACGCCGTGTTTCCGCTCCCTTCCTCAGACTGATATCAACCTCCCCTACCTCACCATGGACGCCTCTGGTCCCAAACATCTGAACATGAAGCTGACTCGTGCCCAGTTCGAGGGCATCGTGGCCGACCTGATTCGCCGCACCGTGGCTCCGTGTCAGAAGGCCATGCAGGATGCCGAGGTGTCCAAAGGAGACATCGGGGAAGTGCTGCTGGTGGGAGGCATGACCCGCATGCCCAAGGTACACAGCTGGTGGTTTTTGGTCTTGGTGACGTCTCTGTTACTCGCAGCTGCGAGTTTAAAACGGGTCCGATACAGGATCAGCATCACGGAGGCTTCAGAGCAGGGGAGCCCATCCTGGTCCTGGATGTTGTAGCTTTTCCCCTGCTTCCACGCGCCGCGGTGGTTATTAGTCAAACCGGTTAAAGGTTGCTACCACAGGTACTAGGTGTCCCCGTTGGTCTGTGCAGGTTCAGCAGACGGTCCAGGACCTGTTTGGCCGAGCTCCCAGCAAGTCTGTGAACCCAGACGAGGCCGTTGCTATAGGAGCAGCCATTCAGGGCGGCGTTCTGGCTGGTGACGTCACAGACGTGCTGCTTCTAGACGTGACTCCTCTGTCTCTGGGGATCGAGACTCTGGGAGGCGTCTTCACCAAGCTCATCAACAGGAACACCACCATCCCCACCAAGAAGAGCCAGGTACGTCCGGCATCACAGCCGCTCTGCTGACAGGAAGCACAGCAAGAGTCACGGCAGCTCCCCGCTCCTCCCTGCAGGTGTTCTCCACAGCAGCTGATGGACAGACCCAGGTGGAGATCAAGGTGTGTCAGGGGGAGCGAGAGATGGCCGCAGACAACAAGGTGCTGGGCCAGTTTACGCTGGTGGGAATCCCCCCCGCTCCTCGGGGAGTCCCTCAGATCGAGGTCACCTTTGACATCGACGCCAACGGGATCGTCCACGTGTCCGCCAAGGACAAGGGGACAGGTCGCGAGCAGCAGAGTGAGTGTTGTGATGTCTGTACGGGTCAAAGTTCATGCTTGAGTTATTCTGTAACCACCGTTGTCTTCACCTCTGTCCTAGTCGTGATCCAGTCATCAGGAGGCCTCAGCAAAGATGACATCGAGAACATGATCAAGAATGCTGAGAGGTACGCCGAGGAGGACCGCAGGAGGAAGGTACTGCCTCAGTGGTGCAGAGAGCTGTCTCGGTTTGTCCATCCTGTCTCACTGATGTCTGCATGTCCACCCGTCCTGCTGTAGGAATGCGTGGAGGCTGTCAACATGGCTGAGGGCATCATCCATGACACAGAATCCAAGATGGAGGAGTTTAAGGATCAGCTGCCTGCTGACGAGGTATCACGCATCTGCTTGAGGCTTTTTATTCACCAACCTAGCTCGTAGGAATCCTGTTTCTCTGAAAGTCGGAGTAAACGGGAATCAAGTCTTGAGTTTCTCAGATCTGCTCGTAACGGCCGGCTGTCTGATATAGTGCACCAAGCTGAAGGAGGAGATCTCAAAGGTGCGGGAGCTGTTGGCCAAGAAGGACTCTGAGACGGGGGAGAACATCAAACACGCAGCCAGCAGCCTGCAGCAGGCCTCACTCAAGCTCTTTGAAATGGCCTATAAGAAGGTAGGCAGCACGTTTGCTTTAGAGCTGATGGTCAAACCACCCAAACGCAGCTCCAGGTTCAGGTGTGACCTCCTCCATGTTCACTTGTTCCTGCAGATGGCAGCAGAGCGAGAAGGCAGTAGCAGCAGCAGCAGCTCATCAGAAGGAGAGAAGAAGGAGGGCCAGCAGTAGACCTCTACACCCGTCTGTAATTTATCTGTAAATCAAACGTGAAACATTTTATAGGTTGTTTTTCTTTTTTTATATCTGAAATCTGAGTTTTAGTTTGTGTTTCCTCCCTGAGGCTCATCAGTGTGTTCAGACACCAGCCTGTCTCAGGTGTTCCTCTCACCGGTCTTCAGAAATCCACCCGCATCATCCGAGCTGACCATATAATAAAGTTATTACATAAAAGCAGCTCTAGCGTCAGTGACGGACGTGTTTGCTGCCACCTGCTGGTCATCCGTATAAGTATTTATTCTGACTAACAAGGATAGTGTTGGTCAGGTGACCCAGGAGGTTGCAGCTGGCTGGTCATGTGGCCGAGTCCCCCCCCCCCCCCCCGATCTGGACACCTAAACACACCTGTGTCATTCCACAGCAGGAGAAAGCGTTGCTGCCACAAACTCTTCTTCTGGTACCCCCCACCCCCCAGGGGAGCCTGCTCTGGCCAACAGGAAGTGGGTTTTTTGTGTTGGGGGGGGGTGGAAGTGAGGGTGGTAGTCTGCAGTCTTTTGTAATAAAACATAAAACTGGTTTGATCTTGTTGCTCTGATCTGTTCTTCGGTAAGGTGCATCACTCACCCTGAGCTATACTACAACTTAAACCTGCCTCAGGCAGGAGCATCATACAAAAGCTGTTTCTAATCCAAGTTGACCTCATAAACGACACACACACGTTGCTGAACATTTGTTGAAATCTCCCGGAGTGTTAAGGATTTTTATAAGAGCAGTTTTCATTCCAACTAGATGTCATTTTCGTGTATTTGTTTTGAAAACCCCAGTTTGTTTCCGGGAGCCCACATTGTGGTTTTCACATTTATCTTGAAGTAAATATGTGACTCCAGACCTCGGCTGTGATCCGATGCTGCAGTATTACAGGTATGCAGTATTATCAAATTATTTAACACTTATGTTAATTTTTACATTGAATTTATTCGTTCAGGTACCCCTACATTTAATCATAGCACCACTAAAAGCAATTTCTCATTTATTTTCACTGTTTGTGCTAATTTTAAATGTAATTATAAAAAAAATCATGTTATTTTACCAACAAAAATACTGCAAACCTCCCCTGACTCAAAAATGGTTTGATCCTGCTCACCTTCCCAGACCATGGACGTGTATACTGGACAAATGTCCATGGGCTCAAATTATACGCTTTTGATTTAAAATATTTTTTTATTAAGCTTTAAAATAAAGAAGAAAAGGGGCTTTTCAGAAAGAGCATAGGTGTTTTTTCTATGGGATGTTTAAAATAACCACAAGTAGATCTAAAATATTACTGGTACTTTCAGTGCCATGGATGCTGAAGTTGGTTCCTATTTCTGGTTTTTGGTTCAGAAAGGGCTGTTCCAACCAGTTTTCCCACTCTGAGCATATTTAATCTGCTGGTATGGTGGTTACCAACCTGGAGTCTGACCATCTGTGACGATACCAAGGTTGTTTGTAAAAATGACAAAATCTAAATACTGATATTAGAAGTTTGAAATTAATGATTGCTAATGGGGGGGGTATCTTGGACACAAGGAAAAAAGGCAACTGACCCAGACTTTTCAAACCTGGACCAGATTATTCTACACTGACAGCAGAATCCATTAATCATCGTTTCTGATTTGTGTAAAAAAGTCTTCCTTCACAAATATGGGAATGAAATTGTGTTAAAATGTACAAAACAGTGAAATTTATATTGTTGGCTGGGAGTTCTGCTCAGCGCTAAACCTCTGAACCTAGAATCGCCCCTGAATGTGATGGTCGGGAAAGCTTCAGAGACCTGGGAAGATCGAAAGGGCTCTGAGAGATAGGAAATTAAGATGAACCGGTTTAAATTATAGCCCTGTGTCCCGCTGCAGATGCATCGGAGTACCATGTGTTTAGGTTAGTGAGGTGTGTAGTGGCTTCGCCCCAGATAAGGTATAGTTTTACAAAAATGTGTAAATCCAGTATAGTTGGTAAAAGCTCATCCATTGCCTGTTTCTGTGTACTTTGTACTACATTTGGGGAGATTTTTTCACATTTAGCTTGTAACGTGGGAACATCTGGCGCGGCCCCAACACCAAAAACCTTGTACTTGTTTTTAGAGGTAGTTATAGTTTAGGTTAGAAATTGAACAGTGTTGTTAGACATAATGCAGTCACTAAAGTCAGTGACCGATGCCCACAAGTGTGTGTGTGTATATGGGGACCCTTGCACACTTTGTGCCCAGGGGTCTCTGCCATCTTGATGCGGCCTTGGCGATGCCAGAAAAACAAACGTGAGTACAACTCTTGGCTACTCCACCTGCCTCTGATCTCACTGGAGGATTCACCCCCCTCCCGGTAACTGCCTCTTCCAGCTGTTTCCACTGGGCAGAATCAGACCAATGAAACCAGAACAAACGCCTGATTCTAACCCAACAGCAATCATGGCCCTAAATCCCCAACAGAGGCCAAAACTAGACCAGTGTAATCCCGTAATTCACGGATTAGAACGATGCCTCAATACGAATAATTTTTTATCCCAATGGTTCATTGTGTAAGCCGAGTGCGTAAAGGTGATGTGAGAGGAAGTCACTGCCTCTTGCGCGAGTAAAGACATCCTGTGGTGTTAGCAAGTGAACCAGAAAAACACGAGAATGTAGAATGTTCTGGTCAGGTCTGTTTTGGACTGCTGCAACAACAAACACCGCTTATAAAAGCGTTAGAAACGGGTAAATATGGATATAGCGCCTTCTAGGGTTCTACAACCCCCCAAAGCGCTTTACAACATAAACACTCAATCACATGCTGGTGGTGGTTAACTACAATGTAGCCACAGCTGCCCTGGGGTACGCTGATGGAGGCGAGGCTGCGCCACTGGTCCCTCTGACCACCACCAGCTGGCAAGGTGAGTTAAGTGTCTTGCCCAAGGACCATGGACCCCTCACTTTTTCCAAAGGCAACTTTTGACCCCTGCACTTTTTACCATCCAAAAACAACATTACGCTATATTAAATTGACACTGGTTGAGCTCTTATAGCTGAAAGTTTTATTCTAGTTTTTTTATTTTATTATATTTTATTCTATTTTTAATCTTATTATTCATGTTCTATGTAGCACATTAGTACCGAAGCAAGTTCCTAGTTTGTGAATTGTTTGTTCACTGACAATGGCAATAAACCTATTCTGATTCTCTAGGACCAAGCGGAAAACAACCGTTTGTTTTGAAGCCTGTTTCCCATTAGAGCATACTGTAAAGATACCCCCCCCCCCCCCCACACACACACACACACATACACACACACTTCTAAAGTGAAAATTACGTCCATGCCAAGGACACAACGACTGCAAAAGATGGAGCTCAAACCTGCAACCCTCCACTTGCTGGGCAGGCGCTACCGTCACCCCAAGCTTGGTACACTACATTTATCTGTATGTAGCAAGGTGGAGAAGCGAGGGCCCGGGCGGGATCCGAACCCCAGACTCCCGGGTGAGAGTCATACGTACTAACCAGTCAGCCAAAGGGACGACTCCTTGGCCAAGCAGCCAGGACGCATGATCAATCGGGACACTGTGCCAGGACGCTCACACTGCCACATGTGATTAACTTGTGGTTAACCAAGAGTGAACTAAGAAACTCCTGCAATTAATCAGAATTAAGTTTTGGGCGATTAAAAGCAAAGTTCTTGTAAATCTGATCAAATGTGGTCCGCAGCAGAAAACAACCTGATTAAAAACAAGATCCAAGTCAATGAACTCAAATGTGAAACTCGTCTAAAGGAACAAACAGGTTTTTGTGTGTGCATCCTGCTCTGACCTACATGCTTACGTCAATGGAACTCACATTGTGAAGTTTCTGCGTATGAATGACTCACTGAGCCGTGACGCACATGACAGACCCATTGTTCGTCTCAGGACGCTGTAGGGCGTTCTTCAGCTTCCTCCTTGTTTGTGTTATTAACACTCGTCCACATATCAAAACAAACAACACTTAATAACACTGGAGAGGTTATAACCAGTTTAGGTACAAACCCAGCATGGCTCCTCAGTGAGAGCATCACGGTTGATGCTGCTGCTTCTCTCACTAGAGGATCCAGTGTCTGTTCCATTATATTAAAGGTGCCGTGGCAAATCTGGAAAACTAGCTTAAAACATTTTTTGTTGACTGGTTCCTAAAGTCCACAGCAACCTCCGCTGTCTTCTGGGTGTTGAGCACCAGGTTGTTGTGGCTGCACCAGGACACCAGCCGTTCCACCTCCGTTCAGTAGGCAGACTCATCCCCGTCAGAGACGAGTCCGATGACGGTGGTGTCGTCTGCAAACTTGATAAGCTTGACAGACTGGCTGTTGGAGGTGCAGCTGTGAGTGTACAGGGAGAAGAGCAGAGGGGAGAGAACACAGCCCTGAGGGGAACCGGCGCTGATGGTCTGCAGGTCAAAGAGATTCTTCCCCAGTCTGACTTGCTGCTTCCTGTCTGTCAGGAAGTCAGAGATCTACCTGCAGATGGGGTCGGGCACGTTCATCTGGGACAGTTTGGATTGGAGGAGGTCTGGGAGGATTGTTTTGAAGGCAAAGCAGCAGAAGACCAACAGGAAACTGAGACTTCATTCACACAGGATGATCAGAACTGATCCAGAAGAGACTGAGAAAACCTTTCCTGGTCTGATGAGTCTGGTTTTCAGCTGTCGGGTCAGAAAACTAACATGAAATCATGGATCTTTCCTGCCTTGTGTCCTTCAGGCTGCTGGTCCTAGTGTCCCCTAACCCTGGTGTGAGTCTGGCGCATCTACGGTCCCACAAAAAGAAGTCCTAAATAAATCACCTGACTGTTAACACCTCCCCGTGCACGCACACTTACGAAATAATAGAGTACTCAAGATGGTGCACAGAGCTCCGTTAATCACCAGAAGTTTTGTCACCTCCATTATCTAAAGTGATTGTTTGACCCCAGAATCATGTGACCTAAAGGCATGTCACCTGGCTGTGGACTCTTATCGCAGGTGGCAGGTTCAATCCCAGCTGTGATTTATTTATGTGAAATGCTCTGATTTGTGAAAGTTCAAAGAGGTTAGATAAAGAATGTGGTCGTTTCTGAACTTTCACAAGTCAAATAAAGGTTTCAAAAGTCACCAACAACGTTGAAACAGCTGGACTCGCTACATAATTAAAGCAGAACATAAGATGCTCATGGACTGAAATATTTTTTAAATGAACTGGAATCGGAAAATAAAAAGGTACCACCAATTTCAGCTTTTTCTGACAATTAAATATCTAATTCCTTATTAAAATAAATTACCAAGATAAATCCTTACATCTTTGGCATCATAAAGCCTCGGGGGTGAAAACAAGCAGAGAACCAAAAGTATGAAGCGTTCGGGCTAAAACCGGTAGTGGGGCATCTGTTCCCACAACGATCTTTGTAAGCGTTTCAATTTCCCATCAGCCACCGCGGCTACAGTTTATAAAGCGCCGCGGTGCGTTTTCAGGTCTTTCCGGCTGGTGGAGCTTAAGCTGTTTAGGTGGGGGGTCGAGTTAACTAAATAACTAACTAACTAACTAACCCAGGGTTAACTAACCTAACCCAGGTTAACTCGCTCTTCCAGGCGTTAGGGACGGACACGCGGGTGTAGCGGTAGGCGGGTCTCTGTTAGGAGAACCCGAGGCTCTGGTGAAGCGTGTTCAGGTGAACGTGTGGAGATCTGTGGAACCCGGATGTTCTCCACAAAATAACCTAAGATTAAAACAAAAACGGTATAAAGGCTTTGATGCTACGAAAATTATATAAAAGTTTTAAATTGCGCTTCTTGAGCAGCCCCGGTTCAGTGAAACGGTCACGCGGGCCTGAGAAGCGAACGGCTAGGTTAGGTCTCTGGATGGTGGGTCATGTGGCGTTAACGTGAGCCACACGAGCAACATGGAGTCAAATACTGCCCCTTAAAGCTAATGCTAACCACCTCCATCATCACAAGCATTGTAGTTCTAGTGAGACCATGTCCGCTCTCCTGCTGGCGTCTCCCTGGATCATCTCAACTAGGAACTCCTTTGTTCCTGAACACTGCGCCAAACTCATGCTGAACTTGCCTTCAGCTTTCAAGTTGGTTTATTTAGTAAAGGGTGAGTGCCTCAGAGGTGTGGACTCAAGTCATTATTTTAATGACTTGATAAAATCTATTATTACTTACGACTTGACTCAGACTTAACGCCAATGATTTGCGACTTGAATCGACTTGCAACTGTTGACTTGAGCATATTTAATAGGCACGACATGGACATAAATCATTCTTCGTTCTGGGTTTGATGATGTGCTAAATGCAGCAGCACTTCCAGGTTCAGTTTCTGCTTGTTTGAGCAAATAAATGAAGCTTATTGCTGGAATTTATTTGTTGTCATTAAAGTTGGGACAGGTGACTTGATTATGACTTGATAATTTAAAGTTAAGGACTTGGACTTCCAGATCTTTTACTTGGACTTGACTGGAAAGACTTGTGACTTGCAAAGCAGTGACTTGTTCACACCTCTGGAGTGACTCCGCTTAGGCTGCTGCCCCCACGACCTGACTCTGGATAAGCAGCTGAAGATGGATGGATGACTTCAATTTGAATATAAAGTTTGCAAAATCAAGGTTCAGTTCAGTTTTACTTAATCTGTGTGACTCCTCTAGCAGTTTTTTTTTAAATAGACATTTTCAACCAGGTATTTTTTCTGTTTTCTCTTGTAAACGTTTACTTTGTTTTTACTAATTTGCCGCTGGCACCGGGAACATGAAGTCCTGCTGTTTAAATGCTGTGTAGCTGCCGCACACGTCCCGATTGAATTGCAAAAGATCAAACATTACTCTAAGGTCCAAGTATCTTGAGAGTGTGTTTAAACTGAATCAATGGATCACACTAAATGTGTCATGTTTGTATAGAAATGTTCACGCTCCAAAGTAAAAACTACATTTAATCCATCTGGTCTGTCACTCAGCCCTGGGGTGGATGATGCCGGGTCCTGAGGTCGATGCTGGGCCCTGGGGTGGATGATGCCAGGTCCTAGGTCCTGGGATGGATCCTGAACCTGGTAAGTACTGATCAGTGACCACCCCCACCCCAGCTCCTAGTCAGCTGACAGGCTCTGTGTCTGCTCCAGTGTTACTGAGCTGGGACAGGAAGTCTGCTCGTCGCCTCAGCAGCACAGCTCCTGTTTTAGAGCGCTGCTGCTGCTGAGCTGCTGCAGAGGGTGGCCCAGTGAGAGTGGCCTGTTCTGGTCCAAACCCAGGGCGGGCCTAGTACAGGGCCGCACATCACATTTGTTCTGGAGACAACCTGACTGCTTTCTGCTGCTCCATTCAACCTTCAGGATGTCTGGTTAAATGATTGCTGTTTTTCTGGATAGTTCCCCCCCGAGGATGAGTCTGGGGGCTGCGGGGTTCCTTGTCGAGTCTCCTGAGCTCCAGACAGGAAGGTGGGTCCATCAGACTGTAGGGCCAGGTTTGAAGTTGGTGCTGCTGCCTTCGACTAACTTGTGCTGATCTCCAGACTGAGTGTGGCATCAGGTGTGGTGTTCTGAGGTCCTGACATCTCAGCAGCATGGAGAGAAGCTGACCTGCACAAGTTGGAACCTTCTGGAAGTCCGGCTACAGACTGGCCTCAGGTGAGGACCTACAGGTTCAGGTTCTCTACCCTCTGGGCTTTTTCTGTGTCAGGGAAAACTGGTCCTGGAAGTCCTCTATCCAGCACGTTTTAATTTCTGTGATCCACGCTCCTGATTGAGCAGAGAAACAACTAACACACACTGGGTAGCGGACTGGGACCAGGATTGGTTATCCCTGCTTTAGCTGCCTCCCGGTTCTGAGGGGTTGGACCCAGTCAGCTGGTGACAGAACCTTTAGAAAGTGGGGTTAAAACCTGGACTTACATTAGACCCAATCATGTACTGCCATGGCAGACTCCGCCCCTCTGCTGTGGAATCATGCGATTGGAACAGAAACTCGGGACTTTGGCACAGGTTGACGTAGAACCAGTTACCAAAACCTGACTGAAGACCTGGAACACGCCGAGTCATCTGTGTTGTATTAACACCAGACCTGGAACACGCCGAGTCATCTGTTGTAGTAACTTCTAACACTTGTGTCTGTGACAGGCCACTCGGACCCTGGGACCTCCTACACCATGTGACCAGGTCGGATGTTCTACTGAAACTTGTATGAAGATCATTAAAACCTCTGAAACTGGCTGACTTGGTTAATGGTTTTTTTTCCTATCCAAATGAGGTCTGGTTCTGGTTTCTCATCTGGAACCGGTGAGCAGGTTCTGGTTCTGTCAGTGATGGTCTGATGTAGGAGGAGCAGCTTGTTGAACTAAAGTAGTTTTTGAACAGAACAGGAACAGCTGGTGCAGGATGAGATGTGGGTACACCTAACCTGCCGCAGCTCCCCACACACTGCACTCTGGAGAAGGACCATCTCTTCAGGGTTGCTGTAGATGAGTTTCTGTAGTAAAGAGACCGGTCAGATCCAGTTTTGGTTCTGGTCAGAGCTGTTGGACTGAGATAACATGATAAAGATTAAATATTTAAGAACCTTTCAGACTTTATTTAGCTATGTAGGAGCCATTATTGTTTTGGTTTAGATTAGATTATGATCTAAGTTTATTTTGATAATGATTTATGTACATTTCAGTTTATTGCACTATGGTTTGTATTTCCTTTGACCACTGGTGGCACTGCAGAGCCTATAAAGGTGTTGTGGTGGCAGTGCATTGGCGTTTTGTGGGTGACAGGAGGTCACACGGTTTTTACCGCTTCATTTGGTTTCATATGCCACATCTAATATGCCGTTATAACTTTCATCATTTACATAAACCTGGACAAGAAATAGCCATTCTGGACTCAGCTTGTGATCGTCAACATATTCAATAAATGGGACAATAAACCCAAACCCGCTTTCTGCCTGGACAATATTGTTGAAGCGAGTCATTGCCTCCACCTGCACCCAGGAGTGACTAAAAGTGGGACTTGATAGTCACTACAAGCTACATAGCGTAACTGCAGCAAGCCGCTGTTCAATAGTTGCAATGCTGCTAAGAAAGAAAACTATCTTTCATGAGTCACTAGATATCAATCATGAGGTGCTTCACAGAAACATAACATTAAAAAATATGAAGAATTTTGTTAGAAATGACCAAAATAAACATTGGGATCAAAAAATGTTAAGAGAAAATAGAGGAAATTCTGTGGATCCCTGCAAAGGCGGGATTGGTAGAGCAGAATAAGGAGGGTGGTGAAGGTTCCACCAAAGCCTGAACAGGTGAGTTTAAAGGAGACCACTGATCTCGGGGAGAAAGTTCCAGAGGCTGGGGCCACAGCAGCAAATGATCTGTCACCTTTGACCTTTAGCCTGGTGTGCTGCACAACCAGTAGGCTTTGGTCACTGGACCTCAGGGACCTGCTGGGGATGTGGGGACTGAGAAGATCACCAATGTAAGACGGTGCTTGTCCACGTAAGGCCCTATAGACCAGAACCAGGATCTTGAAATGAACCCTGAAGTTGACTGGCTGCTGGAGGAGAAGCGGGGTGATGTGGGTGTGTGACTTGGTCAGAAGACGAACAGTAGTGATGGGAATTCCGTTTGGCTCAGCTCACCAAAAAGAGCCGGCTCTTTCGGCTCCCAAGTGGCTCCTCAGATTTTCTGTTAGGTAGAGTTAATTTATAACCAAAATAATGTAAAATTATTTACTAATGTAAAAAATGCTATATATCAAATATCATTTCTATGGATTTAATAACTGAACACTTTAAGAAATCTCCACTTTCCGACTGCTGGCGCTCATTTTGTCACAGTCTTCGTTACACTCTCCTTTCTCTCGCTCACCTTTTTCCTCTTTCCCTCTCATCTCCCTCCACCTGCATGTGCTCTGCTGTGTGTCTGAGTCTTATCCTCCCTCTTCCCCGCCCCTACTGCTCTGTGTGTGGACAGTCTGGACACGCAGTTACACATGTTGACCAATCACCTGTAGCTTTCATCAAAGCAAGAGGGCAGGGGGGAGGGGACGGCTCCCAATGACGAGCCGGCTCCCGTCGTTCACTTCAAAGAGCCGGCTCGTTCGCGACCGACACATCACTAAAACTCAGGCGTTCTGAACCACCTGTAGACGGTTCAGGGAGGTTCTGCTCAGACACGTGAAGAGTTACAGTAGTCTAAGCGTGAGGAGATGAAGGTGTGGAGAACTGTCTCAAGTTCAGAGCGGGACAGAATGGGACTCAGCTTAGCAATGTTCCTGAGATGGAAGAAGGAAGAGCGAACAAGAGAACTGACATGAGAATCCAGGGTGAGAGCTGGGTCAAAGGTCACGCCAAGATTCCTGACAGAAGGTTTGGTGTGAGAAGCAAGCTGACCAAGAGAGTCTCTGACTTTGGGAACCAGCTTGTCTGGGGCACAGATGAGGATCTCAGTCTTATCTTCATTCAGCTGTAGAAAGCTCCCAGCCATCCAGGTTCTGGGAGTAATGTGAGATTCAACCCGATCATCCTAATCCATCAGATTAAAGGCAATACCCAATTTCACCAGTAGGCGACACTAATGCAACGCATGTGTGTTGGCCAATATAACAGTGACCCAAAGAACTATCAAAAACCTTTAAGTGTGTGTGTGTGTGGCTTGTGGTTTGAGAAATAACCTTGAAGACACACTGATGTTTGCTTTAGCGGCCCTTATATTCCAGGGTATGATTTCTTGAATCTGAGTAGCGGTAGGGTTAACATCTGCCTCCCACATCAGGTTTCTGGGGGTGTTTCTGCCTTGTGTAGCGAAGAAGAGATCTCTATGAAACAACAGTTAAAATCAAACAGAGTCATCCGGACACGGGAACACAACAAACAACACCATTATGCTTCTTTTGATAAGATGTATTACCATGGTCCAAGAGGAAGACCAATCACCTCACCCCCAACACACACACACACACACACACACACACACACACACCTGGTTCAGTATTTGAGTTCATCTTAGGACAAAGACTCCAAATAAAAAGCGTGATGAGGAAAATGAAATCTTTAAAACAAAGCCCAAGATTTGTACGTTTTCTCTTTATGAACTGTTTAACGTTTTGTCTCGTCAGCTGCTGACCAGTGAAGTTAGAATAACTGACCCAAAGTCTTTAGACTGATTAAACCAAAGCTCCAGACACACAGAAACAGATTCCTCTTCTACGGATCAGAGGAAATCATTCAAGGAATCCGAAGGACCAGGGAGAAACCTGGACCGCTGTGACCTTTGACCCCTCAGACTGGGCCACATCCAGAACCGTCACTCATCCATGGATGACAGAACCACATGGAAGCTTACAGAACCAAAACCTTCATGGGCTCTGGACCTCCAGCAGTGACCTTCTGATGATTGATGATTACGGACCTTTTCAAGTGCCAGACACTGGCGGTGCATTGTGGGTAATGACATTCAGTTCATCACACCAACGTTGGAATCGTAGTTCACAGAGTGAATCTTCCTGAAAGAAAAAGAAAGGAACGGGGCTGTAAAGTAAAACGTGTTAAAATAGACAACACAAATACAAGAATACACCACATGGTGTTTTCTTGAAGAGCGGAGCAGCCATAGACCGTGCTCAGTGATGGGCTGCAGCGTATATCTGTGGTCCCTGCTTAGGAATCCCGGATCAGAGATGAGTGCGTCCTGTTATCCCAGTCTCTGGCAGCGGCAGACAACAAGCCTGATGCAGGAACACTTAGGAACCATCAACAAAATCAGATGTGAAGATCGAGTTTTATAAGCAGGAGATCAAATGTGCAAAAGCTGTTACAGGTGAGGAGAGAAACCAAGACAAGTTTTCCAAATCAGTGTGACAGTGTGAGCGTCCTGTCACAATGTCCCGATTGAACATGCGCCCTGGCTACTTGGCCATGGGGGTGTCCCTTTGGCTGACTGGTTAGCGCTCGTGACTCTCACCCGGGAGTCTGGGGATCGATTCTCTCCCGAGGCTGCCAGACTCAATCTCATGTTTAATTCTACACAGAATAAGGAAGCATGGGGATGGCTGATCAGGCTACAGAATGACGGCCAGTTAGAGGAAGCAGATTCTTGATCAGGTGACATAACCCTCCCCGGCAAGTACCTCTAGGTGGCAGCACTAGGTAGGGCTGTTGACCTGACCATGATGCTTCTCACCTCAGCAGGGCTTTTTCACTCTCCCTAGGATGCTTAGTCTTCAGAGAAAAGTGCAAGCTGAGTTACTGTCAGACCCTGACACCAACCTTCCATAATGACCCAATGAAGACGTAAGGGTTTATTCCAGAAAACTCAATTCCATCTGACACATATTTATGCCCATTCTTCTCCTCATAAAAGCTCAAACTGTCGTGAGCCGGGGTGAGTACTCGCTCTCACTAAACATCTCTGAGTGTGTTTGCAGGAGAGGGAGCGGCAGCTGCACCAGATCAGCTGATTAGCGGGTCGACTACTTAAGGAGATGGTGAACACAGCTCGACGCCGGATGATTACTACGACTCGGTAGTTTCCAGCCTTCGCTCTAGTCCTCAGGTTTTCTGTTGGAAATTCTCTAGTGCGTGTGTGTGTGTGTGTGTGTGCGTGTGTGTGTGTGCGTGTGTGTGCGTGTGTGTGTGTGTGTGTGTGTGTGTGTGTGTGTGTGTGTGTGTGTATTTTTTATCGTTGTGATTTTTGTATTTTTGGCCTACCCACCTCAGGTTCTGCACACCTAGAATTACTCACTTAACTCCCATAGGACTCCTGGACTCCTCGCTCAGTCACTTCATCATCATCCTCTCTGACCAATCCGCTCTCTCTCTCGACCCCACGCTCCTCTGAACATCTCCCCTCTGGATCCACCCCGGCTCTCAACCTCCCCTCATTTCCCAAACCCAATCATCCTCCGTAAGCCTCCTCTCAGCATATCCCAGCTTCCAACAGCAGCCACTCAGGAAACTCTTCTGTTTCATGAGGCTCTGGTGGACGGCATCCGAAACAAATACAGAAAAGCACGGGGGGAAGAAAGGCAAATAATTGCAAAAGTACCAACAGGAAAAGTCCTTAAAAGGTACAGATTTACAACGCTTGTTTCCTAACTCATTAGGATTTTCAAAGAAAAGATGGAGGACTGATGAGAATGTCAACTACAGCTACCAACAGAAGCGGAACGACAGGGTTCCACACAGTTTGACAAGCAGAGTGAGAGCTTTCTACACAAGGGATGATGTTAGT